AAATTACTAGAAAAGATAATAGTGTGTGCAGATATCCCGTGCTTATCTCAAGATTCATTGAACTCGTGGTTCCCACCGAGTTCATAATGTGAGAAGCAAAATTGTGATTGTGCATTACAAGGGATTCGATTACCATGAAATCCATCGATAACGACAATCGAATTTTTCAATTCTAACCCCGTGAGCGGAACATAAAGATTGTTGCAGGGCCGTCGGATAAAAAGACTGTCAAGGTTCCGATCGGAAAGCTTTTAAATGTCAGCTTTATGTAACCGTTAACATTTCACTTTCCCCACATTCTCGTACTTACATTACTGAATTGTTTTACACTACTCGGATTTTATACTGGTACACTGACATGTTTCAAATATTGGAACACCCTGTATAATATTATTACGAGCATGCAATGTCTGTGTTAAGTCTTATTAATAGATACTGCAAACTCTTGTGTCTACATTGCTTCCGAAATATATGCCCTTGTAGTTCATATACTTCAAAAATTTGAAAACAATGTTCTTGTACCTTTAGAATAACGAGTAAATATTCCAACGGTGGTCATGCACATTAAAATTCGAAACAGTGGAGAATATTGATATATAAAGCATAGAGATAACCGCTCCATCTAGGCATCATCATTACTCATTTCATCAATTTTGATTTGATGGTTATCAAATAAGTACAATCAGTGTAGCCAGTAGGAAGAGTCTACACATGGAAGGAGAAGTAGGATTAAAAAGTCATAAATAATAGAACGAAGCCAAGGCGAACGGAAGAGCAGCCCAAACCCAGAAGGGGAGGTACTAACCCTCTTATGATACATCTCTAAATGTCACTCTCCTTTTTTTGTAAACCCTCATGACTACAAATCACAGGATCTATTGATAATTGAGAGTCTTAAATAATCATCTACCATAGAGTATATCTTAGTATTTTCAGTTGTACTTCATGCACATTACAGTGCAGGACCGATGTGTAGTCTGAATATAGCACTTCAAAATATAGGATCGATTCGCGCATACGTTAGTGATAACTACTGCTTCAAATCGGAGAAAAAACACATCTGTCTAACAGTTCCAAACATCTCTGTAATTCAAGGGATTATTCCAAGTTTCTCATACAAACTCATATATATATATATATATATATTGCATCTTACATCCATATTGATACAATCATTGACAAATTTATATCCAACTAAACTCTACTTCGTATGGTGGTGCGAGGTTATACGTGAATCCACCTACAAAGTACATAACACGATTGGGTCTAATCAGGACTTCGCTATGGTACGATTTTTAATACTGTGCTCGAATAAAATTTCTTTTAAGGATTTTTGACCTTGAATCTACGTTGATGATGTATTCAATAATGATTCAATATAGTGGTAAAACATGCAATTTATAGTCTCTAAGAGAGTAAGATGTATGAACATCAGAAATTCATTGTGATTTTGTATGTTTTAGTTATATCAACTTCTATGATCATGTCATCTATTAATCATTATAATTTGAGATTATGAAAAGTTACAATTTTTTTAAAAGTAGGATTGTATGAACAACGAAATTTCTTCCAAAAACATTTTTTGGTCAAACCATCATAAATGTGAAGAAAGTGGCTCAAATAAGTACAAGTGAAAAGGTTTCAACAATATTGTCATCAAATTGGACTTCTTTCATGGATGAAACTGATGTTTAATCCACTTTATTCTTTTGAACAAATATTTATCAAAAAAATTTATATGTTATTTATTCTAAAACACACTTTCAGGTACAATGAATTCAGGTTAGGCATAAGTCATAGTCTCATTTGATGGCTCGGCTCATAATATTTAAGCTTTTCCTTTCGAATTGACTAATAATTGATAATGAGTAATCGGATATCGTAATAAAATTATTATCATTTTGGTGGATTTTGAAGAAACTTAATTATTTCATCTACTTATTACATACATAATTCAAAAATACTATATAATACTTGTATTTCTTTTCGTCACAAAATTTTTGACTCGTTTTCGAAACGATATATGCTGTATACTTATTTTGATAAAATATAGATAAGATTGAATTTTCTTAGGATTCACAAATGTTTGTCTGAAAGTCAGTTCTATTTTTGTAAATAATTTGCAAAATATTTTAATTTTTCAGAAGAAATAATTTTATATATTATTTTTAGAATCAATATGTACAGATCTTTTTTTTCTCAAATCATTTTAAAATCTAAACCTAACTCAATTGTAATTATTTTTGTTACTTAATACACTTAATGATATTTTAAGTAGTAAAGGATAATTGTATTGCGATTTTGCTCTTAATTGACGTCGTCTTTTTATATTTATAGAGTTTTTTTCCATGAACTGATATGACTAAGTGAAAAATAGAGGATCATGTAGTAATCCATCTAACTTGAAAGCTTGATATGATTTTTCTATGTCGGTTGTGCTTTCAAGTCATTGACTCTATCTCTACAGTAGTCTATATAGCAATAAATATCTTTCTTCACAAAAAGTAAATGAGTCAATCCAAATTGTAAAGTTTCGATTTATATCACTTTAAGCAGCAATATCGACTCCTATCTTTGTGTCGCAATGGAGCAGTCAATTGTTTAATTACACATGCACATCATGTATTACAATGTAAAGATAATTCCTTATGATCCCATAATTGATTACAAGTTTATGAAAGAAATATGAGTCACTTTACATGTCTTTCAATCTAACAAAATTCAAGATAATGTTGTAAGTTATGATTCACAAAAGAAATGCAATAGACAAGTTCATAAACTTCGAAGAATAGATTTCGAGTGGTTGTACAGATATCGCGAAGATAAATAAAGTAATACCACTAATTTTACTACATCGAAAAACCTTACTGATCATTTCCTGAAGCTGACTTGCAGAAATGTACAGTGGATGCACATGCTCTCTATATCATTTTGTGACCTTGAACGAAGTGATTATACTTCAAAGGTATTCTCATGCGTAAGTTTATAGCTTTTCACAAGCCTACTGAAGACTCAAAAGGAAAAAATAATGATTTCCAAAGTGATATTAGTCTATATTCCAACAATACGAATGACTTGCGTGGATTGAAAAATTAGTGATTGATATGTCATGAAATGTTACGTGCGGTTTTGTATGGAAACAATGTCTATACAATATTGCGTGAACCATGTACCAAAAGCTCATTGTTATATTGCCAGTTCTATTAGAAGGTTTCTTTGCCTAAGTGGTACGTTATCAGAAGGTGGAAGTTAACAGGGAAATGCAGAAGGTTCACAAAAGGCGTGATTTTAAGTTAAATGTGAAAATTGTCAATCTGTATAATGCAGTTTCTTGAATAAATGGTTTTCTGAATAGGGAAGTAAATAGAAGTTTTATAATCCTGTTACTGTGGTGCAGCTCTTACCGCTATCATGCCAGTGTAGGCACAACTCATAGATTCTTCGAAAGTCAACAAGTTGCAAAATATAGAAAAGTATTGATTATAAAAGCTGCTGAACGAGAAATCTTGAAAAGGTTGCATAGGTTAGACTAGTTGGTCTATCCAATGCTCCCACATGACTTACTGTCGCCCTTTCAGGTGAAACCGTTCAGAGAACCACAGAAGCGAAAATTATAAGGCAATCAAGCCCTTCACACACCTGTGAGATCGTCCGTAATCGGGATAATTTAAAGAATTTGGACATCCATGCCAAGCAGGCAAACCTCCAGGACTCTCATGACTGTACCGTCTTGTAACTCCTTGGAACTGAAAGTCGTACTGTCGGTTGGGACCGGTGAAGCGGTGTCTCTCAATCTCCGTGATCGCAATTTGGATCGCAATAACGGAGTAGCGCCCATTGAGCGCTACTCCGTTACGAAATCATCTTCGGTGCAATATTTTTCAGTTCCAAATAAGGCCAAAGGGCAAATTTGGGCCTATTTGGAAACAAACATTCGAATCAATGTCTTGCAGGAGCATTGTGTAGATGCGATAGAGTAGAGGTGTGAGAGGATCCATAAGTGTGCGGAATGTCGTACTAATGAAGTAATAGGGACAGTTTGAAAGGCACGGAAGGCGGAGACCACTGTCGCCGGTCAGCGATCGATCGGGTGACTGGAACAGCGGATTGTGGGAGAAAACAAGGGAAACGGAAAGAAGGGATTGGAGCCGAGGCAATGATGTAACCCAGCCTGTGTAAAGGACCTGGACACTGCCCGTCGGCCCATTGGACCAGAGAACGAGAGAGAACCCCGCGGATATCTAAGAGCCGGAAGACTCGTACTCCCGGTCGCCTCGGACGGAGAAAAATATCTTCTTTATTGCTCCTTTGACAAACCGAAGACCCGGGGAACAATCGAGAACAGTGTGAAGTCTGTGACTGCGCTGGCCTGGAGGACCAGCAGAGGCCCAGAGGTTCAAGGTTTTGGTTTGACCGAATAGTCCAAGAAGTGAAATACGCGAAGAGATTATGCGCTTCGAAGATTAAAGTATATTATAGGTAAAGCTAAGGTTGCTGTTTTTGCCAGTTCCTGCATTATATTATCCCCGTTTACCGAGTCCCGAAGAACGGATCCCCAGTCCCGAAAGCCAAGGAACGACGGCCGTCGCTAACGGATACCAATACGGGGCGCTCAATGATTGCAGTGTCCCGACCGGATTCCCTCGTATGTTATAGGGGCCATCGCGATCTTCCGAGGGTAAAGGCTCCCCAAAGATGGAGACGATGTTCTGGAGGCAGGAGTTAGAAAATCGATCCCATGTTCGAGCGGGGAGTCGCTCCAAATTTGGCGGGTTTGGTCCGCAAGTCCGGTTGGTGAGGCGAGGGGAGGTTCTCTCCAAAGATAGAAGAGGGCAGGCTTCGGGGGCAGGAGTCGGGTTGCTTCGGGTGTACTGAAATAATGAGGTAGAAGAGGCGGGGACGAAACTCCCCGTACTGTACCGTGAAGGAATAGGGACAGGGACAGGGACAGTGACAGCGACAGCGACGGGTGAAAGTTAGGAGAAGGACGGGTGCCGAGGAGGATATTAAACAAGGTAGGCTGCGATTCCATGGATGCCATGCTGGCGCGTATTGGAGCAGCGGCAGACCTGTGGATCGTCCGCGCGCTGCGAGCGCGTGCACTTCTTTCTCCGTCCGCTGCTGCCGGTGCTGCGTCTGACCTCCTCCTCCGCCTCCTGCTCCTGCTCCTGCTGCTGCTTCGTCGCTTGTCCCGACGCGATGCCGGAAGCGCGTCTTGAAGTTCGAGAAGAGCTGCAAGGCTGATCTCCTCCTTCGCGTCTTTCGGATTTCCTCGGACGAAGCACTTTTCGGGTGCTGTCCGACCTCGTCGCGCCCTGCGGCCCTGGACTTTGCAAGGGAGGGTGAGTGAGTGAGTGTGCGAGGGAGGGGCGTGGGAATTTGGAGTTTTGGATTTGGAAACGTGGAGCCAATTGAGCTTTGTGAAGTGGTTTGAGTGGCCGATTGGAAGAATTCGTCCCCTTTGGAGTGGTTTGGTGCTCATGCATATGGGTTTGAGTGCTAGCGGGACGTGGAAAGAGGGCGGGGCTCTAGGTGCAGTAAAGTGTTTGGCTGAATTCGTCAACGAGTGCTTGGTTTCTGGACGACTGAATCGGCTTTGACTTTTTCAGGGAGGTGACTCGTGTGAGGGCGTGCCTCGCTAAATATCGATTTGAAGCCCATTGTCGCCTCCCATTGTGGTGATGCTATCGCCCGAGATGGGTCACGGACACTCACACGGGAAGTGCGAAGAAGAGGAGGAAAAAGAGGAGCAAAATGGAAGCAGCAGACCCAGACTGGCTGGAGGAGGTGGATCGAGAAACCGACTCCGGAGAGCTTTCCGAAGCACGGGTTCAAAAAATGAGCTTAGAAAATGCATCAAACAAGAGCAATTCAGCGGCATTGTGCGGATTACTCTCTTCTCGGTAAGCTCCTCCACTGCATGTTGCCAACAGGGAAAAATTATAATCTTCCTGATTGGGCGTTTGGACGAAATGACCATCAGCTTCTCAGTGGTCCCGTTACTGGAGAAAGTTTCACACAGGGAGAATATTAAACGCGCATTGTGATATAAGATGTGTTTTCTCGTAATTAGAACCTTTGGGATTCAGCCTATTCAGATACTTTACAGAGTCATTGGCTTACTGAAGCATGTCTTTGGTTTGCGAAGGAATTGGAGGATAGTTCGGAAATTGACTGTGTTGAGGCTATAGATGCCGTCTGCCGTCCGTGTTATGGACGGTAATTGCCTCTTTGATTGGGAAAACTTGACCTTGCAGTATAAGCTTTGAGGGAATAAGATTAGGATCTCAGGATGTAGTCAGTCCGCGGTATTCCTTTTTTCCTCTTTATTCTTTGATACATCTATCAGAGGTCACAAGCGTAGATAAATTTGTGAAACGGTAACTGTTTGCCTCGGAGCTGATGTTGCTCCCTAGACTCTGTTTCCTTGACTTGGTTGGCCTTATGAATTCGCATGGTTCGAAGCACGGGTTGGTGTAAGGATGAACTGGAGCTGGATCGTGGGAAAATTCCTTTCTGACAATTCTTGTCGCTGGTCGAATAACTTTAACAGGCAGAGATGCGGTTCAAAGACAAGTGGTTTGCTTGCGTGTCGCTAGGAGAACAGACATTTCGTACGGCCACGTCGAACAAGTAAGTTCTGTGTTGTATGCCTTTTCCAGGGAGTGGATTGTCTTTGGCTTCGCGTTCTCGCAAAAATTGGAACGCCTCGTCAGCCTTACTTCCTCGTCTTGTGGTGGTGAATCTTTTGCAATCCTACGAATTTCAGCTGACGTCCAAGTTTTTCTTGATTGGCAATTTGATGTTGTTATTGCAGCACAGACAAACCACAGTGGAATTCGGTATGTTACTTCCCATGGGCATATTGTTGCAAGCTTTTGAACTGGTCAATTTCAAGTTGGAGCTGTCCAGGCGAAAGTTGTTTACACCAGTGAAGTTTTGACATTGCTCCGGGAGACATGGCGACATATAGCACTCTCCTTGGTGTTCATGATTTTAGCGTATTTTCCGGTTTCTTCTTGCGGATCTGATGGGCAGGTTTTCGTATCACCTGTTGTGTTTACAGAAGAAGAATATCGTCTTGGAAGCAAATGGTCCTCGAATTGTTCACATTTCTGTCTTTGAGGTATGAAGAAAATCTGTCATCTTGAAACCTGAATTCCTCTTTAAGAAGTACATGTCTACGGTTGAAGAATTGGTACAGAAACGCCTTCGAGTTCTATGTTTCTCTGTTCTCCAGGCTAAAAGGCGTCAAGCTCATATTATCCATGCTGAAATGCAAAGCAAAATTTAGCGCAGGATCAACCAGTGGTCCGGCAGAAGTTTGGTCATGAGCAAATACAAGGAAGAGTTAAACGAATTCTTCGTAATTAGCGGACCTGCACCAAGACTTTTGTTCCATTTTGTTGTTCTGCGAGGTATGCTGGCTAGATTCCGGGAGGACAAGACGAAGATTTTGACATGAGAAGCGGGAACCTTACTGACAAATATTCGGTCGTGTTGCAGACGAACAAATTCACAAAGAACAATTTGGTGGGTTACTGCGAACTTGATCTCTCCGAGATTTTTAATCCGGTAAGGTTTTAGCCTGCATAAAGCACCTGGTGCTTCAAGGATAGTGCAGCTATGTCAGGACACATGTAGTCATGGTTGTAGGTAGCTTCTAGAACAACGTCATCTTATGTTATTGGATATATGAACCACGAGTCTCATGGATAGAATTCCTAGATCAGTCAGTAGCAATAACAGTTATCACCTTGAATACTCGATCTCACAGAAAAAACTCCTGCAGGACGTGGACCATAATAAAGAGGAGCATAAATTGTTAGATCCCAATGGTCTGACTGAAGATGTCGGAACTATAACTCTTGGATATGATGCCCAGGTAAAAGCATATCGTTGTTTGTCTGGCTGGGATTTTTTCTGAAGGGTAGTCAGTCTCCTCCAAATGTAATGATAAAAAACGAAGTTTATTGTTAAATAGTTCAAGACGTGATGACACGTATGTACAACTTTCGTGTCTTTGGAGAGTGGTGTGGTTTTCAACTTTTGCAACTTACCTGTACCAGGATCGCGATGATACTGAAATGGGCTTCGCTCGACGGTTGCTTTCTCTTGTGGTACGCTCGCTATTCCTTTTTTCGTCCATCATTTCAATTTTTAGCTTAAGCTGAAATCGTTCTCCTTGTATCTAACAAGAAATTTCAGGGAAATACACTTCGTTATTTTATTTATTTTAGTAGACTGGTCCGAAGAAGGGTATTTGAAGATGACATGCACCATCAACATCGACATTCATCACACTTCGAGGTTTCCTATTTATTAAGTAGCCTGTACTTGTACAGGATTATGATGCGGACGGTGAACTGTCTCTCGATGAGTTTCGTGACCTAATCAAGGCTTTTGGTAACAAAGTCTCAGACAAGAAGGTGGGTTCAGCCAAAAAATTGTTGTGCTAACCGTTTTTGCGCAGTTCAATTCCATGCTACTGCCGAATGATGTTGAGGCTTCGCATGTGCAAATCATATGTGAAGCTTGCATTTCTATATTGTTTGGAAATGCCTATGTACATGTTCGTATTTGAAGGGTATTCGTGTTGATAAGGTTGAAATATGGCAGCTTGAAGAGATTTACAACAAGGCTGATGTAAATCAAGACAGAAAAGTGAGTGCCGATGAGTTGGCTGAACTTATTGCAAAGAGTGGAGACAGGTAAGGCCCCATCAATTTCAATCTCTTGCATGCCAACGACAGTTTATCGTCACAATTTCTTTTTCGAAATTATCAAGCTTACCAGACTCGTGGTTGTGCATGACAGGGATGTCCTGGTGAAGCAGTGTCCAGTGTGTGGAGAAGCTCTTGGGAACATAGATGAACTCAATGATATCATACATATGACCCTCTGTTTTGATGAAGGGACAGGGAATCAGATCATGACGGGTGGATTTTTGACCGAGAAGCAGGCCTCTTATGGGTAAGTACACATGGCATAAGCTCTGTTCACATGAGAAGTGTGTACGATCAGATCTACGACTTAAATTTTTGTTGGCTCCCCTCATGATTGCCAGTATGCAAAGGTGTTGTTGATATGGTTTGTCTCATACGTATATATTGAAATAACGCACGCAAGGTGTAAGTAGATATGGCATTCAGCGATAAAAATTTTGGTTTGTCTTTAACTTGTATCATTATGTTTAGTCTGATGCCACCTTACCCTTGACGATCATTTTTACATCAAAAGTCTGCCAACGTTGATGGCCTAATTTCAAGTTTTAGCTTGGACAGTTGATTAATACTCTCTGCTTCTGATGTGGAGTCAGGTGGATGTTCAAGTTGAGTGAATGGGTAAATTTGTCCTCGTATGATGCTGGTGGTCTCAAGTCAGGAGCAAGTGCTGCACACATACTGGTCGGTGTCTCTTTCCTACTCGTAGTCAATACAACTTACTGATGGCCACAATTTGTGGTTCAACTTCCCAAACTTTAACATCAAAGAAGTCATACCTACATTCTTCATGTTATACTGAAAATTTTCATCACTCTACTGCTTTCAACCATCGTGTTTCAAATCCTGGAGTCACTAAGCTTTTCCAGTATGGATTTAGTGTGCAGATGCATTTATGTGTCGTTAAACATGCCAGACTTCTTCACTTGAAGTACTTCTTATGACAGTCATCTCTTCTTATCATGGTTTTACAGGTTTTTGATCGAAGAACGAAGCGGTTGGTGGAGGAATTGATTGACCGAAAGATCGTTTTGTCTTTGCGTGCCATATATCAGTCGAAGCTGACGCTTGCTCTTCTGGACATGCGTTAGTGGCTGAACTCATTCACTTTGCATCTCTGTTTGCGACAATTTACAATCACAACTAATCCTCACCTCACTCTTTCAATGTTTAGTCAAGAAACAAAACCATAAACATTTCATGAACATGTATAAAGCCATCGTATAGTTACCCCTGGCTACTCAAGGAGAACTGGCTCTTCAACCACCACTTTAACACCATGAAGACGGTGCTCAAATCGCAGATTATACGTACATTCTCATTTGGCTCTCTTTTGTTGCCCACATCTTCGTTACCCGCACATTCTATCGTGCCTACAATTTCTTAGTCCTGGATATCGAATACCTTTTCAGTTTGACTCAAGTAACTATCTTCTCTATTTCTATTTTCTCCTTCTATTAGCCAGCATCTGACCTGGGTCTGGGCAATCAAACCTATGCTTGCTTGCTATGTGCCGTTCGTTGGGCTCTGCCAGGTAGTCAACAGATCATTAATGTGTAGCAAACTATACAAGGAAGGGCAAAGGAATGCTTCCCATTCAGATATTGGGAAAGGTCTCTGAGTCTAATTTCATCGACCGTGCCGGTCAACAATGCACTCTCCATGATTTCGGATTTCTAATCCTGTTGTTTTTTTGGCCATGTTCATCTGTATGACTTGGCTGGTCACCTGCTCACTGTATATATCCTTCATCTCTCCCATCTTTGTGTAGGTAAGTGTAAGGTGAATGGACATGACAACACTTATGCGCTAATCTTTGTAAGGTTCATCTCGTGCTATCTAATAAATATAAAGGTTGTATTTGGAAATGCACTGCACTATATGTCTCTTGACAGGTTCATGAGAATTTATGCATAAGTATGAAGTCATTCTATGTCTACTCTGTGTGGAACTCTGATCATAGGATTTCACGAACATACTTCTACATGAACATGTTTATATCTTGGGTTGAACATTCCGAACGTACCATGTACAGAGTCTGAATTTGTCGCCTGTCACATGGTCCTTGGTCCTTCTTTCTTACGCGTGGACCTCTGTTCCATATGTTTTAATGATCCTTCCTCTCTTTCTCTTCAGGGGTATCAGTGGTACTCAATATGTGGCTCCTGCAGATACTTTAGCTCAAAGTTTCAACGATATCTGAATCTCATATGATAACTTATTTCTGCAGAGCTTTTGCAGATTTTCAGTTTCAGAATGAGTAGAATATAACACTTTGCTTCCTTTTGTACTAACTGACTGAGAGACTGCTAAATAAAACTTAGAACAATCATCCTATTACACTGGATAACTGAGTGACTATCTGGGTGGTAACCCAAATAGCGGTGATGGTTATGAACGGTCGATAAACACAATCTCCACATTATCAATATCGAATTTTTGTGAAATAAGCTTATCAACCCATTGCTTGCCGTTGTAACCTTGAAGGATGAAATATGATAATTTGAACACGACTAATTTTTGGAAAAGAAATTTGTTTAAATTCGTGTACGAACAGGATTCTAAGAAGCTCCAATTGTGTGTTTGTCGGTAAATGCAGGTACGAAGAGTTTGTTGGTCAATATGTCTATAAAGCAAGGAGAGCGGATGTCGACACCACAATCTGCACATGATATACTTAAATTCATAGAATTTTTTCAGGTGCATAAGAGCTTTTTCACCATAAGATTGCAGGACAGATGCACGTTAGGAGAATGCATGATGAAGTCTTTGTTACACACACGGTGCAACAGTAGTGTTGATTGGATGATCATGAAGTTGAATTTATCAGTTCCTGTTACGTGGTGGATGTACAGGACTGTACATACCATAGGATAGCCTGTTACTGACCTCCTATCCCAATTTATCTATGAAAGCATGAATTATAGCTAAATTAAGCAGCCCCTATAAGAAACGATTTCCTGTAAAGCTATCCTGTTACAAAGGAGGATGAAAGCGACTTTGTGGACGGAAAAGGTGTCCTACACTGGGCTTGGTCCAGTCCAACCTATCAAGCATGGATTTTTGAGTAGTTTTGATTAGCACATGTACTTGATTGACATTCCCAGGACATGACCTCGTAATAATCCCGTATTACGGAATTTATTAATTTTATCTGTTGCTTGCAAAATCAGGACCGTATAAAGGTGGATGAATTCAAATATCCTATTGAGCATTACAAGGTGTGTAAATAATGGTCTGCACTTCTATGTTGTGTATATTTTTATCTTCCAAAGGCATCGGCTTTTCCTCCGGTTTGGTTTTACGGAATCTGCTGCCTGTGTCATTGCTATTTTAGATGTTCATTTGTTTGTCTATAGCTGTCACTCTTCGTCCAGGTGCCCTGCGTTTATGTCTCCTTGCCCATCTAAGACTTCTGTTTTTCTTTCGCTCTCGGTATCCAGTAATCAAGACTGGTTCCCACGCCATTTCGCTACAAAATATCGATGAGGAAAAGTGTTTGTCAATGCCTTGTGATGCCGGAATTTGTCAGCTGAGAATGGTAACTCTAGTCTTGAATACTTCTTATACAGACTTTCAATGACTTCTTCATACGAGAGCTCAAACCAGGGTGTCGTCCAATTGCCCACGAGGACAATGATGCAGTAGCAGTCTGTGGAGCTGACTGCCGGTTGATGGCATTTAATACCTGTGATGACGCAACTCGTTTCTGGATCAAGGTACTGCCATTTTCAGCTCTGCAATCTTCACATCTTAACTACTAGTTTTTCTCGTGTGCAGAACTGTGTCACTCCAGCTTGAAGTCCTTGTTCCTGCAGGTTTTCTGAACGTTCACAGAGTGACTGATTATCACGGCGTTAACGCATTGTCTAGATTCACTCGTCTATGAGTTCTGCCTTTGCAGGAAAAAATTTATGTCTGCGCTGGTTTTCTTTCCAATGATTGGTTTCTAATGTGGGTTATGTGTTGTTTTACGTGTGTACATGAAGTTTGTCGGAAGCTGGAACTGAAGTTAGAATTCTCGCAAAGAATCATAGAATATGCATTTACTTGCTGTAATGGATCTATTGCTATTTATTGAGTGGGAGCAAAGTTCACGAGCAGGAAATTTGATCTAGTCAATTTGCTCCATCTGAAACTCGTTAGGACGGATTCGCTATGTTAAAGATGAAAACACGTCATTTATATACCCTCATGTTACCGTATGTTAATCAAGAGTTGTCAACGTATGTCCTGGTCACTACCTGCAGGGACGGAAGTTTTCGATCAAAGGGCTTCTAGGTAGTGATGAGATTGGCAAGGATTTCGCTGAAGGCACTTTGGTCATCTTTCGGTTAGCTCCTCAGGTTCGTCATAATGTCTCATTAACTTTATCCTGTTTGGAGCTCGTTTGCAATGTCTTTCCCCTGTATGACTGGATTACTGTCAGTAACGTCTATGATGCTGTGTCAAGCAGGATTACCATCGATTTCATATGCCAATTAGTGGGGTGGTGGGACCGATCATCCACATACCCGGCCATCTGTACACGGTATAATTTCCATTGAATTGATTAATCCAATACTGTGTTCTTGATATCTTGAATAATTTTGAAATCAGTCAAGTAACTTCGCACATACCAGGTCTCTCCTTATACCTCATGGCTCCTAGCGTTCCATACATGTAGAAAACTTCAGTGCCGGTATCAAGTTGCTGGCGATTCTTGTCATTGTGTCAGCAGAAGTCATGGTGATTCTTCGCCAAGTCAATTAGATACAGTATAACGCAAGCTGGCGAATGACGCGCGTTTCCACATTTCTATCTTGCAGGTGAACCCGATCGCTGTGAACAGTAAATATTGCAATGTATTTACTGATAACAAGCGAGCAGTATCAGTTATAGAAAGTAAAGAATTTGGCAAGGTCAGTGCCGAACCATCTCGTGATTGATGTGTCTGTAGGCCGATTCGGTAATTTCAGCATCTCCTTGATTCAAGGGTGTTTCTAGTTGTTAACTTTCGTGTGGATCACTAATGCGGTTCTGGTCGGTATGTAGGTAGGTATATATATATGAAGGTGTAGACGACTCAGGTTCCAAGTACCACCGATCATCATTTCAGATGCTTAGACAGATTCGTGCCCACTCTGTTCTGTCCCATCTTAAGCGATTCACATGAATACCAAATGTTCATCATGTCTTGAAAGAACCCTCATGACACCGATCATTTGCTCTGCAGATGGCTTTTGTTGCTATTGGTGCAACCATGGTGGGTAGCATCACCTTCACTAAAAATGTAGGCGACAAAGTGAAGAAAGGAGATGAGGTGCGTTTTTCGTCCGGACAGGACATTCTGAATCCGAAGATTACGTATGGGTTCTGCTCTGACGTTTGGTCCTGTCAGTAGGAACTTATGTTGCATGATTTTAGCAAATCTTTCTTGTTGAGAGGTACCTGCAAAGCTCAATAACTTTTATGTATTCTTAGTAGTATTGAATCAGGGGATACGTTCTTCGGTACCTTAGATGTGATTTTAATTGTTGAGAGGTCGAATTTCCTATGTTCCATGGCTTTATGTGCTTTACCTGTAGCACCTGGCCTGTTTCCGGGAGGACTAAGTGCTGCATTAGGGTAAAGAGTAGGCATAGTCTACAACATCCTTGGAGAATTTAATGCTGCCGTGCCGAAGGTTGAAGCTCATGCGACAGCTACTTGCTAGATTATTTATTTGATGATTCCACTCAGTTTTATATATCTTTATTGTGATTCTTGACACTGTGAAATGAACATCTTGCCATCTTCTTTTGGGAGGGATGCTGTGTTTCCGTAAACTTGGACATTAAGGAATCAGTGAACGATAGCACAAGGATAACACTCAACCTGACGAGCTCGTGAAGCTATATTCTGTATGCTGAAATCAAAGCATTACAAAGCAATTCTGATGTTATGAAGAAAATCGGAGACTTTCTACTTGCTTTTCACAGTTCCCACTCATTGACTGCAGTTTGGCTACTTTTCGTTTGGTGGGAGCACCTGTATAATGGTCTTTCAAAAGGTAAGCCCTAACCCCTAAACCCTGGTCTTTTACCTTAACCATTTGAAATGATGCGTCTACAATAATTCAAGTTATTTGATTTAGAATGTGACACTGAAGATTCAGGTGTTTGTAAGCATCTCAGCCGCCTCTGTAAATTTCTTGGCCAGGTAAGGTTATTTAGACCACTCCTAAACTCCAAGTAATTTTTGGAGTCTTATCATTGTTACTCGCGACGAGCAGTGTTGTGAGTGAGCATGGAAAGAGCTCTCTAGCGTTGCTTAACGCTATTTGGTCATTGTTAGCCAATACCTTGCATGCTGAAGTTTGCTGTTTGAATACTGGATTTGCTTTGGTTTGCAGGGAGCAATAGAGTTAGATGAAGATCTGCTAGCCAACAGTGAGAGATCACTGGAGACGCTGGTTACCGTAGGTGAATCATTAGGAGTGGCACGTATGTATTCAGCTGAAGTCAACGACCAGGTACACCGGCCATCAATTCAAGACAGTGTTGTCGGACTCGACAACGATGTTGCCAGGAAGGGTGTACTTGCGTCTGCAAGTTTTAATGTCCGAGGAGGACATTTGGGACTGGAAGGAGAACCTGAATACGACGTAGGTTCTGATTAGCTGTTCAAATCTGTGAATATTGGAAATTTTTTTGTCTATGCAGTCTTGGTTTCTTGGCCCAAGGTAGTCGACAAATTGTGGTTCTCTTGTATAAGAAACCTGTCGAGCCAAAGTAGACGCGACTTTGATTGGTCTGTAATTTGCTGCTGACTGCTAGCCTGCGGACAATTTGTGAAGACCATACTCTGTTGAGTTCCCTCTCAACTGTGCTCGTGAAATGTTTTTTGCCATGAGATAGCTTGGTCATATTTGACCAAGCTTAGTGGCATAGTGGCTCTGACACATTTCGGCATCTTCACTTTGGTGTAAATGTGTAACCAATGATTGACACAATGAAGTACGGAGTGTCCGAGGTTTCAGAGCCAGTCCGCTTCCTGAGAGGCTCCATAGCATCAGTCGAGGGATTGGGTTCTTGTACAGAAGAAGGGACGATTGCGTCAAATTTTTTGCCCTCTGGATGCAATATCAGACCTCTGTGGTCTAGCAGTGCGTTACAGTCAGTTGGCATGATGGACTAGATTGTGATTACTTCACTCCAAGTTTTACTATCGCTTGATTCCCTGTCTCCGAAGTTTTCTAGAGCTCCTGATTCTGGCGTGGTGACACCAAGACAAGGCTTCAGAAGATCACGCTTTTCGAAGAAATCTCCAAGGCAGTGTGAACTGAACGAGGTTACATAACGGAAGATGAACGAGCCGGGATGTGTTGGTTATCAATGTAACAGAGAAAGCTGAAGCAGAGGATAGTTGAAGGATCGTTGAAGAGACAGGCTCAGTTAGGATGCAAGTTTTGAGGCAGGCTAAAAGAAAATTTTGAGCTCTCGCTGCTAAGATAGTTTAAGCTGAGAATTAAGTTCTTGTACAGGAAAAAAATTTTCCGGAAGATAAAGCTGATGTTTGTTGGAGAATCTTGATTGTTTGATGTGGATTCTTCCTTATATGTCCTCATCACCGACGGTAAATCTTTTCCCCTAATTTGAGCTGGTCATTGTCACTGTGCCAAGGCTCTTGATGACCGGAGGTTTATTAATCTGGAGTTTTAACAGTCCCCGATTGCAATCAGAAAATCTGTAACTAAGCTTGAAGTGTTCGAAGTTTCGTAATACACTTATCTCGGAGTACGAGTACAAACTAAACTGGCAATTCACTTTATCGAGACTCATGGTCAGAGACAGGGCAATCGGATCCTTCATGATATCCTCACTCGAGCTTTGAACAAGGCATCACAGCAGGCCTTGTGAATTGATCTTGATTATTTTACACACTTATGATGAGAAGACAGAACAACTTGCAGTATGAATGTTAGCTGGTGACTTGTCATCAAGGACAATACCGCTGGAAGCCTGAATCACTGTGAATCAATTAACGTCGTCAGGATCAGGAGGGCCCTAGTCGCATCGTCCAAGCGCGATTGTCGTCCAACGGAGCCTGCATGACTCGTTGTCCCATTTTCGGTCACAGACTACAAGGTCACAGTTACGACATACGAACCAGATATTGACTTGATCATCACCAATTTACTGGAATGCAAATCTTCTTGACTCTATGACTGGGTGTCATGCTCCATGCGAGTAGATGAAGAAAAATCCCGAGCTGCCACCTTTTTCTGCGTTTTTGGTGGACTTGTTTCGTATTCTGGATTAAGATACCGGGGCCCGAGTAAATAACAAAAAGCATGAAACACATTAAGAAGTCTACCAATGACTCTACTGCACCAGATGGGGAAAAAGAAAGGGAATGGCTCATCAAGTAGTAAAAAGATGAAACCCGAGGTAAACATGGGCAGTGCTTCGACAGTGTCATGCACACCTACTTGACAAGGATAACATAGTACGAACGATATTAGCATCCTAGGTTACATCACCTAACTGGATTCTCTCTTATAGCACTAGATGGAGTAAGCGAGCAAATGAGCAGTGCGACAAACATACATATATAGTTTAATCACATCACTAATCACTCGCTGGAGGCGATGCTTCTTAGGATGATCTGTTTGTAGCCCGCTTTACCCAACTCACTCATATATGTCACTTGTCGTAAACCATTTCCCATTGTGATAATAGGGTATCAGAATTCTGTATTATTCGCTGTTCCCTCTCAAGCAGGTATCTAGATTGTGCGTTCACTGTGGCCTCTTCGCTCCTAAGTGTTACTTCCCGGGGCTTCATTTATCCGGAGGAAAAGAAAAACTTGTGGTAGAGGGGAACTCTCATCTCACCAATTGAAAACTGCTGTGAGGCTTGTGCTTGGAACAGCGCGAGAAGTAAGAGCGACGCTACCCGGCGACCATCTAACAGAGCAGAACACCGTCCAGCAAGGGTCGCCGTGTTCATACTTTTCATTCTCTGTTTCTTTTCTTATCTGTTCCGGCTGCTCTTGTCGTATTGATTGATTTCATAATCTGACCGAAAGATCAGGTACTTGGTGATTAAGATGGTAATGATATCCGATGTCATCTCTGGCTCTGCATGTGTCAGATTTGGTAAATGAGGGTTTAGCAAAGCCACATTAGATCAAAGCTCAAGCAGATCAGATGGAGGTGTGGTCAGTATTTGACTGCCAGATATACCGGCAGTCTATTTAGAGCCGAGCGGACAAGCTGCTGAAAGCGACAGTCCAAATTTTGTACCGAGTGATCGAAGATATCAGAAATACAGGTGCAACTGCCCTCCCCCAGAAGCTGGAGCGAGGAAGAATGAATGGAAAAGTGCAACGAAGGTGGATAAGTTGCAATGGTGACTGAAGACTCTACTGTACAGAATCATCATGGCGGAGGCTACGTAAGAGACCCCGTTACCATTCCTGGTCTAGACCTTGTAGGATGGGAACGTAGACGAGAAGAAGGGAGGGGAGGGCCCACAAAGCCCTGTATGCTGCTCCTCCAGGAGAATTAGAAGAAAGAATTCGTTCTTTGCAGAGAGAGAGAGAGAGAGAGAGAGAGAGAGAGAGTTGTGGAGCTCGATCCGATATGTAGTAACTTAAAATCTGGTGGGGTCGGGTGGAGCAGGATTTGTCAAGGGTTTCTGAGGATCATCCATGGCTCAGTTGAGACCTCTTGACCTCCTGAGCACTCGTGGCTCACATTGAGAGGTGCTGGAAGTGAAGATCCCACGCTTCAGGACGGGCGGGGAAACGGATATGCTCTGCCGGGCATTAGTGACTGGGATGATTTGAACAAGGTGAGTTCCGCAGGTGGACACAAGCTCCAAACAACAGGGCACGAGGGCAGGGGCACAGAAAAGGGAGAGGCCGGAGAAAGAGAAGAGAAGGGTCGGGGAAGGGCAAAGATATTTAGTGGAGTTCGAGGGAGCAAAGGGCCGGGCAGACAAGATTTGAGCTGCGAAGCACGTTTGCGTAATCTGCACTACATTGAACCGTCCTCTTTCTCGCTCTCTCTCTCTCCCTCGAGACTTAGAGGGAAGCTCGCCGGTTTGAAGATTCAAGTGAGTGGCGCACTTATGCAGGCCCATGGCGCATCCAGTACTCGTTTCATCTGTCGGGGTAACCTCTAGCACGATGCCCACCCAACTGTCGGTTCCCACAGTTGCTGGCGGCAGGTTTTCGCAGTTGACACTACAGAATCGTTTCGCTGGAATTCACGGATTGTCAGGCACTAGTTGGAAAGGAGTGAGATTGAATTCTGGACGGCACAGAAGGTCCGGGTACCGAGGAAATTCCGTAAGAGCGGTGTTGGTGCGAAACCCACCTCCTGCGGAAAGATCTCGTGGAAATTTAGAAAACGGGAGTGCAAGGAGTGTAGGTAGAGATGATGATTTCTCGGTAGGAAGAAGCAGAAATGATGCTGTAGTTTCTTCAAACGGGAACGGCGGAGCTGCTAGCCGCAGAGATGGATTGGAATTCAGGAACCCAAGTGAGTTGGTTGCCACGAGAATTGAGAAAAAGCAAAGAGCGAAAATTGTCGGTGATCAGGAGTCAGAGGCTGAGGCGAGAGCAGCACTTAGGGCCGCCAATGTTGCAGAGTATGATCCTGTTCGCCTCATCCAGCGCTATAGCAAGGAACCTCTGAAGGTATTAATCGAGTAATCCTGTACTTTACTCAAAATTCTTTCTTTTGTTAAGCAGTGCATTTCAGTCTGTTTTCCAGATGGGCAGCTCACAAAGTTGTCTTTGCGTCTATGTAAAGCCTGAAATTCTACCCGCAATGTTTTTCTTGAAATTAGAAAGATGCGGAAACTAGTTTCTTGCAAAAACATAGATCTGCAACTTCTTGATGATTTTAGCTGCTTGGCTTCCAAACCGTGTAGAATTTTTCGTCCTCGTAACGTTTCATTCGTATTTCAGGTGTTGGGGCGTGCATTGAAAGTGACAACGACGTTGGGCGCTTTCGCCATCAGCGTTCTCATTGATGAGAGGAGGGGCAAAATTAATGAGAACATGCGAAAACGAGCAAAAGAGTTAAGAGAACGGCTCACATTTCTAGGACCAACATTTGTCAAAATTGGTCAGGGTCTTTCCACTCGCCCTGATCTTTGTCCTCCTGCTTATTTGGAGGAACTTGCTGAGTTACAGGTAAGCTCGCGCATGATATCTGAAAATTAAGCTACAGCCTAAATCCGAATATTGATTGAGTAATTAGTAGAATATTGATCCATTAGTATCTTCAGTCGTCTCTTTACCTTTTCTTATCATTTTCCATACCACTGTTATGATATTATTTGATTTATAAGAGGAACACACAAATCGTAGAAGTTTTATAGAAAGAGTTTTCAAGGGTTTTTTGTATCTTCTTCATGGATAGTGGGATTACTTTCAATGCTTAATTTTGTTCTCGTTATACTGTACGCTCATGAAGTTCTGATTTCAAAAGGAGTATGTGTGCATTGCAGGATGCTTTGCCAACATTTCCAGATGTTGAAGCCTTTGCTTGCATAGAGAGGGAACTTGGTAAACCGATGGAATCCATGTACTCAGCGATCACTGCATCGCCAATCGCGGCCGCAAGTCTTGGGCAGGTCTACAAAGCACAGTTAAGATCGACCGGAGAGATAGTGGCTGTCAAAGTCCAAAGGCCTTACATCGAAGAAGCTGTAGCACTCGACTTCTACTTACTGAGAGGCATATGTGGTCTCGTTGACAAGTATGTCGATGTGGTCACTAGCGATGTGGTGGCTCTGCTAGACGAGTTTGCACGTCGAGTTTACCAGGAACTGAATTACGTTCAGGTAACTATCACCTCCCACAAATTTGTGGATAAAAGCCATGAAGAAGATGGTTTTTTTTTGCACATAGGAGCAAGTAAATTTGCAGTCTTCAGTTTTATTGCCGAATGACAGAATCTTCCTATTTGTGAATACTCCTCAATGGATTCTGTCTATCTTCTAAAGTTCTAAGGTTTCCTATCCTCTCTCTTGATCTCCTCTTGTGGAACCGTACTGATTTTTGTTTATTTTTTATTACGATGATGGCAGGAAGGTCGTAATGCAATCAGGTTTGGACAACTTTATGGAGATAGGCCTGATGTTTTAGTGCCGGGAATCTATTGGGACTATGTGAGCGCTAAGGTTTTGACGATGGAGTGGGTAGATGGTGTAAAACTCAGCGAGCAAGATACAATCACGGCTCAAGGGCTGGATATTATAAAACTCGTAGACATTGGTATCCAGTGTAGTTTGAGACAACTGCTTGAGCATGGATATTTTCATGCAGATCCACATCCAGGAAATCTTCTTGCCACTCCAGATGGAAAGCTCGCATTTTTAGACTTCGGTATGATGAGCGAGACACCTCCAACAGCCAGATTTGCAATCATCGGTCATGTGGTACATCTTGTCAACCGGGACTACGAGGCCATGGCTCGTGATTACTATGCCTTGGATTTTCTAGAACCAGATGTTGACGTTTCACCTATCGTGCCTGCTTTGAAGAACTTCTTCGACGACGTGCTGGAGGCTACTGTGAGCGAATTAAATTTCAAGACAATAGTAGATGGTCTGGGTGCCGTCTTGTATAAATACCCGTTTAATGGTAAGTCCCGTCTGAAGCTTTTGTTCCGGTCTTTGCCCGGATCATACAACTTTTGGTTAGCTTTCCGTTTCATTGCTCTTTTCATGCCTGTGTAAACATCCTCAGAAAGCCATGGTCTAATCAAGATTTACTATATGATTGTATCTCTGTATGTGCAGTGCCAGCCTACTATGCTTTAATCTTAAGATCTTTAACTGTTTTGGAGGGATTAGCGCTCTACACTGATCCGAACTTCAAGGTGCTCGCTGCATCATACCCTTACTTCGCGAAAAGACTACTCACTGATAAAAATCCTTATCTACGAGATGCTCTTATCGAGCTTCTCTTCAAAGACGGCACCTTCAGGTACTACGCGTCATCATCGCAAAGCACAAGCATATTGTTTGTAAGAATGTTCAGTATATTGCCGTGATGACGTTTCCAAATCCATCGAAATGATTATTGTTGATGGCAATGGTGGAACAAGAGGGCAGTGAAAGTAGACTTGCTCCTTGAGAGTATCCAGACTTTTAGGGTAGTCGTGTTTTTGTTGCATAATCGATGAATCACAGGCTGAGGTTTCTATGTTATTCATCCATCTAATTTGTAATTCCTGGTATGCAGATGGAACAGGCTGGAAAATCTGCTAGTACAGGGTCGTAAGGATTCAGAGTACAGGGCTAGTGATGTGTTGCAACCTGTGCTGGACCTGCTCTTGGGCTCCGGTGGAGAGGAGCTGAGAAGTTTGGTAGAAAGGGAAGCAGTGCGCGTATCGGAAGCGCTTGTGGTTGGATCTGCCATACAAAGTTACAAGTCCGTGCCACAACCGCTTAGAGATTTCATCGATCGAGGAAACAACGTCATACGAATCAAAGAAAGCGAGGAGATCGAGATGCTTGCCTTGAGAGAGCAGGTTTTGAGAATCTGGAACCTACTTCGTAGTACCAGTGGGTTCGACCCAGCTAGTCTCCAGCCTATCGTCGAGGTAATCCTACCGTCTGGTTCCAGTCTCTGGCATTTGGCCGGATGAAGAACAATTGTTTGCTCTTACAGACCTTTTGAATTATTTCAATGAGTAGAACCTGTATGATGCCAATCTGAAAAGTAGCCATTACACCGTAACAATATTTTGCAGCTGAAATTGTGGCTGTTCCTGCCACTGCATTATCCACCTAATGAGAAACAGGAATGTAACTACCTTGAGAATGACAAGGAAGTTAAGTGCAAAGCTTGCAAGCCCTGTAACGATGACGATGATCTGTCTTTCTGCAGGTTCTCCGGCGTTCCGAAGCTCAGGCTATGGGAGGGCGGATTGCTGGAAGCATCACAAGGCGGTTAGCAGCAAGAGCTCTTCAACAACTACTGAAGCAACCGACTCCAACGCCCACACTGACATCATGATCAGATCTCATTCAGCAACAATACCCAACGAAGCTGCATTCTTTCCTGTGTTACAACTTACAAGGCAGAAGCCATCGTTACCTGCAAGGATTGTGGATCATATTATTCAAATGTACTATAACATGCATTGGTCAGAAATTTTATGAAAGTCATCCAAATGACATTGTAATATTTTACTATCCAGATCTCGTATATAACAGACGCAGTGGACTGTGTTTGGCACAACTTTGAAAATCCTTTTGAACTTCAAGAACCGAAATTAATTTCAAAACAGAAGAAACAAGAAACCGAACATATGCAAGTGCCTTCAAGCTTATCTAACTGGCCGACGTAGACTTTGGCAAAATTTTGTTCGGCACTTAGTCAACTTTCAGGAAATTCATAGACATTCTAAATTTTTACTTGTATTTTGTTGAGGGAAAGTCATCGCACGTGTTTGAAGGTGATAGAATCTTCTCTTCTCAAAATCAGGACGGAGGCAGAGGAAAAGAAAGCAATCGTCAGCACTTGACCTGTAGTTCCTGCGAAAGGTTTCAGATAGAAACGCATCTTCAACTTTCTAAGAAGAACCCACTGACGATGACTGTACCTGTAACTAAACCTCTGAGATGCCAAGCCAACTGAAAGAGCGTGTGGCATCTCAAAAGACAGTTCTGCAGCTCAACACGAGCCAACTTTACACAATGTTGCTGAGCGCATTCCATACATTGGCTGGACAATGTCAAGTCAGAAATATTGTCGCCTTCGTTGCGAATATTTTCGGTGGACCAATCTGTTCGACAATCAGTGACGAGTCCAGACTGAATAGAAATGGATCGAGGCACGGATGTGCCTTGCACTCTTCCGAACGAGGGTGACAACGACATGCACCACTCTGCCTCGAAGGTCATGTACATACATATACGTGACTGTGCAATCATAGTGACAACTTCAGTCAACGACGAAAGTAAGAGGCACACACCTTCGAACAACGCCAAAGGGTTCAGGCCAACAATCTCGTTGAATACACTCCCGTTTCGATCAAGAGTCCGAACACGGGATCATCGACGATGCTGAGAGCTTCGTAAACAATCGCAGTTTCGCTGGGCCGGAGAGGGTTGCTCGTTTCCTCCTCTTGGCTTTGCTACTGGCAATTCTTCCATTCTTGTCGGGGCTGGTGCGATGGGGGGCCTCTCTGTCTCTTCCCCTGCATCGTGACGATTAGACGTCTCCTGTTACCCCCCCCGCGCTTGAATATTCCCTTCCGCCTTCCGGATTGCAGTTACGAACGAAGCGAAGAAGTATTGCCCCCGCCGCGGGTCCCATGGACCGTTGTTGTCACTAGTGCTGCAGTCGGCGTCCTGTGTGCTCCTCTCGCTCGCTCGCTCGCTCGCTCGATCGATCGGTGGACGACCTGCGTCACGTGGTAAAGTTCGATCCTCGATGCGCCTTACTCCCTCCCTGTCTCAGCGCGAGCCGAAGCGATTCGTTCTCATCTTGGTGAAATGTGCGGATTCGATGGATGCGTGATGGGATGGGATGAAGGGGCCGAAGAGTTTTGTGCTGAATCACGAACAGTATGAAATCAATGCTTGAATGTGTACTTCGCTCGCTGCTGCTACGGAGCAGCGATTATCTGTTTGTACATACACAAATTATGACTCCGTTATGCGCTGGATGATGATTGAAAGCTGCTTGTTGGGCACATTGGCGGTAGGGTTTAATGAGGGTTTCTGTTCTGTTGTTTTCCGTCGCAGGATTGTCACGAAGTGCGACGGATTGGACGTCTTCAAGCGCCGAGGCTTACACGCGCAGCTCAGGTCGGCGTGAATGAAGTCTGCTGTCGAAGAATCGGAGAATTTGGGGTTGCAAGCGAGCATCGAAGCCATTGTGGGGCATTCGGATGCGGGTTCAGCAGCGATGACCACTTCCGGAGTTTTGATCGATTCAGGTCAAGGAAAAGGAGACGATCACTGCACAGCAGCAGCAGATCCTGCTGCTGTCTGCGGTGAGGAGCAAGAGCTTGTGATCTGTGAGACTCCGTTGGTTGCGGAAGCCAGTCGCGAAGAGGTGCAGACAAGTGCACTGGAGGCAGTGAGAGATGGCGGCGAGCTCACGAGGTACGACATCGATGAGCTTCTGGAGTTGTGGGAAGTCAGTGTTCTCAGCGAAGCGACGTGGAATCGAGTTCTCACCGCTCTGAGCCCACACATGGACGACATGTTCGAGATGCAGGCCACGCCCAACACCAAGTTTCAACGACGCCGGGGCAAGAACAGCGAGAGGCGCCAAAGGTTCAAAGCGAAGCGCGAGGCCATGCTCTCGATCTCTCGCAATGAGAACGGTACGCTTCCCCACCATTGGTTCTTACTAACTGCTTCAGTCTCGGCAGTGTTTCATAATTATTGATTCGATAAGCTCTGAGTGCAATTTCAATCCTCGCTGTGCACGAGGCTGATCAAATCCGAGCTTTTCAGAGGATGCGGATTTCCATCATATTCATGGTGAGAGGACGGACGAGGGCATGGATGACACCGCAGAGCTATACCTGCAAAAGTCTGGCACGTATCAGGTCGGGAAATTCGTACACCGGAAAGGGCCATACAAACCTCGGCATCACCATACGTACGAGGATGAGGTCGTGGAGAGCTTCCAGTCTCAGGCGTTTGCAGTGGAGGGCGAGCCAGATTTCGAGTCTGGACCTCCTGAGGACGGTTGGGAGTATCTTCGACGTGTTATGTGAGTTCCCTCCCTCCCTCGTTGCATTCACCTGAAAACCTTCTGTTTCTCTCGATGTTTGTGGCCATCGACTCTTCATCTTCATTCGATTCGTTTCGCGCAGCAGTTGAGCTGAGTTCGTACAAACTCCTCTCGAGAGCCCTTGAGAGTACAAATTCTTTTGCAGCTGTAAATTCCTTCATGGTTTCGTGCCAATCGTTTTTTTGATGGCTTGGTTTAATCAATGCTTGTCGGTTGTTGTGGTGGACTAGATGGGAGGCTGCTCGGTGTCCGAAGGTCGTTGTGGCCAACATCGATCCAGAGAAGTTGGTATCAGAGCAAACTCCGTACATGCCAATCATTCCAGCCATTACACCTTGTCCTCCGGACTTGTTGCCATCCAAGGAATGGGAGCAGCAGTTTTTGGCAGATTTTACACAGCTCAGAATCGTAAGTGTCAAGAATGTGTTTGTTTCCGATTGCACCTCTTGAGGCTTTGACAGGCATTTGCTCATGAGGACTACATTTGGGCTTGTTCATAATGGTGTGCTGATTTTGAACCTGCGCAGGAGCTGTCGAAGCTGCATGCACCACTGGAGGCATGCTCGGAGCGATTACCATCCGGAACGAACAGAGACGCTTGGGAGATTCTCTGTTTCGGCTCCGTGACAAGCTCGAGAGCCGAGGATCTGGAAGAGTCAGGCTCCGTGAAGGGTGTCGAAGAAGACTGTGGAATTTCTGCAGGGCCCGAGGGAGTAGATGGTCCGACAGAGGACGAGGTAGCAGACATTCTTCACCCCTCCTCTGCAGCAGCAGGAGGAGTGCAGAAGAGTGTCGAAGGAGTGGATTCCGATAAACCCTCAGAGCAGTCGGAGGAGGTCCAAGCCTCGATCCAGCTCTCACCTCAAGCACACTTTGCGGGAGAAGAAGGTCCAGATCTCACCGTGCCATCTGAATTGCTTCAAGGAGCCCTGCGTTCAAGTTCCCCCGAGGCTGCCCCCAAAGAGACTCTGCATGAGGACTCTGTATCCTCTGGATATGGCGATGGCAGTTCGCTGAAGACTGCACAACTGCCAACGAGTGGAGAGTTGCATGCTTGCGATCGAGTATCAGCCCCGATCGAGTCTCTCAGGGAGAATCAAATCCTCGTGGATGATGAAACCTCCTCGAGCCATAACTTCGCAGCTGCTGCCACTCCTGCGTTCGAGACGAGCGCATCGGAGCAGGAACCGCATGAACAGATTCTCTCAGCAGCAGCAGCAGCAGCAGCAGCTGAGGTGCCGACAGAGCCATCATCCGCTCGTGCTCTGGATGTCGATGAACCAAGCTCCGTTGTGGAATCTCTGGCAGCTGCTGCTGCTGCTTCTTCAGAGTGCGTGGATTTCTACGACCGATCTTGCAGTGGAGTCGACGATCACGAGTCGACCGACGTGGCGGGATCCGTGGACCGTTACTCGGACTCACTGCTCCTCGAGACGAAGGCGGCGGAGGACGAAGGATTCGAGCCCGTAGACCATTCTTTCATTCATGGAGAGCAGCTCGATGAGGAGGACCATCGGATCGCAGCGGCGGACCAGACGGAGTCGCTCGCCGGGTACGAGATTTACACGTCGGGCAACATTCTGGAAGAATCGGAGGACGAATTGCGCGAGAGCATTCTGGAGATCGAGGAGCCCGTGCAGCAGCTCTTCCAGCGAGTGTTCGGCGTCGACGAGGCCTGGAAGCTGCCGTTGCTGCACACGTTGCTGCGCCTGGACCCGGTGTCGCGCGCCGCGCTCTTGCGCCATCACGTCAACTGGCTCGACGGCGTCGACTGCGGCATGCCGCAGCAGCGCGCGCTCTGGCTTCTGGGCCTGGCCGCCGTCGTCGACACGCCTCTCAACGGCGACACCACCGCCTCCGTCCGCGCGCTGCTGCGCCACTGCGCCCGAGTTCGCGCCTCGATGCAGTCCTCCTCGAGCGACGACGACGACGGCGACAATCAGCTGCACATGCTCAATGCTCTGATCTCCATCGCCGGCCTCTTCTTCGGCCAAGCGGAATCCCATTCCAGTTGACCTTTCGCATTTCTCGTCACATTTCTCGTCTCGATCGATCTGTCGATGTTTCCATTTTGCTCGCGGGCCCTTTGACCCTTTTCCAGTCTTCCCCAACGGGTCGAGAGTGCCCCGCATGCCCACCCCTGGCACCCGATCACGTGCGCACCGCCTCCCCTCCCCTCCCCTCCCCGCTCGTCCGGATTATCAGTTATACCGTCGGTCGGTTGTGATAGCCAGAGGAAGCCGAGCGCGGGTGTTGAAGGGGGGCCGCGGCGGACCCGAGGGTCGGGCAAATAACTGGAAGACGGAAGGCTCATTGAAGGGCCGGTGTGGAAGGAAGGAAGGAAGAGCGCGCGTGCTGCTGTGCGACGGGGACGAGGGGCAGTTGTTTTCAGCGGTTGACGCGGGGCGGGGGGGTTTGCGTGAAGTCGGTACACGTCCAGGGGAAGAAGAGGGCGGCGACGACCGTGAGAAATAAGGGACTAGGGAAGTGGTCGACACTGCGCGCAACGTCTTTGAGTACAAGTTCACTGCTTCCAACAAATCTCGAATGGAGGATTCTTCAATGCAATCCACTGTGTTCATGGCACAATAGACTGCGAGAAAAACTGTCGATATAGGGAGTGAGTTGCAAATTATTCTTTTCACAGTTGAATATCGTGTCATGTAATGTATAAATGTAAAGGATGGACTAAATTGTGGCAATATGTGAAGATATTGTGTAAAGATTTTATTTTATGTGAATGTCACTTATTCACTTGAACTAGGAACGGATTGAGAAGTAAACATGACACATAATGGCATACATCTTGAATGATTTCAATGATATAGTTCGGGACTACGGAGACATGAGTTGGAAAAACAATGAATCATGAAAAGATGATTCTATTCAAAAAGTACTATTGAAATATTTGCGACTATGTTTACCATCATCATACGTGAAGCAAAGAGGTTTTATTTTCTACGACCATAACGGAAATGATTAATATTCTTAAATTTCTTCTATGTAAATTCAATAAAATCAATTTAGGAATATCTACCATGCTTGAACACAACATAGTTTATTTTCAATTGCATTCATTCTGTTCTATGACATATTTACTTTGTACATGTTTCGGTTTATTTACAAAAACTACCTTGCATCCAATTCAAAGAACACAAAATTTCACATTATAATTAAGGAATATTTTATTCATATCACATATCAATAAGAAAATATTATCTCATCATCAAAATAAAATATGTTCCATGCCTTAAAGTTATTACATATATCTTGAAAGAAAAATAACGACTGTCATATGAAGATAATGAAGTACTGCGATTTCACTTCTTCTAGAATATTATGTATGCCCTCAAATTAATCCAAAAAATTACCTGGTGAGTTTTTCTCTAATTGCTCTCTCAAAATATTTATGGAAATTTTATTTTATTTTCATTGTAGATAATAAAACACTCATGACAAGGGAGTGACAAACACGATCACATATATTTTTTTCAGAAATTTAAAATATTTTGAACTCAATATGACTTCCTAGTGGCGCTTCGCTAGCGTGATCATTATGATGAATCGGGAGTACATATCGAGGTTATCCCAATCAAAATCGTAAGACCTAAAACGGAAATAGACAAACCTGTTAAACTTTTCCCCCAACTTTTCCAATGAGTATAAATATCGTAAGACCACTAAGTATCAATACACAGAAGGATTCGTAAAGTTTTTAATTAGATTTATAGGAAGCCAAAAACATCAAAAGGGTTTAACTTCAGAGGGTTGGACATAAATTTGGAAAATTCCTCGAATAACAATCCCCTTTTTTTTAAGACTGGGTTGGCGAAATGCTTAATCTCGAGGTCAAAGAAGTTATATAATTTTACACTTGTTCTAGTCAACCAGGTCATTAAAACCTTGGCTTAAACCAGGGCTTGAATTTCACAAAAAGGATTTTAAAGTTCATCATAGTTGATCTCAGTATCTTATGTATATGACTACTTCGAAATTACATATACGTCAAGTAACGAAAGGAAAGAATAGAAAATCTCAAGAAAATAGACACGATAATGTTGAGAGAGGTTGTGTTATTAAGGTGCGAATGCTGTACAGAGTTTTTGAAAGTCGGATGGAATGATCCGAAGGTTTTTGAAGGTGGAAAATTGGGGAAAAATTTATTTGTTCATCATATCATTCTTGGAGAACTATATCGAAGCAGGCAAGGGTATCCACTTAAAAAGTGTACACTAAGTGCAAAAGATCAGAGCGAAAAAATTGTCTAATTGGGACCAAATTACAAATCTCTTTGTACGAAGAAGAACAGAGAGAGAAATGAAAATTGTGAAGGTTTTGTTTTTTATTTTCGTTTCTCTATAGTGTGGAACGAATGGTTACTCGTCAGAAGAAGGAGGTCCCGGTGAGCCCACTGAAATCCAAATGATCTGCGCTCTCGAAAGTCCTGTGCCAAATGTTCAAGATCTTTCGGAATTTGAATCTCAGGTCTATTTTTCAGTTTAATGAGTAGGGATCAATTCTGTCACCAAATACGCATTGTGAAGTTTTCCTCGCAAGAATTTGTCCTGGTCTCGTCGATGGATGAAGATCGGCACTAAATCAGGGCCAGAGTTCAGGTTACGGATGCAATTCGTGTGTAGAATGCAATAGTATCCGGAATTGAGGACACAGATTTGAAGCATGTAGCGAGGGCGCACACGTCTGGTATCAGTTGGTGGCTGTGCCATTCGAGACTTGTAGGGGTTCATGGGGCTGGTGTCGGTGGCAGGGGTTTGGTCATGAACGTGAATCTTGATATTATATGCGCAGTACATCCAATATTGTTTAACTGGAGGCAATCTACGCACCGAGAAGGATCCGAATAATCGCTGATTTTTAGCAGTTACTATCCACTGTAATTTACCAGCCAAATTTTGGACTCCTCCGTAGGGCAGGAGGAGGAAGCCCACCGCTGGCATGCGCGTTGTCAATCTTGAACCAAGAAATACCTCAACTCACGAGGGGGCTGGGTCAGGAAGCTCATGATCAGATTGGCCACAGGATATGATCATCGCGGAGGTCAAAATCAGGCAGCTGCAAATGCCGGCTCCTCTGCTAGCGCCTGACAAAACATCTGTCAAGAATCAAATTAAATACTTGGAAGAAATCTGAACACCACGAGAGGGAAACGGTGGAAAAGTTCAATCTTGAAAGATCTGGGAGAACTTCATCATTTTGTCGAATACAGAGCTGTTAGGATTGTCAGTAACACGAGAATTACAGGAGGGGAATTTAAAATCAGTGTGTTCAGTCCTCTTCAAACCTCCACGCAATTACGAGCAGGCCTTGGACTCAATGATGGTGTAGAAAATATCAAATTGTCGAAAGCAAGGATCGGACGTGTACCTTTGTTTGCAAGAACAGCCATTTGAGGAAGGAAGAGATTAAGTACTTTTGATATGATAAACCTTAAGCTTGTCAGGATGTTAGAGGATGTGAGCAGATTCACTGCCGTAGTACGCCATTTTCAGGTCAGCTGGTTGTCATACGGCACCAGATGAACCCACGGTTTCAGAAAGCAAATACAAATGTCGATGGCGTTACCCTGTCGTGGCGCACTACTCGCTGGAAGGGGCAGCAGTCTACAACAATAATCATTTAGATTCTGAGACAATCGGTGATTAACTATTTTAACTATCACCGAGAAGGAATCGATGCATATTATTGGGAATTATTAAGTGTGGAGTCCAGAAGAAACCAAGCTTCTCAAGGTCACTATTTAGACCTATTTGTCTCCCGACAGTACATGACACTTGGTAATGCCGTCCCTGAGATGACTGCCTTGCAGTCGATTAGTGAGACCCATCTGAACTGCTAAGGATTCACGGCAACGCTCAAAGTCTTCCATGTGGCGTAAACTGCAAAGCTGAAGCACAAAATCTGCAGAATTAGATCAGGGTTGAAGTCATTTGGTTCATAGACATGGCGGAAAAGGTTGTGGAAAAGGATGTCGACAAGGTTGTCGACGTTGGAGAAGCTGCTAATGAGCAGCCGAGTGAAGAAACATCAGCAGAAGCAGAATCATCTGTAACAGTAGCGGACACACCCTTATTACCTCCAGAAGAAGTGGAGACATATGAAGTGGTAGAGAATACGGTCCCCCGACAGTGGCGGGGAGATTCTCGCGTTGAATGGTTGAGAGAAAAAGTGTGCATATCATTGGATGTAACACGGCCTGTTTTTGATTCCGTTTTCAGTGAAGAAAATGGAGCACAGAGCATCGAGACCTTTTTGGACAAAGCTCATTCTTGCATTTTTTTCTACTCAGACTCCAGGACAATCAAAGTTATTACGAAAACTCCCATTTTTGTTGAGTTTACCCCCGAAGAAATAGCCAAGAGGAAGCAGGCAGCTGCAGCAGCAAAGGTTGCAGCAGCAGCGGCTGCGGTTGCTGCGGCTGCTGCTGCAGCTGAAACCGGTGCTGAGGTTCCTCCGGTGGTTCCCCCTGAAACGCCTGAGCCAGATCCTGAAGAGGAGAAGGGTGTTTGGGAAACCCAAGACGTTGAATCCATGAACACAGTGCAGGTTGTATGTGCTACAACAGGGCGTTTGTCTAATGAGGCGATAAATAAGGCAGTTGTTTACTTCATCAATATTTTCCCGCAGTTAGGAATGTTGGATTTTGGAAAGATGCACAAGAATTTGGAATTCGGAGTTTTGCCCTCTGGTCCAACTCTCTCCGCGTTGGAGCAGGTAAGGGCGTCCCAGTTTCATATAGATCTGATCAAGATGTCCAAATGTGCGAGGTGTACCTACAGGATTCTGTGATCTTAAAGTATCTGTCCATATCAGGGCCTACATTTGGCGAAATGTTTTGTAAATCGGTCGTTCCTAATTTTAACATGGTAATCAAGCTTGATCTTTTCTGAACAAAATCCTACAGTTCATCCTACAGATGATTGTGTTCTAGAGTTTATCTGTGTCAGAACTAAAATTATGCACTACTTTAGTCTGAAGTGTTGCAGCATGTTGTCGATGGTTGCGGTAGGAAAAACTCAGTTCCAACATCGAGACATCAAGACCAAAACGAGAATCTAGTGGGAAGATATATATCCGTGGACGTTGAATTCCCTTTCTTTACCTCTCTCTGCGCTAATTGTGGAAAACGAGTAACAGTCGAACTCCGTCTGATCCAACATGATGTTGCAGCTGCTCTTTCACCTCTTCATGCCAATTCTTGCTCGAGAAGGCGTATACGCTGGGTCTAAGTTTTGGCACACTGAAGAGACTCATATGATGGAACATGTGGGAAATGAGCTCCTCAGCAACATGCAGAGGTTTCTTTCACAGGTATATGTACTTCAGTGACTTCGTTGTGGACACAGGAACCTTGCTGTAGCAATCGGTGGAGTGTGATGTAACCCTGCTAACATTGTACGATACTGAAGCTGCCCACATCACCTTGATGTACATTTCTGATTAAACAGGTCTCTATTGCCCAACAACATCTCCTTGGAGACGCACAATTGGTCATTCCGAGTTTGCCTGCGGACTGTCTGGAGAAAACAGATATCGATTATGAACTCATCCTTCAGGTACATTACTACTACCTACTGAAACAAGTCTTTTGCTGTTGCGGCAGTTCCTTGGAATACATTCTCTTCTGAACTAAGCCGATGCTCTGCCCATTTCCGGGACTGTCTTGGGATGCAGCTGGAAAGTCTTTTGGCGGACTGGATTCCAGCAGTGATACACGCAATTGAGACTGAAGCTGTCAAGGTAACTTATGCATTCATTTCTGGCGTTGTAGGCGTTTGGCTTGGTTAAAATAGCCAGTATTCTTAGAACTCTCCGTAAGAAGCAATGAAGGTTGAAACACTTCAAAGAGTTGCTTCTCTCCACAAGCTGGGGTTGATACAAGATCTTCAATACGTTGTATCTCATTGATTCGCAGAGCTCAATGACTAACTACGTTTTGGGATACCGTTGTGACACTTCACAGATTCCAGCTGGTCAGAGCCCTTTGGCCGAGACACAGTTTTGGCGAGACAGAACCAATGCTTTGAGCAGCCTTTACGAGCAACTGAACTCGATAAATGCCAAGAGGATGCTCGCTCTTTTGGACGCAGGAAGTAGCAACTCAAATCTGCTTGCCAGCTTCAGAAGCCAGGTCACGGTTTTGACGCCTTTGAACAATAACATGACCTCAATGATAACTGGATCTAATATGATGCCTGAATATGTAGATGCACACAAATATGGTACTAATGAGCGTTTCACATCAGACCTTGTCAAAAGGTCAGCGAAGTTGAAATGTTTCATGTCTAGCAATAAAGTCGAACACCTTATAAATGTTGCTAGAAGACCAATATTTACAGATGTGAGTGTTAATCTGAGACTCAATTTCTTCATGTCTTCGGCACTGCATTTGTAAATAACAGAAAATACTTACTAACTATAACCGTAGGTAAGTCGTAATTTACTCTGACACTCTCTCTGCCACCCTAAGAGTAATTTGAGATTCAGGTCCGAACTCGTATATATGAACCACCTTTTTGAGATAGGTGTAGTATATACGAATTCTGGATATTATGCTTTAACGATTATAATTGACATGTGTTACGGTGCACATTTTGATAGTGAAAAATTCTTTAATTACTGGTAATGTATTTGACTATTTTTTTGGAGTTCGAGTTAGCACTCTTGTTAGTATTCGATTTTGGCATGATATGAAATGTGAAGATTCCTTTTATAGAGTTTAACCTTATTGTTGATTATACTACTCTGTATGACCGTGAGGGGAGTCGTAGAGTAGGAGTTCGTTGAATTTGGAGATGAATCTCATTCAAATCTGGAGAATGCTAATAATAGTGCTAATCCAGGAGAATCAACGGAGCACCATGCTATACTGGTTATGGATGTTGAAAATATCATTTTCAGCTGCCTCAACAGAGTCCATAATATCAAAATTTTCAACATTTTGGACGTTTCATTTGTCATTATTTAAGATTTTGTTGCACATGGGAAAATTGTTCCCCATGTTTCTTATCTTGTGGTTGAGAAGAATGCCTGCCCTGCATGGCATTTAAATGTTAGACCTTTACCATGGTAAAGAACCTGTGCAGATGTTGCTTGAACCTAAGGGCTTGGTATAACTCGTGGTAGAGATTTACAAGCTTACAGAAATGTTTCACACATAATGAAATACCCGTCTGGAATTCCACAGCGCCTAATCTCCATTTCCTGTCTACAGAATTTGATCTGCCCCAACAGTACATATTGCTTGTAGTCTCGTTCCTGAAAAGACGTCATCTCTAACAACTACAGTTGTTGGAACTAGATAGTATCATGCGCCAAGCTGATCTTGTCTCTGTTACTCTACTGCAGTTTACGGAACTCAGCAAAATGTTCCTTGAAGCAAAGGAAAACGTGAAGTTTCTGACGACTTTAGAGAGGCATTTTAAGGTGTGTCTCTTGGTCTCGACGGATTATATCACCTGGCGTGTAAGAAGTTCTGCAGTTATTAATGTATATTGATCGAAAGCAACATAACAGCATGGCAAGACCGATATTTTCTTTCAAGCTGAGAGTGATCAGAAAAAAAATTACAGTTTTAGCAGCCAGGAATTCGGGGCTGATGATGTAAAAAGCTTAACAATGTGTAGATCAATTTCACTTATAATTTCAAAACTCCAGACTTTTCTCCCTCCCTATGTTTGTTATGAATATCCTAAGTTTCCTTATTGTTCATCTCGTGATGTCAATCCCCATCATTTCAGCTTATATTTTAGTTAGTGCTATCGTTTCTTAGAATTGAAACTGACGGTGTCAAGTTGAACTGAGGAGCAGCTTCAAAGATAATGCATTCAGTATTGACGACCCAAATGCAATTTTGTGCAGACTATTTGCACAGGACCATTGCCACGGGTTTTAGAAACTATAGGCCCTATGATGAACGCGCTGCGCATGGTGTGGATTATATCTGGTTATTATTCCGACGACACTAACATGGGCAGTCTTTTCGAAAGAATTGCTTTTCAGGTTCTCATAAATTTTCAAAACACCTGAAGGTTTTAGGTTTAGTATATTGAAAGACCCCTGGTGATTTGTATAATCTGCAAATAATATATTTACTTAAATTATATGAGCCTGTAGTTGTCGTTCACTCTCTAGAACGCAATCTGGGCCATGTTTTCTTTCCATTACTCTCCACTTCACTTGTTCCGATATCGTACTGTACGTGTATGCATAGATTTTGACTGTCACCGGTCCAGTGATGAGATACAGAGTTCTTCTAGATGGATCTTTACGATCATGATTGCGACAGGATTTCAACACAAACATGCTACTGCTACTGACAGAATGTTTTTAAGCGCAATCGGTGCAGAGGTCTTGATCAACATTATTTAGAACTTCGAGATTTCGCTGGTGTTCCTTGCTGTTGATTGTAGTTCCCTTTGCTTGGTCAGATTGCAGTAAAGGTGACCGAAGAATCAGATTTTAAGACCATATTTAAGGTCAAGGCGGAAGAGGCGGCTGCCAAAATTAGCACAGGAAAACTTGTGCTCGATGCTTGGAGTGGAATCTACTTACAAGTTCGTGAACAGATTGAAAGTAGTGGTAGGGACCCAAGGTACTCACGCTGAAACTAGAAAAATTGCCTATAACTAGTGGCTGATGAACTGCCTGACATCCTTGAATGACTGTTTGTTCACACAATTTAATTTGAAGTCTGCTGGATATCAGCAGTCCAATGCGGGAGTAAGAGTTCCGTAAGAGTTTTGTTTATTCTCTGATCAGGTGGGAGTTCGACCGCAAGAAGTTGTTTGAGCGGACAAACTACATGTCGACAGTATGCGTTGATCTTCTCCACATTGTCGAGGTGGTTAACGATTTTCTCTACTTCCTTGGCCCTGAGCTGAAGGCGGTCACTGGAGACGTGCAGGGCATTGACGAAGTTATCCACGTATGTTTGCACTTTGAGTGAATACATCCGACTTCTCTTCTCGAATTATGCTCTAGAATGAGCAATGTTTATCACAGTAACCACTGCATCTCAATTTGTGCTTCCACCAATTCAGGGACCGAATGTTTCCACATATAGAAATCATGGTTCTAATATGGGCTCAACTTTGCTACACCTAATTGATACAGAAAGTGCAAGCTATGGTGGATCCTATTGAGAATCTTCCATTCGATGCCTTCGATAAAGCCCATGCTCCAATGTGGTCAGCAGCTGTCCTGAGTTTTGACAAGGACAAGGAGAGAGTTGAGCAGTTGACCAAGGCATTCATTGACAGTTCATTCAAGAAGCTTCGGAGTGCTGAGGGTAAGGTTCTGAGACAGGTCTTATTGCACGCTTACAACGTTTACGTAAAAACGTTTACAACGTTTGACATAGGTTACAGAGTAATAATGGACAGGATAGGTGTATGCAAGCCAAACACTTGCCACGAACTGTAGGGGAAACGCTCTACGTTGAACTTAGTGTTGGAAGCTTAGTAGGAAGACTTTCATGTAGTGGACACAACTTTATACTTCTCAAACCTATCAACTAAGAATGGTGAGGACATTCGCGAAGCCCTTCCAAGTCATACGGGGTAATCACCTTCCGAAAAATTCATGCAGCAAGCTTCGGGAAGGATCACCTGAATGATACTTGTGTGAATGTCCAACAGGAGCACTAGAACTTCTACAAAGCTTTAAAACGGTTAAAAGTGAAGGTGCAATCAACAAGCAGATGATGGAAAAATTCAATGACATACTAACCCAGGTGATAAACCCTGTCTCTGGTGTTTACTCTTTCTGGTCTACTGAAAAATAATGTGCTATGTATATTTCATTGCTTATATTTTAATGAATATCCGCTTGCCTGTTTTGTGGTTGACATTCAGTGTTCATCTTTTCTGACTCACCAGAAAGAAGGGTTTTAGCGACGAGTTATTTATATAGCTGACCAGTACTTTAACTTGCATGCGTAGTGTCATGCAGTTCATTAAAGAGATAGATTATATGAGAGAGATCTTTAGAAGCAATATGGACTCACCACCAACAACACGGAATCAGGTAGGGAAGTGATGCTTCATCAGCCGGTTGATAATGCAAATGTACTGTATGTCTATCTAATTTCGCAATCTTGTCACACTTCATCTTGTAACTTTCAGTGAACATACACGTGGCATGTTCTATCGCAGTTGTACACACTCTTTATGTTCACTTTCCTAACCGGTAGACATCCCGATTCACTTTCAACTTGCGTACTACATGCCGTACCATTGCTGATACCATCAGATTCCTGGAAGATAATTAGGATTTCGTTGCTTACGTTGTTCTTACTACTTATGCGATTTCACAGCCGCCTGTTGCTGGGTCAATAAACTGGGCAAGATCCCTGTTCGGGCGAGTGCGGAAAACCATGCATTCTTTCAAGACAAGGGCAAGTGATATGTTGCAGCATGCTGCAGCGGTAGAGGTACTGTATCAGTTTCAATATCTTTCAGCTTCTATGAACTCATGAGCTATCGGACGGTACAAATACAGGAATAAGGCCATTCAATAGCCAAGCATTCTCTGGACAGGTCAAGGATGTACGCTATGCCCTACCTTACAGATTGTTCCAATTATGTACACAGACTACAAACATACTTTCCGTCTCAAAGCTATAAGGCTGTTTTGATAATCTCACGTGAGGTTTTCACGACCTGCAAACTGTGTCTATTTTCTCCGTTCCCACTTGGACTCGCAGTCTCAGAGCTGTAGAGTGTTCTGATGTGCAACTGCAACCATTTTTTCTCCTGTTTGGAGATGCTTGCTTATCGGTGTGGTCTTGGTGCTCCTTATGAGTTATTTGATTGGAACTTTCCATAACGCGAGGTCAAGCGCAATCTATTGGATGAGTCTTTCTCTTCGTCTACTATTGCTTTAGTTTTAGTAATCACCAGTTTCCTTGATCTACAACTTCCACGTTATTTTTTCGCTTTATTCTTTTCATCTTTGTTATCATTTGATTCAATGGGAGTTGAATGAAAGAAATTGTCTATGTTTATTGTGGAGCACAAAAGAAATGTATAAACGAAAGTATACGTAGAGAAACTGTGATGATTTGAAGGTTTTTGACACCCGCCTGCCTGCTGCGGGAATTGCTCAAATATTGATGCCCGTCAGGCTGTGGTGATTTTCAGATGGATATTCAGTATCGTGGTTTAGCAAAGCAGATGCTGATCTTTGAAAAACAGTGGGTCATGCAATGGCTTCAAACTGTTAATCAACAGACAACCTTTTATCTCAAGCAGGTGATGCATCATATTTTCATTCCAATCGGCACATAATACTAGCTGGTCAATAGCATATTCAGTTTGAAGGTAAAAGACAATAGATTCTCATGATCAATCGTAATTCAGACTCATGGAAGTAGGAATGGTTTCTATGGCAGTCGATTATTCGGAACGAAACTGGAGCCAGAATTGAGGTGAATTTCCACATTCAGTTGTCACAAATTATTCGGGAAACGAAATACTTGGATGCCATGGGATTTCAAGTCCCAGAATTTCCGCTCAGTGTAACTCTCCAGTCCGACAGCTATCAGAGCAACGTGGAGAGCCTCCAAAACATGCTGGAGGTAATATTTTCTAATAATAGAAGGTTGTGGCGAAACCCTGACTGGCTTTCAAAACTTTACTTATGCGCTTCGTAGTAACAAAAGCGCATCTCTAGAGTCGACACCAGATAGGGAATTTGTACTAAATTTCAGCAGTGAGTTCTGAATGACTAATTTTCCAAAATCTTTTTCGCTGGTCTTTGGGATCATTACCGACTAGTCGAAAATGTGTGCAGCACTATCAAAGTGTCATAAACATGATGACATCCATCGAAGCAAAGCTTTTAGGAGCGAGAGTGAAGAAGCTTCAACATGTTCTGGATCCTGGTTTCTTGCATCTAAATTGGAACGCTCTGGGGATACCAGACTTTGTCACGAACTGCACCAAGGCTATAAATGCCTTCAAGGCTTTGATATCACAGGTCTGTACGACTAGTAGTTTCCTTGAAGGAGAGTTCTTTCCTGCTACCCTGGAGTGAAAAATGCTGTGGTATTTGACAAACCTAATGCTACTGTCTATCCATGGACAGGTGCAAAGCAACGCAGCGAACATGGAAAATGCTATTGCCGGAATTGCTAGGTCAAAATTAGTAGGAATCAGCCCGAATAATGAGGACAGCGAAATTCTCGATATGCTGGTTAGTGCTTCTCCCTGAATCCGAGCAGGATGAGAGTTCACAGTTCACTTTAATTCTAGCGTTTGTGTTGTGGATGTGTGAGGACCATTCTCATGTCTGAATTCAATCGCTATGGCTGGTAACAGGAATTCTATGAAAATTTTGAGTACGAACGTCAACTCGTGGTTGACGGTGCTCTCAAGCAGTAAGTTATTATTGTTCCTGACAACCAGTACGTGTTCAAAACTTGATTATATTACCGAGTTTGGAATCTTCAAGTGCCATTGAATGACCAAAAGTGCTTCAGTCCTGTCTAACTTTGAGTTGCATGTCTGTAACAGGTATCGAGGAATACCACCACTGTTGAAGAAAGTTGAGGATGTTGTTGTTGGTACAAACACTGGAACGTCCCTTGTGTTTGCAGAGTATTATACATTTTGGGAACTGAAGATATTCAAGGCCTTAAATGAAATGGTTCTGAAGAGCATGAATGGACTTCAAACATTGTTTCGGGATAGTCTTTTGAGGAAGGTATGGCAAGTTCTGTACTTTCTGAACAGAGATGACGTTCCTGGTTAGCAGTTAAGTCTCATCTCAAATTGAAATTCTAGTTGATGGACTAAGCTCTTGCAGAGTACAAGGCGAACCAAAAAGTTTAGGATAAGGAATATTCAGGCAATTATAGGCCGTCTGGATATATCTGTACAATGAGTTGCAATTATTTTCGAAAAGAAGATCGTATAGCTAATTTCCAAATTCGTGACTACGACATCAATTGGCTTTGAGCTATGCAGGGTTCAACAGGAAAGAGAAATCACACCAGACTCTTCAGAGTTGTTTGCTTTCTAAATCATCCAGATGTAGTTGTACAGCCGAGTCTGACTGAAACAACGAAGATGCTAGCTAATATGGTACGCCTTTGTTTCCCAAAATCCATATATGTCATATCGAACGTGATTGAAAGTTGATCTTCATTCACTCACTTTGCATGTCTTCGCAATTGATACGGAGATGCAAACTCCAACTAGGTCGACTAACTTGCCTAACTTATCTTCACCAGTATTTTTTATCTGGATTCTGTGGCATATGTCTAGACGTAGATGTCATCATTTAAAGGTGTTGCTTAATTTCAGATTTGTGTTGGTATCTTTGTCCTGAGTAGGTACGCAGTATTTTGGATTCAGTGAGACCTTTCGTGAGGTGGATGGATGGCACTTGTCTAGAGACACCACCACAGGTATGCTCTCATTAGTTACAATTATGGCTTTAAATATTTGATAGTCAGGTTATATTTCATATTCCTGGACATTCCACCGAACATTATACACTGCAGCAGTGGGCGTCTGCAGGGGATGACCATGAGTGTAAAATTAAGTGATAATAATGTAATGGCAGAATCGAAAAAATTTCAAAGGTCCAAGCTAACCGTCACCGTTAAGTGTTGGAGCAGCCTTTAGAGCTTTCCTGCTGGATGTTTCAAATACCTGTGAAACTAACCACATGCTTTATTTTGCAGTCAGCTGGCGAGGATGAACAACCGTATATATATTCATTCTACAGTGAAGTGTCTGTGAACCCCAAGGTCATACATCCTCCAGTGCTTACACTACTTAACCAAGTAGAAACGAGATTTTTTTTTGCTCTGTTGAATTGAGCCTCCTTAGGTTTTGAAGATCTGATCTGTGACACGGGAAAGAATTTCAAAAGAGAATGAGGGCAAAGTATGTTATTGCGAACTTTCGATTCTGTTTTCTAAGTCATATGTACCTTGCCGTGTCTGCATGTTGGTGGTGATAAGAACTTTGTGTGTCGTTGCCTGACTCTTGGTAGCTTGCTCACAGATCATAAAGGCCATGTTCACTTTAAACAGCAGCATACAGAAAGCAAGTGCTGGAATATACAAGTGAGTTATGATTGCACACGTTTGCTGCTAAACCAAACATGGGGACAAACCCTCGTTTCTGATGTTTATATTTTTTAAATCCGAAGCCAGTATATCAACAGGGCATTTGGTCTAGTGGTATGATTCTTGCTTAGGGTGCAAGAGGTCCCGAATTCAATTCTCGGAATGCCCCTTTAACATCTTCGATGGCAATGCAGCAATCTTTCTCAGTCTTTTCCTTTGCTGCGTGTTTATTAGTAGGTTTCTAATAATATAGCCGAGCGTTAATCCTAGTTGGACCCGATGGCAATGCAGCAATTTTTCTCAGTCTTTTCCTTTGCTGCGTGTTTATTAGTAGGTTTCTAATAATATAGCCGAGCGTTAATCCTAGTTGGACCCGGTAAATGTGTGTAATTCCGCACATGCCGGGTAAGAAATTGGGATTCTTAGCTTTACAGGAAAATTTTCAAAATTTCTAATTACCTTACCGAGCGATTAATCATAAATAGGGGAACTGGGCATTGTTAGCCTCAAGTCTTCTTCCCTAATGTGTGACAGTTAGATTTGACTTTGTATCATTAGATACCGTACAATACGTCCTGTCGATGTTGACGATAGGGTCGAGTCGTAAAGACGGGATTTCAATTCTAAGGCCAGACCACTAAGCTACGAGGCTCTTGACCTCGTTTCGTTGAGATCATGGCATCTCGATATTAACGTCGGGTTTCCCTTTTAATTGCAATCCTCACTGTGGGGTTGTTCCTTTCTACTTCGTTACTCACATCCCTTGTACTCCAAGATGGACGTGTGTCCAACTCCTCTCATCCATGCTTATCGACAATCCAGGAAAATTCATTCCTGGATTGTCGATACTTGCACATTATTAGAATATTACTTCTGAGATTCATAATCCATCCGAATTTCCTAACTGGACTCGTCGTCATGTACACTTACCGTAGGAAAGATAACTCCTTCAAATCCATATTGAGGTCAATTTCTGCTTGCAGGCACTTGGAAAACTGGAGAAAATACCAGCACCTTTGGAGACAAGACAAGACTGTCATTTTGGGAAAGTTTGTTGCAAAGAATCCAAGCTGTTCGTTTTTTGAAATAAAACTGGCAAAATATGCAAAGGTGTATAACCTACTTTGCCCATCTAATGTTTTGAGAACAATTATTAAAATTGAGAACTAGAATGTTTCACTTTTGTCAAAGAGAACCCACTGTTCGGACCTAAAATCAAGCGATTCGATAGATGGAACAACCGTATTAAAATCCACTTCGTGTGCTAAAATATTTTACACATGAATCATGGATGCAAATTCTTGTAGGTTGCAGCAGATGTGCTTGAAGTACCCAGGGACAAATCTGTCGAGTTTTTGCAAATAAGTTCCAATCAGCTCGTTTCATCAGTCCACTCAGAGGCATCTGCTTGGGTGACCGCAATTGGAGAAGCTATGATTTTGAGTGAGAAGGAAAGGGTCCTGTCATTGCATGCGAAGATCGATAACTGGTCAAAAATTTTGCACCAGGTCAGCAACATGTCTTGAAATTATTTGGTTTCTCTTTCAAGACAAGTCATGATGTGCTCCATGGAATTTCAAGTGCTACCACTGAGGCCGTTTATATGTGACATGGCGGTAATTTGATGTTGCAACCTGTGTGTTGGCATCATCTGCAGCCTCCTGACACTCTAGAGAACCTGAAGATGGTTCTGAACGTCGTGGGAGAGATTTTGACTGCCGGAATGGTGATGGAACTTGAGTAAGACAATCTTTGTCCGACAATAATTATCTGATCCAAGAGTACACTGAAGAATGATCTCCAAGGAACTATGATCATGACATACCATAGTACAGCGTTAAGAACTAACAGTAATACTGAGACTCCGAAAATATTCTGAATCAGCATGTCTGCAAGTGCAAGTGTTTGAGCTTCAAGAAGCGAAACAAATCCGATGCCTGCTATTTTTTGGTGATGCATTTACAGATACCTCGATCTAGAGGAAAGGACAAGGACTCGTGATCTGTATAAAATAACCAATTCAGATGAAGACAGAGCTCGGACATTCACCATAAGAACTCGGTAAGTCTAAGACTCACCTGTTAAGGGGATGCTGAAGCGAGTTGCGGACCATTGATCTGCATACAATATCCAACTCGTTGGCTATTACGATTTATCATTATTCAGATTAAGCTTAAACGATGTTAATCTGAATGCAATATATGAATAACATTCAGCATATTCAAATATTCATACCTTCATTAACAAAGAAATCGAGATCAACGGATTGTGTTACAATTGGTGGTGTAGTGTAACAAGATGATAAATCATCTAAAAGATGAAGAAGGGTTTAGTTATACCATCCTTGTTATACGAATCATACGAATCAATCGTATGCACGGAGAAGTTGGGAATAGTATGATGGTTGGTATTTTATTTCTGCCATCTGGCAGAAAGAGATTTCCTTCTGTTTTATTTCTCTCGGCTAGACGGTTTGATGGTGTTTTCCCACCTTTTTGTTCCCAGGTGTCCAACGTAATCTTTGACAACGTAATTTGATCAACAAGGTTTCCAAATAAAAGATAGGATGTAGCCTTTAACTAGTTTATGCTCAACGTTTATCGCAATTGTTTTAACGACACCGATTCCACACGAAGAGCAGGTGGGACGAACTTGAGCATGAAGCTAGAGTGTTGAGTTCAACACTGCAAATTGTGAAGAAGAATTTTGTCGCAGGGACTCAAAAGCAGGTTAGTCCACAATACGGACTCTTTTGGTTCATTCAACAAACAACGTTCTCTCATTCTGAGGTCCAACATGTTCTTAAAGACAGTTTCATCTGTAAATTAATGTTTTGTGGACTCACTAAGTGATCCTTAACCACGCTTGTAGATGTCATGGCTGGCATGGTCTCTGAGGTTGCTTGCTCTCATGGAATACAGGCTGAAGATTTTGTTCTCGACACTGTTTCATTCCGTGATCGTATGATGGCACGGGGACCAGTAAAGTGCACTGATTTAGATGAGGGAGTTCAGCTGCTTACCCAATATCAGGTCTGCAGTCTGAAATACGAACACGACTATTTCATCACTTAATCGAGTGTTTGCAATCTATGCTATGCTTACATATGGTAACTCTATACATTAACGTACTGTATCTTTTACACTTATTAATTAAATAGATTATCCAGCCCGATATCTACTCCTCTTCTACCAGTTTGTAACATCTCACATGCTAGAAATCCTACAATCATGATCATTGCTATTTCGAAGACTACTTTTTTAACCTTTTTGCTGCTTGCTCTCATCAGGAGGAACTCGAGACCATGTTGAAAACAAAAGATGCTCTAGTCCTGGCGCAAAAACTTTTTGACATGCCTGTCACACCGTACCCTGCACTCTTTGAGGTAAATCCGGTTCCGTTAATAGACCGGCGAAACGCTCTTCTATCATGTACATGATAGCTTGAATCATTTGTACTTGAAAATTCGTATAAGAACAACTTTGTTTCAGCTCTTATACTCGACGCTCTAACGTTCTAACTAGCACAAGTTCATACTTAAGTGACATGACTGTCTATGTTGTTGCATGGTTCCATGATATTGAGTTTGATCTTTTGGATTACTCCAAAGACCAACGAATGAAGCTCATGAGTCTGGTCACCTTCTGAGCACCCATGTAACAAGTTTCAGATGTAAACTGATGATTGATGCTTTAATTTTTGTATTACGACTTACACTCCACTCTTATTCAACTATGTGCCAGGTTGAAACGTCACTGAAAAACGCAGCACTTATCTATGACATTTACATCGAGTTCTCGAAGACCGTTGAAAGCTACTCCGGAATGCTTTGGGCGGAGCTAGATATCAATAAGCTCGTCTCCATCACAGATGAATTCAGTATAAGGATGAAGAGACTTAAACGGCTTAAAACCCAGATTCCCTATATTAATTTGGAAGCTAAACTTAAAGGATTCCAAGACTCACTACCACTGATTCAGGTTAGCACTCCTTTTCCCAATGTCTGTTATGTGTTCCTTCGTAGCTGCTTCTGATACGGAGAGAACCTTCAGTTTAAAGACATGAATGTCCAGATATATTTGAGCACTTACAAGCAAGTGGATACTGTTCATACCATTTATGTGGGAACTACGAAAACTACGAGCGCTGTACCTATTTCTGATGTCGATCAAATTTTGTTTGCGAATGTATTCACTATCAGGATTTGAAAAGTGAAGCTCTACGGAAGCGCCATTGGGACAAGTTGATGAAAGAGACAGGCAAATCTTTCGATATGGATCCTAAAACCTTCACACTGGCTAGTATCTTCAGGATGGAGCTGCATAACTTTGCAGAAGTTATCAGGTGAAAGTGAAGCAGAGCATTAAAAATAATCCAGAAGTCGTGGGATGAACTCTTTGATCTAAAACTTTGGAGATCACTTCCAGTTCAACACCTTGACTTCAATTTCAATTTTTTTCCAGCGGCTGCCTTCGTTCATAAAGCATAAGATTCTTACAGTTTGTGTTCTGAATATTTCGTTTGTTGATCGACAGTGACATCACCAATGCTGCAATCAAGGAGCTCAATATTGAGACAGAACTTAGGAATCTCGGAGAAACCTGGAAAGTGCAACAATTTGATGTATTCAAATACACCAAAGATGGAATGGATAGAGGCTGGGTGCTTAGATCAACCGAACAGACGACAGTGCTTCTGGAAGAAATGATGATGAACTTACAAGGAATGAGTAGTTCTCGCTACGTCCGCCCTTTCCTCGATGAAGTCAGCTCCTGGGAACAAAAGTTGAGCTTGGTTGGTGAAGTGATTGACATTTGGATGCAAGTAAGCAATTAAGTTGAGCCGGCAGTCTAGACCTTTTATGTTGAGATTCTGATACATGAAGACCGACTTTCAAGGAAATTTGTTTACATGGCTGACGTAGGCTCAGAAAATGATTAAAATGATACCGATATGTCTAATACTTTGAATAGAATGTACTGTATAAATACGATGAAAGAAGGAATTGACAACGAATGCTTGTAGACAATACCAGCTCAGATTGACGCGACAGATTTTGTGGAACAGGTACAAAGGAAGTGGATGTACCTCGAAAGCATATTCGTAGGCTCAGATGACATCCGCCATCAACTTCCTGAAGAGGCAAAACGTTTTGATACCATTGACAAAAACTGGATCAAGATTATGGCGGAAACTGCAAAAAGCCCGAACATTCTTGAAGCATGTGGTTCTGACGGGCGTTTGGACACCCTCAAAATGCTCTACAATCAGTTGGAAAATTGCCAGAAGAGTTTGAGCGAGTGAGTGATCTCAGCGCAGCACCCTTCTATCCACCGTCCAAATAGGAAACAATAACAGTCTCTTTCGTTGTTATTGTGGAAACACGTACGAAAAATGAAACTTCACTGTCTTTTCTACCGGTATCCTACAACAGCTTGTCTTGGAGCAGATGTTGATTTACTTCATGGGCTAAACTTTCAATTGGTTTCTGCGTTGTTTGCCCCTCAATCTTGCAGGTACTTGGACAGTAAAAGAAACGCTTTCCCGAGATTTTTCTTCATTTCCGATGATGAGCTCTTATCAGTCCTTGGGACCTCAGATCCTACGTCTATACAGGAGCACATGCTGAAGCTATTTGATAATTGCGCTGCTCTCACTTTTGGTGAGAAGGCTAAGACCGTGAATGGTATGAAGTCCTCAGAAGCCGAAACATTCGCATTCAGAATGAAAGTGTCGACTGAGATGGCTGTAGAAATTTGGATGAAATCCGTGGAGTCAGAAATGAGAAACACTCTATTTGACATAATGAAGGAAGGTGTGTACAACTATGCGAAGTCACGAAGAGTGGACTGGATCTACGAAAACCTTGGAATGGTTACCTTGGTCAGTATTCTCCTTTCCATAGGTTCATAGCATCGTAGAAATTAATTCAAGCACTAGCATCTGAAGATATCTCAGTACAGTAGAAACCAATATGCTGAAGTGTTCTCAAACATGCAGAAACTCGAAAGCACCACTCCGCCTAGTTTTCTTCAGCAAGCACTAACTGGGTTACAACAGGCTGGCAGTACCATATGGTGGACGTGGGAGGTGGAGGATGCTTTTCGGTGTGTAAGACTTGGGGACAAGAATGCGATGAAAACTTTCAGCCTGAAATTGACAAGACAGCTGACAGAGCTCGTTGGCATGGTCAGATCAGACCTCAGCAGTTTACAACGCAAAAAGGTTGAGCCTCCCGCTTCTTAAAGAGTATAAATCGCACACCTGAAGTCAGTTGCTCAGTGTCGTAGTCCTAAAGAATCCGCTATTTTCTCTCCTTGCGTTTTTCAGCTTCTGAAAAGAAGTGAAAGGTGCTACTAATCAGCTCTGGTCTAAACTCAGTGGGAATACTTCACGGGAGAGTTTACGGAGAGTTTTTTTCTTGACCGAACAGGTCAACGCGCTCATTATTATCGAGGTTCACGCTAGAGATATCATCGATACATTCGTTCGAGACAGCATTCTAGATCATCGAGAATTTGCATGGGAGAGTCAATTGCGATTTTACTGGGACCGCAAGGAAGATGATACTCTGATCAGGTAAACCCTTTGCAGGTTTCATCACCTTCAGTGTCAGCTGCTTGACCTGTCATGGGGATCCTTATCTTGATCCCTTCGGAGCTAAACCAAAGTTGTCATCTGGGCAATGGTTTCATTTTTTAAAATAACCATCATGGATATTAAGTTATTGCTAGCACCTGTTGCTCTCTGCAGGCAGTGTACAGGAGAATTCAAGTACGGGTACGAATACATGGGCCTGAATGGACGCCTTGTGATCACGGCCCTCACAGATCGTTGCTACATGACGCTGACGACAGCTCTCACGTATCGCCTTGGTGGTGCTCCTGCTGGACCTGCAGGCACGGGCAAGACGGAGACCACCAAAGATCTTGCCAAGTCAATGGCCCTTCTTTGTGTCGTGTTCAATTGTGGCGATGGACTTGACTACAAGGTCTAGCTCCTACGCTTTCACTCTTCGCACCACTTGCGTATGCGGTCCTTCAGCTTTTGGATTTGAGATCTCTTACTACCATCTGTTGCTTTCTGCTGGCGCCATTTTGAAACATCTAATGCATTTAAATCATAAAACTCATTTCAGCATTTCAAATGAACATCTAACATCGCTTACGACAAAGGGTTACAGTGCATCCTCAAATTTACTCTCATTGAGCTGCACCTCTCGAAGCATTTGTCACATGAGGGCCGAGCTAGTTACGGGTAGCTTTTAATTGCGAACTTTATAAAGCCCTTCTATAACTTCATAAATTCGAAATATTTTGTGAATTTCTATTCAAGGAGGTCTCGGAGGAAGTTTATATTTCCAATTGCTTCTTCAAGTGATTGAAAATTTATGAGGAAGAAGTTTCTTGAGCACCGCACTCCGAGCACATCACGCCAATTGCAATTGTAGTTTACTAGCCTGGTCAGTCGAGCCATCTTCCAATTCTTTACAACTCCTGTAGTACTTGGACTTGCACAGTAAGGTTCTCAAACAAACACGCTTGTATGAAGATCCTAAACTTGGTAGAAGACTGACTAATCCACTGGAATTCGTCGTCAATCATGGCCATGTCCAGCCATGATTGACCTTTCTTAGCACATCAGTGTCTAGTAATATCATCATTCCTGCTTTGTGTGCTGGTAAAATATGTCAAATTATCCGCATGCTGGTTTAATTCGCGTCAGAGATTGGCCAGAGCAAGTCCATCCATAAAATTGGGATTTATTTCGTGTTGTTTTTATCATTTTCTTAAATTTAATTGAATTCGAGCGATTGACGGACGACGAGGATTGACCATGCTTAACTGACTCAATGCTTCACATCTGACTCCTGCACCTCGTAGTCAACAAGTGTTGAGTTTCATTACCTTGACATTGCATTTGAGTAAACCAAGTCTCCTGAAATAAATATTGTCCATGTGAACTTCATCCAAGTTTGTGAGCTGGTGAATTTATGGAAGATCGATATGATTGGCTGGCTAAACTCACCTGAAAGTCAGTCTGGGCTCAACATTCCATGCGTCGCCGCTTTTTCTTATTTCAACATTTGATCTTGAATGAGATGAGACTAAGTAACGAGAAACGACTACATATCAGCCTACCACATTAGTTAGTAAGCACTAAGAAACGTCCCTAGCAAATGAATTTACCAAGAGTACTGTCGCCTAATTGTAGGCAGAGTAAGGTGTAAAGATTATCTGTCTTTCAATGTTAACATCTTAAATGTGTTGGTATTTGTGTTCAATACACCAGCAAATGTTTACGTGCTTCTTGAAACAATCCAATGAAGTATCGTCTGATTCCATGTGAGCTTGACATGTGATGTCATGGTGAGTTAAATATAACACTTCTGCATGCAATTATTGGGCCCCTGAGCAGACCTAATTGATTCTAGTGTTTGCGCTTGCAGGCCATGGGTTCGATCTTCTCAGGACTCGTCCAGTGTGGAGCTTGGGGATGTTTTGATGAGTTCAATCGCATAGAAGCTGAAGTGCTGTCCGTGGTTTCTTCACAAATCAAACAGATTCAGGTATTTTCGAGTTGGCTTTCTCATGAATATAGTTAGAGCTTCTTTCCAACTAAAGTTTCTGCTCAAGGTTCGTTTACTATCATTGCGTATTGATGTATCTTGGATTGAAGTCAAAGATATGGTGCTAAACTATGAATGAAAGATCTTGATTTACAAGAATAGATTTTCTTGAACTTCTCTAGCAAGCAGCTCACAACAACAGCTCATTTGATAAGCTGTTCGTAAGGGCAGGGACAGTCTCGGTCAGATAGATTGATCGTCAGGCCTAAGGTCCATGAAACTGGTCACTTACCCAGGAAGCACTGAAGAATCATCAGAGAAAGTTCCCTTTTGAAGGCAGAGAAATTGCTCTGGACCCTCGGACTGGGATCTTCATCACCATGAACCCAGGATATGCCGGGAGAACTGAGCTGCCAGACAATCTCAAGGCTTTATTCCGTCCAGTTACAATGATCGTACCAGACTTTTTGCAGATTTGCGAGATTATGCTTTTCTCAGAGGGGTACTTTGATTACACTTCTCTCAGCGGATGATATGTCTTCTGAATCATCGAATAATATCAAAGATAAATAACTCAGGAAGAGTGAACAATCATCTGTTCATTTCGACAGCCTCCAGACCAGAAGACCTGTATCGTTGTATACAAATGTTTGGCTATTATAGAGTCCTTGATTAACGAACCCAAATTCAGCTTCAGTTATATTCAGCTGACTGAGAGCTTAATGTGGGAAAATCTCGACTCCAATGCAGGTTTGATACAGCAAAAGTTCTGGCAAAGAAGATGACCGTGCTATACAAGCTGTCACGTGAACAACTCTCGAAACAGTATCATTATGACTTCGGCCTACGGGCTTTGAAGTCAGTGTTGGTGATGGCTGGCTCCTTCAAACGAGGTTTCCCTGACATGAGTGAGGCGCTCGTTCTGATGCGCGCGTTGCGAGACATGAATCTGCCCAAGTTTGTCTTCGAAGATGTACCCCTTTTCTTGGGCCTCATCAATGATCTGTTTCCAGGTTTGGATTGCCCTCGTGTCCGCTACCCGACTCTCAATGATGTGGTGGAGCTTGATTTAAAGGTGAGGAACACTTCATTTCTCGACATCACTGAACCATTAGTCTGGAGTCCGTAAATTTCCCATGACCATGACAGACATTTTATTGAACAGATGCATATTGCGATGAGTATTTTAAGTTCCCAAACCTGAAAGTTCTGATTGAACATACTTTCATTGGCATGGCTCTTGATCACTCTTCATCTCTTCAAGGCAAACCTTCATGTTCTTTATCTAATGGTCTGGGTCCAGTCTTTTGTCTGGCTCAACATCTTTGGGTCTAACAACAGGAGAACCTTTATCTTGTGATGACCGGGCCTAGCGAACAAGTTGACAAAGTAATTCAGTTGTACGAGACAATGCTCACCCGGCACACGACTATGGTCGTCGGACCAACCGGTGGTGGTAAGAGTGTCATCTTGAACACTCTAGCTCGTGCACAGACGAGAATGGGTTACCCAACGAAATTGCATGTCATTAATCCAAAGGCCCAGCCTACAAATGAGCTTTATGGTGAAATGGGTAAGCAGCTTTGGCAACTGAAGCACAGATAATCATGTAGAACATAACCATAAATTCCTGCGGAGAAGATGCACCCGTTGCAGATCCGTCGTGTACATGAAAAGCGAGACGAGCTGGAGTCTATTCTATCATTGCAGTGGTCACTTAGTGTTCTGTCCGAGAGATTCTGAACATTGAATGCCTTTTTTGTCAATCTCACAGATCCCGATACTCGAGACTGGACTGACGGCCTCCTTTCCAGTATATTTCGAGAGATCAACAAGTCTCTTCCTCCTGAGAGACAGGACAGATTCTATCTTGTTTTCGATGGTGATGTCGATGCTCTGTGGGTCGAGGACATGAATAGTGTTATGGATGACAACAAACTTCTCACCCTACCCAATGGAGAGCGCATTCGCCTCCAAAATCACGCGAAGTTGCTGTTCGAGGTTCTGCATATTGCTTTTCAAACACGGTTATATTCAGTTTGAGCTTTGAGGCTGGTCTAATAGCTAATAAATCTCTCTTGCTCAAACGAGTTCACCGAGACCAGTCGAAAGAGCTGGTCCGAGTGCACATCAATAGCAATCTTCAGGCCAGGTGCTGCTTGCGTAGAAGCAATCAAGTAACTGCAGCTCAGGATGACATTTTCTGTGACAGGTGGCAGATTTGCAGTACGCTTCTCCAGCTACAGTAAGCAGATGTGGAATGGTATTTGTTGATAATAAGAACTTGGGATATAAGCCATTCCTTTGGAAGTGGTGTAACTCAAGATCAGTGTAAGTCAATCAGCAAACTGAGGCTGAGCCAGACACCTTTCTTCAATTCGAGTCTTCCTTTGTTCATGGTTATTCTCCCAATCGTCTTGCAAATTTAGACTTGTGGCATTTCTAGCCATAAATGGGGGACCACAAATACTCTAATGAGGTGAGGTGCTAAGGTCTTGAAGTGTCGTGATGGCAGTGCGGATGAGGCAGAGAGTTTGAGAGATTTTATGGAGAAATACGTTCAGAAGTGCATCGAGTTCGTGTTAGAGGGAGTAACGGATGATACCATCACCAAACCTCTGCAACAAACTATTCCACTCACCAATCTGAACATGGCTACTCAGCTCTGCACTCTTTTGGAGGTCATTCTCGGTGATGGGAAGCAAGTCGGTACCCCTCAGGTACACAGTTGTGATTGTGTGATACTGAAGCTTCGATATCCTCTCCAAGACAAAGAAGTTCCAAAATTGTTTCTCAAACTTCTGAATTCGAATTACGCTTCGGTAGAAAGTAATAAATCTACGTAAGAATTACTAGCCAATCGAGTGGGTACTTACTCCTATCTGCAAATTGTGTGGGTGAAACGCCCAGGGACTGGAGGCAACATTCCTGTTTTGCTTGGTGTGGTCTATCGGAGCTGGCGTTGTTCAGAGCACAACCTGCAAAGATCGAGATCGATTTGACAAGTTCCTAAAAGGTCTAGCTGGTCTGGGAACGAGTCCCAATGATCCACTACCACCTAATCAACTCCCCATCGACTCTCTATATGAATACTGCTTCGACATCGTTGATCTTCAGTGGAGATCTTGGAAGGGGATGGTTCCAGATTACGTGGTAAGTCAACAGTCCATCTAACAACTCAACTGAAACATACATATTGTGGGATTTATACACTTCTCGGTATTTATATAGTCCCCTCAGGACCCGAGAAGTCACTGGATGAATGCCATCTATCACTTGCTAACCACATCTCCATACGCAGTGGCCAAGTTCTTCCATTCCATCCATTCCTAAAATGTCAGATTGAATGCCGATATCTTCCAGCCGAACAGATCTGAGTTCGTGAACGATGTGTCTTATACAGCCACCTCCAGACAAGGTGTTTGCCAAGATTCTCGTACCCACCGTAGACACAGTGCGATCCACCTGGCTTCTGGACACCTTAGTTCAGGTAAGGCACCTTGAACTACGCAGGCCTTCTGTCAGATCTAATGCGAGAGATAATTTTAATAAGTGAGGACGTTACCAACAGGCGATCTGAAGCATGACTATCTACTGAAATGACCAGAGCTTCTTGCTCGCTTTGGTGTGTATTGCACTGATAGTCTTCGCTCAGGACAACGTTTTTTTCTCGATATTTTGATGTAGTACACTCTTAGTTTGTTTAAAGAATACTGGCAACATGGCTCGTCTGCTTCTTGCAGAAGATATGATTGCAGTTCACGCGGTTACTGACGGTAAATTGGAGTGGAATTTTCTTCTCTTGTAGGCTGGAAAGGCTGTTCTCTTTGTGGGCGAGAGTGGAACTGCGAAGACTGTGGTTATCCAGAAGTACTTCACAACATTACCAGCAGCGGGCTGGTTGATTTTGGCCATGAATTTCAGTAGTAGGACAACCTCCATGGATGTGCAGATAACGATCGAGGATTCAGTCGAGAAAAGAACCAAGGTTTGTCTGGGAATATGTTCTTGTCTCCCCTCGGCTCTCATTCTGACCTCAAATGAATGTATTGTGGCCCTTTGGCGGCTTCATTTAGCCGAAGTAAAACTCTCATGTATACGATCGCTGGTCGTTCGAAAGTGAGCCTTGACATAGAGTCCAGAAGGAATAATGGAATAATGTGTGGAGAGTTGAGTTGAGTTGGCCCGTGCTGTATCTAGGTGCAGGCCTTTCCTGCATCAGCTGGCACTTTCATTGATGGTAAGGTGCCCGTAGATTGGGCGTTTTCTCTTCAAGGATTCACATTCTGTGGCACTTGGAGTGGAATGGCCACCATGGTGCGGTCTTCTGCATCGACCTTACTCTCTGGGCTTGGGACTCCATTCACGACAAGCCTCCTCTGCTTCGATTCCTGCGTTGCCACCACTACCCAAACCTTGCTGTAGGCTACTCTGTACCCTGCATGGATTACATCCAGCCCAACCTTGACATCCCGGCTGCCAGAAGTCGTCTCCATCCACACTGCAATCTCTGAATACTCATCCTCCTCCTGGTATCTCATACTGAAACCATCATCATCAAACAAGGTCACTTCGCTTCTGCTGCTGCTGCTGGAGACTAGAGGTGGGAAGAGGAGCACAAGCCTTTCGTCATCAGGAACTTCGCCCACATGATGCATGAATCGTCCCAAGGGGACCATACCTCCTTGAACGATGACGACTGGTGGGAGGACTGCATCGAGGGGACACTGCACTGTCACCTCCCTTCCAGCAGGATAGAACTCGCCAGACTGAAAGTCGAACCATCCAGAAGGAATGCTTGAGGTTTCAGTTGCTGAGGATGTTTGCGAGAGCAAGGGCATGTAAAATGTTCTGGTGCAGGCTCCTTCTTCGAAGACTGGGGCAACCAACATGGTTTCCCCGAGCATGTACTCGAATCCTCGTTCAAAGGTTTGGGCGTCAAACTGGAAGAGCCAGAAGAGTGGGCGCATGAGAGGGCGAGCTGTGCGATGAAAATCAACCATGAGCCCATAGAGGAAGGGAATGAGGCGCATGCGGAACTGCATGCATCTCCTGATGCCGGCTATGGCGGACTCGTACATCCAAGGCTCTGTCACGGACTCATCGTCGTTCCAGGAGTGGATGCAGAACCGTGGGTTGAGAATTCCTGCCTGCACCCAGCGCTGCAGCAGCTCCGGGGACGGCTTTGGCCCTGCAAAGCCTCCAACATCGTGCCCATATCCTCCGGGAAACGCTGAAATTCCAGCTGAGAGCCCCATGGGGATGTTGAATTTGAGCGTCTTCCAGTCTGTGAAATTATCACCAGACCAAGTCTGTGCACAGAACTGGTGAATCCGTGGTGTTGCCGAGCGAGTTATCACAAACGGCCTGGCCTGTGGATTCCACTCTTTCATAGCCTCATACGAGCACTGCGCCATGAGCAGAGTCTGCATCGGACCTGCCACCTGTATGGCAGGCTTGGACCTCCCGCACCTGCCACCTTCCACCTCTGGAAGAACCTCCATCGCAAAAGTGTTGGAGTCATCGGTCACGGTGAACTCGTTGTTGTCGTTCCAACAACCTTCCACTCCTAACTCCAGCAGCTGATCTTTCAAAGACTGCTTCCAGAAGTTGTAGCCAGCAGTGCTGGTGAAGTCGATATACGAAGCTGGTGCACAAGTTGCAGCTCCAGCACTCCATTGCATGACTATGGCCGGTGAGTCGGTTTCTGCACTCCATACGAAGCCCTTCCTGGCTTCCAAGTCCCCGTACTGAGGGTGAGATTTCAGCAGCCATGGCTTCACGTTGGCGAAGACATGAATTCCATGAGCTCTGAGGTGGTGCACCAGAGATTTCGGGTCGGGAAACCGCTTACGATTCCATGTGAAAACACACCTTTCGCCGGATGCAGGGCTCACAGTGTAGCCAGACGACAGATGCAGTCCATCACAAGGAATGCCATTGGATCGGCACACGGAAGGAAACGAAGCAAGCCTTTCGTGTGCATTGTCCGCCTCTGCATAGCCCATGGACGAGGCCAGATAGCCCAGAGAGAAGCGAGGGGGTAAGCTGCGCTGGCGGCCCATGAGAAATGCGAAACCGTCGAACACAGTTTGCACCGACGGGCCTAAGCACATGTAGTAGTCCAAAGGCCCAGATTCAGCATGGTAGTACCGGTATGGTCCTCTCAGCTGCACATCCACAGACCAGAACTCGCTCAGTGCCAGCCGTGGAAAATCTCACTGCAAACATCGACAGTGTGAAATTCCAGCTATACATAGGCAGACAGATACACGAGCTTCGATTACAGGAAACTTGATAGCAGTGGCAACTAGGTTTGCATCACTCCACCAATTTACAGTATGCACACTGAGAATTGCAGCCATTGGAGGAAGCATTGTGGGAGCGAATGGGGATTCGACCTTACAGCGTCAATTTCTGCCCCGAGGTCCAGCACAGTCCTGGACATGTTCTGGTAGAAGAGGCCGTAGGCGATGCGGGACTTCTTCGACAAAGTGATGTAGAAGGGGCAGTGTTTGTACAGGGGATCGGTGGTCTCTGCGTCGTAGCCCATGGCGTCGAAGCCCTCCAACCTGAACCGCCTTCCGTGCAGATTGAGCTGGCCTGTTCGCTCACCGAGGCCACAATAAACCTCGTCTGCCTTCCTGCGCATGTAATGGTACACACCAGCGCTGTGCCCATCGTAGACGTAGGCCCTGCTCTGCAAATCCTCTGCGAGAACAGTGGAGCTCGAGGCGTCTGTCCAAGTCAAGCTGATTCCTCCGGCCCCATGGCTGATGCGCACATGGAACTCGGCAGCTGCAACGAGCACCACCTGACGCTGCTCGTCATGCTTCACCTCGAAGGCGACGGGCGAGTCCCACTGCTCCCACCTTGGATCCTTGCAATTCGCAGGACGAAAGAGAACACGCACCACCTTAGATCCCACGAGCTCGATCTGGAACACATTCTGCTCGTCCCGGCTCACAAACGTTATTGGGTGTGAGAGGAGTGGCAAATACACGAAATCCCCAGGCACAACTTGCTTCATGTTTCACCTCACTTGGATACAACGATCGCCTGAGCAGAGTATGAAGTGATCTCAGCCCCAGTACCTCCCTCAACTCCCATCACCTCCAAATGGAGTCGAATGTAACTGCAGTGGACAGCTACTGGTTGGAGCTCGGTCGGAGGGAGCGGGCACCGAAACGAGCTCAGCGTTCTCAGACATGAGTTCCGTTATCACCAGCAATAAGCTCGGCATCCCTGGCGCGTGAAGGATGAGAAGGAGACGACAGATTTGAGTACTGGAACCCACCAGGTCACCCGGTGCAAAAAGAGATTTACCATTCTCAAGTGTCATCCTTCTTTTGTCATACATTGTACTGGTAACTTTTACGGGATTCGAATTCCCGGCTCTTTCCTGCATTTGAAGCTGACCGATAGCGGTCTTGTATAAATATTCGGCGCACGAGATGTTCATGATTTGGAGGTGGAGGAGTTAGATCCTGATTGGAAGTCTTACAGTCGGTGTCACGTGCCTGAAGGAACAGCAGAGAGGGTTCACCCTTTAACGTTTCTGCAAGAGAAAAGAGAGGAAGCTTAGCGATTAAATTGTCAATGAGAGAAGGGTTTCGGGTCACTAAATACTGCGAAAATTGTTTCTCAGAGTCCCAGTCTGCTGTCCTCTCTAGCTCAGCTGAAGTCGCGGCTCTCCTGCGAGTTGATCCATTCTTCCATCATGTACTCCCTTGAGATTGATCTGCAGTGGATCCTTATATTACACTCTCCAATCAAAAGTGCTTTTGCGTCTGGGGTCTTTGCAATTGAAGACTTCGCCCTTTCAGAGCATTGCATTGTATAATACAGGTGCAGGTGGACGTCAGTGTATCTGGCGGGGCTCAGTGGAGAGTTTTATTGCCTGGTCGTTGATCCTTTGATACCTTCCACCCACTCGGACTTTCTTTCCATGTGTTCCTTGTTGATGGCACGGTGGAGCCAACTTGTAGTGTTTTCATAGTTCCTTGCAGTGTCAGCTGACGGAAGGGATTGAAAATCGTCTACGAGTGCATCCTCGTCTTTTCCGTCACTCTTGCCTTTGCTTTTGGTGCAATGACTGTGCATCGTGTGATCAGGATACTTATGGACCACCCGTGGGAAGGAAGATGATCGTCTACGTTGACGATCTGAACATGCCAAAGGTTGACACTTACGGCACACAGCAACCCATTGCAATGCTCAAGCTCTTCGTGGAGAGGGCTGGCATCTACGACAGAGGGTACGCCCCGCAACATGAAGACTCGTTGGATGCAGATTACTGGATATCCTGAATGAACTAAAGTGAATGATACGTCATTATTAATATATATTCAGGACTGCAAAGGAATAAACAAGCCAAGCCCGATCAGGAGCAGCTGAGGATTGTTGACCAAGCTTCTATCTGAGAGAAAAGCTCAAAAGTGGCCAATGCTAAACCTCTCAAGCCGTTGCTTCTCAGGAAAGACCTCAACTGGAAGAATATAAAGGACTGCCAATTCGTCGGAGCCATGGGTCGCCCTGGAGGAGCAAGAAACCCTGTCGATCCCAGATTCATATCCTTGTTCAGTGTGTTTGAGATACAGTTCCCTTCGAATTCCTCATTGTCTCACATTTACAACTCCATTCTCGAGGCTCATGTCAAAATTCTATCCCCTGAGATACAGGTACTCCCCTTCCAGACCAACCGATTTCTTCCTGGCAACATATTAGTCTTCTTCAGCAGAAGCATGCAATGTGAAGCTCCTCAAGCTCTTCAGAGCCTCATTACGAGCTTTTGATGGGATGTCAGTTCCAAGGTTTAGAAGTTTGAACTCACGTGGTAAGGAACCTCTGCAAAGCACTTCAAAGAGGATGGAGGATCTACTACTGACCTCTTGTAAGGTGGATGGTGCCACAGGCATACGTTCTGAGTATCACCGACATAACACTGTCCCTTTACGGGTTCATCATCGAAAAGCTTCCACCCACACCGTCGAGATTCCACTACATCTTCAACTTACGCGACTTGAGTCGGATATATGAAGGAATGATGTTGTCGACTCCGGACAAGTTCAAGACAGTTCCGCAGTTCGTCAGATTGTGGAGGAACGAAAGTCTGCGCATCTTCTACGATCGTCTGATCAACGACAAGGACAAGGAAATCGTCACGGTAACAGCGTCTCAGAGGATCCTTCTGCTCATATGATATGGCTTTGTCCATCCACATTTGACTCGACTCACTCATCTCACTCATCTCACTCATCTCACATTGGCACCGATCCTCGAGAACACGCATCAACAACTTCCCTGCTGATTGATACAAGTACTGCCTCTGCAGACAAAGCTGAACGAGATAGTGACGGACAAGCTGAAAGATGTTGCGGGGGCAGCTGACATTGTGATCAAGGATCCGATTCTCTTCGCGGATTACCGCAACTGCCTGCACTCCACGGTGCCCAGACTGTACGAGGACCTGGAGAGCTTCGACTTCATCAAGCCGCACATCGAGAACGTGCTGGAGGATTACAACATAGTGAACAAGAAGATGAACCTCGTCATGTTCGAGGATGCTCTCGAGCATCTCACCCGCATCCACCGACTCATGCGCTTGCCACAGGTACCACTCGCCACTCGAGCTACAAATTCATGTCGTTGAGGATTATGTCGTGTGAGTGAAGAATCGCCCCCTCTGCTGATCACAACTCTGCTGTGGTGCTTGGATCTGGACCGGCAACAGGGCAACGCCCTGCTCGTGGGAGTGGGAGGCAGTGGCAAGAAGAGCTTGTCGAAGCTGGGGGCCTTTGCTTCCGGCTGCAGGGTGTTCGAGGTCGTGCTGACTCGGGGGTACAACGAGGAGGCCTTCCGCGAGGATCTGAAGATTCTGTACGGCATCCTCGGGGTCGAGAACAAGCCCGTCGTCTTCCTCTTCACCGACGCGCATGTCGTGGACGAGGGCTTTCTCGAGCTCATCAACAACATGCTAACGTCCGGCATGGTCCCCGCTCTGTTCAAGGAGGAAGAGAAGGACGGCATGATCAGCCAGGTACGGTACTGTACTGTACTGTACAGTACAAACGGTCGCCAGAGCCCCCCCGGACACCTCGAGAGAAACACTCACTCACTCACTCGACTCAACTTGTGATTGATGAAGTCTGAGCAGCTACGACTGCAGTCTCGATGAATCAACTTTTTCATTTGAATTCCAGCATGACATGGAGACCAAAATGAGAGAGGGACGCACACTTGCTCAGTCATGATCGGAAGATAGCAAACACAAGGCGGTGCTTGTATGTATGCATGCCAGAGGTTATTGTGGTCGGAGAATTTTCTGATATGAAGTTTGCACTGGGCATGCTTGCTGAGGGTTCAGGTCAGAGATGCGGTCGTTGCCAGCGGGATGGTGGACACGAAGGAGAACTGCTGGCAGTATTTCATCAACAGGTGCCGCAGCAATCTGCACATCACTCTGGCGATGTCTCCAGTTGGCGACACTCTGAGAACACGGTGCAGAAACTTTCCTGGCATGGTGAGTTCTGCTCATGCCCCTCCTCTTTGCTTTGCTTTGCTTTGCTCTGCTCTGGGCAGCAACACAAATACCATCTGACTTCCATCTGAGAAATGGGAACTTGAGAAGTTGAGAGTAGCCAGTGCACAAACCTAATTTGCATCTACAATCCCAGTTTGCGCACTCATTGGGATTACTGTAATAGCTTCTCTATAATGACACTTTTAGTTCCAAAATTCTTGGATTCAAAGATGGTGTCAACTCTAGGATCCATGATATTGTTATCAGTATATAATCATAAAAACGAAACATATGAGAATTTTATATTTTTTATCATATAAATAACACTATTCAGTTATCACTCACTTGGTATTAATTAACTTTCATTTTATTTTAGTTTTTTTACATTTTAAAAAGTTTTGCTATTCACCCCCACGAACCCTGATCAGACGAGAACTAATTAACTTTAAATGAATTATAATTCGCACACTCGCTTACTATACTTATAGTAAAATTATATTTTTTATTGCACTATAAAAATAATAATCATAATACAATATATTTTACTATCATATGGAATTAAAATATATATATGAGTCCAAAATATTTTTAAAGCATAGAAACCTTTATGAAATATAAATCCACGTATGAAAAGGAAAGGTATGACATTCGGAACGAGCAGGTGAACAATTGCGTGATCGACTGGTTGACGCCATGGCCCGAGGAAGCGCTGCTGTCGGTGGCCACGGTGTTCCTGGCCGAGCTGGACCTGCCGGAGGACATGCGGCCGCTGCTGCTGGAGCACATCGTCATGGTGCACCAGTCCGTGTGCACGCTGAGCGTGGACTTCGTGGAGCAGACGCGGCGCACCAACTACGTCACGCCCAAGAACTTCCTCGACTACATCAACACGTACCGCGTCTCGCTCACCAAGCGCCGCACTCTGAACCTGCAGCAGTGCAAGCGCCTCGACGGCGGCCTCTCCAAGATCGCCCAGGCCAAAGTCGAGGTGGCCCAGATGCAGGTCCCACTCCGTTCCCCTGTTCCCCTGTTCCCCCTCCCGTCCTCCTCCTCCTCCTCTCTCTCTCTCAGCCACGGAAAGCCACGGACGTTCTCACTGATCCCCCCCCCCCCCCACCCCCCATCCAGTCCGTGCTCTCCCAACGGCGTCTGATTCCCCTCGTGCTGCCCCCAGGTGACGCTGGCGGAGGCCAAGATCGTCGTCGACGCCAAAACCAACGAGTGCAATGCCCTGCTGAGCGTAATCAGGTGCGTTGACTCAGCTTCTCCATTCTGCGCTCCCAGCGCGCACTCGCTCGATCTGTCGAGGCGACCTTCCTGACTCGCTTGACGAGCTCCATTACCATCATGATCACGATGCTGCACGATGATTCATGGAGGCGTGTAAATTGTGTGAGAAAGCCTCGTACATTTAGCTGGGGGCCTCAGAAGAACGGGTTTAGAGAGGGTTCAGGGTTTAAGGGTTCAGAAGTGGGGTTTAGATCTGATAAGAGCATCCGGAAGCGATTGAGTTGGAAGATTTGGGTTTTGTGTGTACGCAGCAAAAACACGGAAATTGTCGTTGCCAAGCAGAACATCGCGCAAGAAAAGCAGGAGGCGCTGTCGAGAGAAAGTGAAGTGATCACACGGCAGAAGGGCGAAGCTGAAGTAGCCCTGGCCGAAGCAATTCCAGCCTTAGAGGCAGCAGCGGAGGCTCTGAATAGCTTAAAGAAGGAGGAAATCACCGAAATTCGGTCTTTTGCCAAGCCCAACATTTACGTGCAGAAGGTCTCCCCTCCTCCTTATATGTGCACACAGTTGCTGGCAAAAACTTGGTCGTGTGGCTGTTGCTAGCAGGATAATGCTGCTGTGCTTCAGCAGTCACTATGACTACCTTGCTTCCTCAGCACTTTTGGATATTTGCATAATCCGAAGAAGATTTCTCCAAAGTTTTGAAATTGTCATTGCGCTGCACTCGCCAGGTTTGCGAGTGCGTTGTCATACTTCGGGGCTTCAAAGATGTATCATGGAAGGGTGCAAAACAGATGATGGCAGACAACCGATTTCTGGCAACCCTTGTAGAATTTGAGAAGGATTCAATCACGGATAAACAGGTGGGCGAGTCGTGCGAAGTCCAGTCCAAATCCACCTCCTCTCGTGTCAAAGCTGCTGAAACATCTGTCCATTAGCTCAGGTTTTGCCACTTCTAAGAAGACAAATAAAACTTACAGACACAGCTTTGAGGAAGTTTCATTGGCGTGCCTTTTGATCAGTTTCTGGTCGAGGTAAAAACCATTTTTCACTTGCCAACGACCGCAGCCACTGGCTCTTTCAGCCGCTGCCTGGAACGATTTTAAACTTCACGGAGGAATTAATAGGTCACTTATTTTTCAACCAGAGCCTCGAAGTTTCAACTTCTTAATTCAGAATACATTCATCCTGTCAAGGTCCTTGAGGAATGTATCTGACAAGGGAGCAGCATTACAGATGCGGGCCTTGCGAGAGTACTTTCGAGATCCGAACATGACCCTGGAGAATTTACAAACCATATCAACAGCAGGCGCAGGTTTGCTCCGTTGGGTCATAGCCATGATGAACTACTACGGCATCTTCAAAATCGTTGCTCCTAAACGAGCAGCCGTGGCTACGGCTGAAAAGAATCTCAAAAATGCTCAAAAAGAGCTGGACACCATACAGAAGCAGGTAATGCGCAAATTCTCTCATTCTCTGCGAGCGACAAGTGACAAATCCGAGAAAATATGTATGGGATGAGTAACTGTGATACTGACAAAAATACTCTAGTAATCTCGAACTAAATAGTTTCATCATGCCATAAATCAGGCGAGTAACAGAATATCCATCTGCACCTCATGTGAAAGATGAGGGTCGGTCTTCATGACATTACACTATGTATCAGACTGGTGATCGAACTCTCTGGTGAAAAAATATCTCCCATGAAACTGATGGTCCACTTCGGTGCAGGTGGAGGACCTGTCGGCTCAACTTGGCACTTTGAACCAACAATTTTCAGTAAACACGGCAGAGCAACAAGATCTGAAAAGCAAAGCTGATCTCATGGAAAAGCGTTTAGATGCTGCATCAAGACTCATATCTGGATTAGGATCAGAGCACGAGAGGTGGACCAAAGAGCTTGAGGAGCTCGGGGTTGCTCGTATCAAGTTGCTAGGAGACTGTCTGGTTTCATCCAGTTTTCTCAGGTTTGTGCTTTCTGTCCTACTTGTATACATAGCAAAAATCATCTTCGAAAGCAACTCGCAAAGTGTAATTACTTGAACTGCTGAAATCATTGTCTGGGATTGTAGTTGGCATACAATTGATCAACATTCGAGGTTTGACATGTCTCCGTACGTGCAGCTATTGTGGAGCATTCACTTTAGACTTCCGAACGAACATGATACAGAAGATATGGCATGGAGACCTTGTGAAAAAAGGGGTCCCAGTTACGAATCCATATTCGCTGGAGAATTTCTTAACAAGTGAAGTTGAAATCAGCAAATGGAACAGCGAAGGCTTGCCATCAAACGAGCTGTCTATTCAAAATGCCATTCTTACGACCAGAGCATCACGATTCCCCCTCTGTATTGATCCTCAATTGCAGGTGTGCTCACATCTCACCATCATCTCCTAATCTTGTTTTTGCACATTACATTGGCCTCACTTCCATCGGATGTTCAGATAATGGTGCAGCTATTCAAGACATCTCCAATGTCTTGAGTAGCTGCATACTCTGAACAGTGGTAGGAGTGGTTTTCAGGATGTGAGTACGTTGTGATCTACGCAAAGCAACAGGGAGATCAATAAACCTGACATAGCTGTAGACTGTAAGCAAGGTGTCACACTGACTAATAAGAACCTTTGTCTGACCTTAGGCCATCAACTGGATCAAGAAAAAGGAGGGTAAGCAACTCGAAGGCCGTGTGAGGACGTTCAACGACTCTGATTTCTTGAAGCAGCTGGAGCTTGCCATCCAATATGGCTTTCCCTTCCTCTTCGAGAATGTAGACGAGTACATAGATCCAGTCATAGATCCTGTTCTCGAGCGGACCATCACCACTGCAGCTGCCGGAAGAAAAGTGGTGAAACTCGGAGACAAGGACATCGAATGGGTGAAGTTCTTCTCCCTCTCCATGTCTTCCTACAATTACCTCCAAGCTACAAAAAGTGGAGCCTGCTGAACTACGCATGCATGCATCCAGCTCGCTGACTAAAAGCTGCTGGTGCTTGTTGTCATCTGTCCCTGTGCAGGATGACAACTTCCGACTATATCTTGTGAGTAAGCTTCCCAATCCTGCTTATGGACCGGAAATTTCAGGGAAAACCATGATCATCAATTACAGCGTGACGGAACAAGGTCTCCAGGCTCAACTTCTGAATGCAACGGTAAGAAAATATTGCTCTAAACTTCGTCGACGGTGGATCTGATGTGGTTTGTGTTCAATATTGGAGATCAGCGTGAAAATCCACCTCAGCTCTTTTTGGACTGAACAATTACTGGATGGATGTCCTGGTGCTTGTGTTCAGGTGGCACATGAAAGACCAGATCTCGAAGAGCAGAGGGAGACTCTAGTCAGAGACACGAGTGAAAATAAAGCACTCTTGAAGCAACTGGAGGATACTTTACTCCGGGTAAAGCCGAAGTGAACCTGTCGAGAACACGTATAAAAGATAAAGTGCACTTGTGCAAGCTGCTGTATAGTTATGTGATGTGAGACACAGAAATGCTTATGGTACAATTCCACTACACCAGCTGAACAGAGATGTCCGAGTTTTCGATGCAGCACACCCTTCAATGACATTCCAACTGGTCAATCGTTGAACTGAATTGTCCTTACCTAACAAGAAGTACGGTGGACCATGTATCTGTACAGGAACTGAGTAACGCCACTGGAAACATCCTGGATAACATAGACCTGGTAACAACACTGGAGAATACCAAGTCCAAAGCGACAGAAATCTTCTCCAAACTCGCAATGGCTCGTGAGACCACGAAGGAGATTGAGACGGTGAGAATCTCCCAGCCAAACTGAACGAATCATTTGCACATTCTTTCACTCCCCTAGCACATTCTTGAGAGAGTCCATGTTTCCAGCGCGAGAACAAGCTTTATCAAACAATTGCTACACAATTTTCTTGCTTGCTTGCAGCTGCGTGGGAGGTACTTTCCTGCAGCGAAGCGTGGAGCCATCCTGTTCTTCGTCCTGTCTTGCCTGTCGGCCATCAACAACATGTACGAGTATTCTCTAGGATCCTTCATGGAAGTTTTCCAGATTTCACTGGACACGAGTCCAAAAGCCCTGTCTCTCGATGGACGCTTGAAGAACATCATCGAGGCCCTCACATATGACCTGTACAATTACGCGTGCACGGGTTTGTTCGAGAAGCATAAACTGATGCTCTCCTTCCAGATGACGATCAGGATTCTTGATGGCGAGAAGCAGCTGGACCACGCTCAGCTCGACTTTTTCCTGAAGGGAAATTTGTCCCTGGAAAAAGCAGAAAAGTTGAACCCTTTCAGTGAGTGGTTCCCAGAGCAAGGCTGGCAAGACCTCATGCGAATGATCGACCTAGGTCAGCAGTTTAAAGACATGGTAGCTCATTTCGAGGCCAATGAGCAACTGTGGCGTGCATGGTACGATGAGGAGAAGCCGGAAGAGGAAGCCATGCCTGGGAACTTCACAGAAGTCATGAATCTCTTTGAGCAGCTTTTAGTTTTACGGTGCTTCCGTATCGACAGGATAACAGTTGCTCTGACGGTAATAAAGCCGAACCTCACCTCATCTGACAACAAATTTACTTTCCAAAGCCGGACCAAGCTTCAGCAGTTAGAAAGCTCTGATTTGCACTTGTACTTCAAGTTTCCACGAGGTCAACTTTCAGACTTGTGAGCACTGATTACTTAGTGAGACTCTGAACTCCGCTATCTGACCAGCGCCGTAAGCTTGGATGCTAAAGCACAAACTGTTTGATTCGTTCTGCAGCGCTATGTCATGGAAAAAATGAGCGAGAAATATGTTACTCCACCAGTGTTGGATTACAAGAATATACATCGTCAGAGTTCTGCAATGTCACCTATTGTGTTCATCCTCAGTCCTGGTGCAGACCCTGCATTTGATGTTTTCAACCTTGGGGAAGAGATTGGCTTCAAACCTGGAGTTAAGCTCAAGTACATGGCTCTAGGCCAAGGCATGGGACCGAAAGCAGCAGAGTCCATCGAAGTTGGATCGTCGAGGGGCTTGTGGGTGATGCTACAAAACTGTCATCTCCTGCCCTCGTGGCTGAAGACGTTGGAGAAAATCCTGGAGAAGTTGCAGAAGCCTCATGTGGACTTCCGCCTGTGGCTCACCACTGAGCCATCAGACAGATTCCCTCTGGGAATACTTCAGAGGAGCTTGAAGGTTGTCACTGAGCCACCAAATGGTCTAAAGCTGAACATGAGATCTTCTTATGCAAAAATCACAGAGGAGAGTCTCGCCGATTGCCCTCATCCTGCTTATCGTCCCCAGGTACATGTCACGTCCATCATCCTGATCTCTTCTCGTCCCAGAAGCAAGTTTCTTGGAACTTGCTTGCCATTCCTAAGTTCCAGTGTTTTCCATGACATCGTGAGTTCTTTTTCTTTCTGGTTCTTCAGACCAGATCATACCATCTCGGGTTAAGATGAATCACTGACGCCTTTTTCGGAATTTAGAATCTGTATAATATACGTAGCAACACTAGAGACATCAGTTGGTGCTTGTACTTCTGCCTATCCGATCGGTCGAAAACGCCAGAGAGAATGGATGTAAGATCACATGAGAGGGAGAGGAGTTTTCTAATTGATTCGACATGCAGGTATTTGTGGTTGCCTTCTTTCACGCGGTGGTTCAAGAACGCCGAAAGTATGGCAGGCTAGGGTGGAATGTTGCTTACGATTTCAATGAAACAGACCTTCGTATCAGGTGCGGTAAATTTTGGAACTGCCTTCTAGGTAAATCAGCTTAAGATCGGCAAGATAATCCTAAACAAAGTTACAAATTACTCTACTCTGGACGCGCCGATGGGATCAGATTTTGAAGGGCATCTGCTTGTGCACACAAGACACGCCTATCACTTGTCCCCTGCAGAGTGGAAAACTGAATCGGATTTCCACCTCAGTGTACAAAAACAATCTATTTGATTATGGATGCTTCTGGTCGCACAAGGGGGTGTAGCTCACATGGTAGAGCGATCGCTTTGCATGCGATAGGCACGGGGATCGATACCCCGCACCTCCATATAATTAATCCTGTTGTTTTGAAATGTTGGTGCTGAGCTAGAGTGAGTATCTCCCCACTGCTAGTTTTTTGTCATAACCCTTTCTCCAGGTCGAATTACTCTTAAATGATTCAGAATTGGACGAGGAGCCGTATTGCAGTACTTACACCACCTTTTTGTATTGTATGCAGCTTGGCTCTAATATCCACATACCTGAAAAAAGCGCATGATAACAAGGATGATCAGATTCCTTGGGGAACTTTGAGATACCTGATAGGTGAAGCTATGTACGGAGGTCGGGTTTCGGATTCATTCGACCGAAGAATCCTGGCAACGTATCTGGATGAATACCTGGGAGATTTTCTGTTCGACAAGTTCCATCCGTTCCATTTTTACAAAAATGAAGCGGATGCTGTGGATTACAAACTCCCGGACTATGGTACAAAAGAGAACTACACGACTTACATTGACTCTCTTCCCATCGTACAAACTCCAGAGGTGTTTGGGCTACATCCCAACGCAGATATCAGCTACTATACCATCACCACAAAACGACTATGGAAAGACCTTATAAACTTGCAGCCACGAACAGCTGGAGCAATTGGCGGAGTGAAGAGAGAAGACGTGATCGATAAAGTAGCTCAGGATCTCCTATCCAAGATCCCTGAACCATATGACCTACCAGTCATCAAGAAAGAAATTGGCATTCCAACTCCTGTCCAGGTCTTCGATCATATCCACTTACATGCCCAGTATTCGTCAAGACTTACCACATACTTTGCCCTCCATAATTTGAAACAAGTAGCCATTTTCAAATTACTAACGGAAGAGGAACCTCTATACCTCGAAATATTGATCAGAACAAGTAGCCATTTTCAGATTAATAACGGAAGAGAAACCTGTGCAAATCTCACCCTGAAATGTCTGAATCATCGAAACATGCTTTATCCATCTCAATAGGAAAAATCGTGAAGGTTCATGAAACCCGCTCTCAAATTATGTAGCAAGGGCATAAATTATAACTGTGCCTGCATACTGGTGCCGATGCCACAGGTGGTGCTGCTCCAAGAACTTGACAGATGGAACAAATTGATCATAAGTATGGAGTACAGCCTTCAACAAGTTAGAAAAGCCCTTGCTGGTGAGATTGGAATGAGTAAGGAGCTGGATGATCTAGGAACGGCTCTCTTCAATGGACAACTTCCCGCTTTTTGGCGGAAGATGAGTCCACAGGTAATCAAGACATCTTTCAAAGTGCTAAAGACTATCATGATACTACACTTGAAGAATGTTCAGAAACTGAGCTGTGCATGGAAGCTTGAAAAAAACCACAATTATGAACGTGCAACTTTCTGAGATCGTTTAGAATGCAATGTCTCAATGTCTTCAGCATTTCGCGACAAAACAAATCACTCTGCAACTACAAAGCATCTGTTGGTATTCATGTCGAAACAGAGGTCAACAAAGTAGTATTCTGAAAAGAACAATTGTAGTGAAGAACCGAAATCGTCAGAAAAACCATTCTACTGGTTTGAACCATCTTCACACGTGGATCAAAATGCAACCCAGATGCTTACAATCATCTATAAGAAAAGATATTATCATAAGATTCCCGTGCAGTGAAACTGACCTACATTAGTGGAAACCCTCCAACTTCTTCCTTATGTGACTTTGAAGGTGAATGAAAGTTTTATGCAGACTGAATACCTCTACAAAGAATCTGCAACGAAAAGATTTAGATACAGGTACTAACCTTCTCTTAGATACTAACGTCATCCTACTGCATGTGCCACTCGCAGACAGAGAAGATGCTCTCAACGTGGATGGTCTGGCTTTTGCGAAGACACACACAGTACACGGACTGGATAGAAAAAGGAGAGCCAAAAGTAATGTGGCTATCAGGCCTACATATTCCTGAGACATATATTGCAGCACTCATTCAAACGGCTTGCAGGGACAGAGGATGGCCTCTGGATAAATCTACAATCTACACTCAAGTAAGTGTGAACCAAATCTTACACATAAATTGTTCTTATTTCAATCCTAGGGTTCAGCTGTGTACCACGTGCGTACTGGATAAATCTACAATCTACACTCAAGTAAGTGTGAACCAAATCTTACACATATATTGTCCTTATTTTCAATCCTAGGGTTCAGCTGTGTACCACATGCGTATGTGCTGGCACTCCTTCCAACATCTCTATTGACGTTAACTCTTTCGTCGGCTGAGAGCAGGTCACAAAATTTACGAGCCCCTCACAAATTACAGAGAAACCGAAGCATGGATGTTATGTGGAGGGTCTGTACTTGGAAGGTGCTGCTTGGGATGAAGAAACAAGCATGTTGAAGTACCAGGTAAGCTCTTCTTGGGAGGGACCTTATGACCTTGCCTCGAGTCTCCAGTGAAGACAAGAAAAGCCCCCGACCTTTAAATAGTTATGAATACATGATCTGAGTTGTTGAAGACTAACAGTTTGTTCCTCTTGCGCGAATGCAGGACCCAAAGCATTTGGTAGTTGAACTGCCCATCCTGCAACTATTTCCTATCGAAGCAAGCAAGCTCAAACTCACTAACACCTTTCGTACCCCTGTATACGTCACCCAAGCTCGTCGTAACGCCATGGGGGTGGGGTTGATTTTTGAAGCTGATGTCGCAACTATAACTCACCCTTCTCACTGGGTCCTACAAGGAGTTGCACTAGTCCTGAACATAGATCATTAACTGCCCGTACAGACTCTGTTCCAAACTCCACTACCTCATCGCTAGATTTCATATCTGGTTGTGGGAGCCACAGAATCAAGAATCTATCAAGAATTTATTATTCTAACGGCTGTTCATTGTGGATGGCAATCAACGTGCAAGAAGAGCGCACGCGCACCAATTGCTCTGCTGAGGAAGTGCACAGATATTGCGCACCAGCTCTACCAAATTCCTGCACCCTCGGATACTTCCAGCATGTTGGACGCATTGCAAAGAACTTCAGTGGTGGGACTCACAAAACTTCCACTCCGAGACCGTGAGTGGTAGAAAGTCACCAAATCCGAAGCCCAAATGTTCATTGCTAGAGGAGACTGTAATATGAACACTAGTAACATATAAAATTTTGACCCAATACGTTGAGCACAATTTAGTTGATCAAAGATGATTGGCAAGTTTTTTGTTGATCAGGTCTTGTTCTAAGGCTGTAAAACAATGTTAAAATACACAGTTAAAAACAAGCAAGAAAACTCCAATGTCGATTCTCATGTAGTAGTCATAGGAGGTTCCACACCAATATCAAATGAATAAATCAAATTTTGAGTCCAACGGGACTCAACAGGGTCCTGGGACCAGCATAACAACAGGCGAACATCTCAACCAATTTTAAACGCAAATTTCTGACATGGACTCACGAATAAGAAATTTTGGTGAGAGGTTTTGCATTCAAATCCACTCAGGCTGTACTCCAGTTGACTAAAAGGCTTTCCATATGTACACTAGCGTGCTAGCAAGGAAGCTTGGCTCATTCCCAGTTCACCACCTGCATCATTCTACTTAAGAACCTAGAATCTGAGCATCGAACAGGATCAAGTATTTAATTTATTTTCATTGCAAAATCGGTTCCAGGACTTTACGTATTTGCTAATGTAATCAGTGATCAAAAGGCAATCGCCGTTACATCGACGACTAATTGGTAAGATTCAAGAGAAGGCCTCAGCATACAATAAAGGACAGGTCCAGCTTACTCTTCGATGTACACACATACCGCCAGCTCACACATAACCAGGCTTCTAGAGCTCACTTTCCACCACAACTTCGAGAGGTCTCTGACAATAACTTTCACTCTCCTCAGAAAGTTTCAACGATTCGCCAGCAAGTACTTGATGACTGTACACAAGTGTGTATGTGTGGCTGGCGGACATAAGAATTTCACATAAGACTGTCGGGAGATGCAAACCTCTCCCCTTCAACCCTCCTCACCAAATTCACGAGTGAATCTTTCTTGAATTTCCAAGTCTTGCTTGCTTACTGTGGGTCTTTGTCGGGCAATGACCTTATCAAAGTCTGACTTTTCTATGGGGGGAGGTAGAATCTGACTTCCAAGCCCCTTGGCAGCCAGTTCCGTCATGGTTGTTTGCACTGCTCCAGAAGTACGAGGACCACAAGGCATCCACATTTCCTCCATGCTCCCATTGTTTTCCATCTGGACCTTCCTGAAATGCATAGCATCTTGCGTCTTCCTCACCGGCTCAAAGAGCACATCCTTCACAGCAACAGAAACATCTGAACCTGAATAGCCGTCCGTTCTCCGAGCCAGATCCTCAAAGTCAAGCTCAGTCAGATTGTGAGGTGTGTCACCCAAGTGGACCTTGAACATGTGCTGTCTCGCTTTCTGGTCTGGAAGTGGGATGTAGATACGCTTGTCAAACCGCCTCCTCACAGCCTGGTCAAGGGAATACGGGGTATTCGTGGCAGCTAAGATCAGGACCTTTTGGTCGTTATTTCCCACGCCCTGCATTTGCACCAGAAGCTCAGTCTTGATGCGGCGGGATGCCTCACTTTCATTTCCTTCCCCACGAGTTCCGCAGAGAGAATCTATCTCATCAATAAATATGATTGACGGTGCACACTCCCGTGCCATTTGGAACAAATTTGCTACTAGCTTCTCACTCTCTCCCATCCACTTGGACACCAAATCGGATGATGAAATGCTAAAGAAAGTGGAATCAGCTTCGGTGGCCACGGCTTTGGCCAGGTAAGACTTTCCGGTTCCTGGAGGTCCATACAGCAGGAACGCCCTCCAAGGTCTCCTTTTCCCGGTAAAAAACTGGGGAAACTTTACTGGCAGAATGACTGCTTCTTGCAAAGCTTGCTTCGCACTTTCTAAACCTGCAACATCACTCCATTTCACATTAGGCTTTTCTCGAATGATGGCCGAGTTCAAACCCGACCTCAACTTCGTTTGCTCCGGATCCTCCCCGTCACCTCCCTCGCCGCCACCACCACCACCATCCTTTCCTCCCTTGGTCCTGGCCCTGGTCGCGACAGCTGCGTCACCCCTGGCTTGCGGACCTGCGGTGGGCACTCCCTCTTCGAGCACGGCTCTGATTTCTTCGGCCCTCCTCAGGTATTCAGTGAATTTCTGAGTAATCGCCTCTTTGATTTTGGGGTTCTTCTCATACTTGAGATGCGTTTTGAAGTACTCCAACGCATTCATGTACAAGGGGAACGCCTTGGCATAATTCCCGGCATTGTCCTCTGCCACAGCTTGCCTCACAAACTCAATGGCCTGCTCCTTGAAATTGCTGTACATGATTGAGTAATCAAAACATAAACCGACGTGCTGTTTCTGATACGTCCACTAGCCACTACCTTATCCCTGAACACCTAACGAAGATCCAAAGCTCAGATACCGCCAGTGAGCCCGCCAAAATCACACCAGTTGATGAGAACAGCTGACTGGATCCTCGCAACAATTGCTAGCTCCTTCCGGCTGCAAATTCCCTCCCACACGAATGGAATCTCGACTACCACAAAGGAGAACTTCCTAGTATGACCATACCGCCCCTACCGCGCAAAGGATCGTCCGTTGAATGGTAGCCGAAGTTCACTCGGACCATTTCTCGCCCCATGTCATGATGGCCGCCTCGCCTCGATCCTCCTCGAACGACTGAAAATCCAAACGGCAGTCAACGAGGCAGACGCGGGCTTGAGATGCCGACCTACATCCGAATCCAGGCAAAAAATGACCTACACGCTCAAAAGCGGCAGTCGAATCTCTACCTAGGCAACCGATCTCGACCTCCTCCACAACTGATGCATGAACAGGAAAAATGCACTGGGAACTCCGATCCCTACAATCACAATCCGCCCCGGCCTCCAACTCTCTCCGCAATCCGAACAAGAAGAAAAAAACAACCTCCCCTTCCGATCTCCCTCGAGGCCCCTCTAGCTCCCCACTCAAAAGATTACCAGCGCCCTCATACACGCAACCAGGCGCAGACGACAGAGCCACTCCCCGAATGCAATCGAACCAATCCCGGAATCGACCCACGGCAACACAATCCGCAAGCTGCTACCCGACCCCGAGACGAGAAAAGAAAACCCCAATCCCGAATCACACAAGAACCGACATTGCGCACTCAGAAGCCCCCAGAAAAAAAACTCACCTCGCTTGACTTTTCGCTTCCTTGCTCCACCTTCCTCGCCTCGCCTCGCCTCGCCTCACTCTCCGTCCTGTGCGTCGCTCGCCCTGCGCTTCTGCTGCCCTGCTTCCTTCCTTTCCTCGTGCTCAATTTCCTTTCGCTTGCCTCGAAAGCCCGCAACCAAACAGCGTCACGATCCTCCTCTTCCTCCTCCTCCTGCTCCTCCTCCTCCTGCTGCTGCTGTTGCGTCTTTATCTTTATCTCATGCCTCGCGACGATGGCAGCAACGACGATGAGGACGACGAAGCAATCCGCGAAACGAAAGCCCGAGGTCTGCAAGAGAAATCGGCCTCGCCGATGAGGTGAATGATCCGATGCCTGTCTGTCTGTCGGCCAGTCAGTCAGTCAGTCAGTCCGTGAGTCTGTGAGTCGCCCGACGGAGAGCGCGGGCGGGCGAGCGGCGGGCGGGAGCGCCTTCTTCTTAAATCCGGACGCCGGACGACGAAGAATATGAAGCTCGGGGCAAGACGACGAGGTGCACAAGCAGCAGCGCCTCAGTCCCAAGCTCCCACAAGAAGGAGCCGGGCGCGTCCCGGTTCCCCGCGACTCCCGACCAGCTCAGCCCGTCCCCGTCAGCCGCAAATTATACAATATTTACTACCAAACGTAAGATCAAAGGGAAAATAAAAATCCCCCGATTCCTGCTCCGCAAGGCGACGAGATTCGAGCCGCGGACGAGAGGAGCCCGTCGCGACACAGAGCAAGAAGGAGGGCCAGGTGGAGCACCAAGGAGCGCTGATTGGGCCACGGTGGAGCGGGAGAGCGTCGTGGAAGATCGCGTCGACGGCCAGGTAGGCGGGCGGGGGTGCGGGGCAGGAAGGAGGAAGCCTCTGGGAGCTGGCTTGGCGAACAATCAATCCATTCATCCATCGGGGCAGACCAAGCTCCGGTCGCGCTCCGTCCATTCGAGCGTTGTCCGACGGTGGGGGATGACGGACGGAGACGGAAGCTTGGCTTGGAGAGCAATCAATCGAACCAAGATTCAAGTGCCGTCCGGCCCCTCGTCCTCCCGCATCGTCCACTCCCGTTCGGCAGTGCCGCTGTCTGTTGGCGTGTTGCGGGTTCGTGTCCCAATAGTCGGGACTCGTCGTCGGGCTTCCCTTTTCTTGTCGACGGCAAGTTCCGCGAAGCTCTGGGAACTTTCGACGATCGACGACCATTTCGACGAGTTTTCATCCACTCATGCGCCGATGTATCGACCGTGGCCGGTTCCCGACCAACTCATTGAGCCCATAACTCGCTGAGATGGTTTCGGTACCATGGTTAGGATGGGGTTTGAGCTCAGATGGGTATAATTAGAAGTTGCTGTAACGTGGAACCGAGTCGCGCGATGTCCAATCCGAACGTGGTTGGTGTGCGTCCTCAATATCGACCGTGGCCGGTTCCCGACCAACTCATTGAGCCCATAACTCGCTGAGATGGTTTCGGTACCATGGTTAGGATGGGGTTTGAGCTCAGATGGGTATAATTAGAAGTTGCTGTAACGTGGGACCGAGTCGCGCGATGTCCAATCCGAACGTGGTTGGTGTGCGTCCTCAATAGCAGTGGAACGCAGTACATCTCGGCAGATAGTACTGCGTAGATGTGAATCATGACTTGCCTCAGCAGACTTGGATCCATCCCAGAACCGAGTGAAAAGACGGGTCGAATATACGCTGTTTATGGAAACTTGGTCCCACGTTAGATCTAGGACTACGTCGTCTGCCACCATCAACTGCAGACATGGTTGTTAGTAAACGCCGTCTTTTTCCAAAAAGGGATAGAACTGCGGGTATACAACGCCACTGCATCTAACCAACTTTTAGTGTTCCTGATATTGTTTGACTGACAACTAGCTCTTGCTCACATGCATAGTACAGTACATTCAGTCGGGCCAGATTCTTACTACAGTAGGAGACGAAGTTCGGGAACTCAAGACTGTCCTGCAATTGACTGGATCTTAAAAGGGGCATTGCGTCAAAATGTATATGACAAATTTTGGTACACAATCAATTGATGTTACACTGTACGTAAAATAGTCACCCTGTATTCAACATCATAAAGAGCAGTTTTCTCAAAGCAGAGACTATCAATATAGATCTAGTAAAATACTTAACGTTTTCTATAAAAAATCATTTAGGTATTTGGGGAATTTTAATGAATAAAATGAAATATTCAGATTAACTTGATGTGTGCGCCTCGAAGACTGTGCTAAATTGAAATATGATTTTTTACATATTTCTTTTATTAAGAGATTTTAACTAAAATGTTCATATATATCAATTGCAGTAATACTTATTCTATTGAGTACTAGCCCCCATGAAACCTATTCATTTCATCCCGTGCGACTGGAATTTCTTATATCCTTTGCTATATTACTTGGTCCCGAGTCGATCTACTTCATTTAGCTGAAATTACATATTAGACCCATTCGTATTACCATTCCTATTTCATAGTTAAAAATAAAACATATATCGTTGGGTAAACGGAGAGGAGAGCGAGACAAACCCAACTCCATTCCTGGAGTAGAGTTTTTCCCCTCGTAGATGACTGACGAGAGAAAACGGTGGTAATCACGCCTTCCTTTTGAAAAGGTTCATTATCAGCAAACATACAACAAAATAGTTATCAGAGAGAATAGTCACATGATTCGCAAAACATAAAACAAATGAACTGTTTACTGTCTTGTCTTTAAATAGTTTTTTCATGTATCTTTCGGCCTCAAAGCCAGTAACTTTTATAAAAGATGGAGTAAAACGTAGGATGGCAAAATCATAAGAACAAACTACGAAGCAAGGTCAAGGAAAGCATTGACGGAAGTCAAAGTAAAGTGAGAAAGTAACTTTCATGATAAATTTCCATCGCCTTGCACCTGCTTAAAAATCTCTAGCAATCAAATTGGTAATTCTTATGAAAATTGGGAGTTTACAATGCATCCGTATCATAGACTCCTCTTCATTTATTTCTGTAGCTAGCCCACTTGAATTGGGGTATGAGTGTGTTGCATAAAAAGCTGAGAACAAAAAGATAATGAAAAATGTAATGCTTTCGGTTTCTTTATCAAATTCAGATCTAGTCTCAAATAGAGCTATGAACATCTCATCTCAAAGCCCCATGCAACTCATAGCACAAAGTCACTAATAAATTTATCAGCACCGCCCTCTAAAATACCATACATCTCCATCGCAATTCCAATGCAAACATCTGCATACTGCAATTGTTCAACATTGCACATTGGACATTTTAACTATGGCAATAAGCTCCTCAACTTCTCAAGTAATGAGTTATTACCACCCGTAGTTGAACCACTATACAGCTCTTCCAACCAAGCGTTAGAAGTCTATACTTACTAACATATTACAATTTAGCTCCATGTCTTCTTAACGCCAAATTTCTTTCAAGATAACTATGTCAAATCAATATCTGTTAAAAAAATTCATATCTTTTATAGTCATATTTATCCATTACAATAGAAGATTGTGATCAAATATGCATACATTGCAACATTTTGAAACTCACTTGTATTATATATAATATAGTGAAATGCACACATTATATCATGAAAAGTTAATTTTAAAAAAATGTCTCTCTATAATATTCTATAACATTCAACAAGTATTATTCCTTCATATAATTATTCAATGCATATGCATATAATTTTGCTTCTAAGATTAAGATATTTCAACACAATTCTTAATGGATTATTTTGTAGAAACAGAATACCATGTTACAGTGTAACACTAGTGTGATCAACATTGAAAAATATATAATTCTATCACATTTTGATCATAACATGAACTTGTGAAATTATTGAAATTATAAATTTTTCCATTTGAAAAATAAACATGCCGTGATTGATAAATATTTTGATTGTGTACAATGAATTATTAAGTGCTAGAATCATGAGAACGTAATCATTTACAAAGGTGCTCTTGACCGGTACGCGGTTTGAAGGGCTTCATATAAACGATGAAAACAATTTGTACCCTAATACACACAATTCAATGGTAACTCTGTTCAAGGTCACGATTTGATGATTTCAACAAAAAATTATGCATTTTGACTTCTTGTTCAATAAATTTCTCTATAGAATTTAAATAAATATGACATAAAATTTTACATATCAAAAATATCCATAGACTTAATCTTGATATTTTTTGGACAAAATTTGCAATTAATAGATCTGATGCAATGCAAATAGATTTAAATTCAAAAAACTATTAGTATCATGAATTCCTTTCAAAGGTTGTGATATAATGCTAAAAAATCTATACTTTGAATAAGAAATTTTTTTGTGCTTCTTTATCTGACTATCAAATTAGTTCAATTCTCAAGAAGATTTGATTTGTCATGAATATTTCTTTTTCTAAATGATATATTTTAATAAAAAGTGTATCTTGGGAGTCGAGTAGTATTCTACTCGACAATGCAGTCAAGGGAGAGGACATAGCTATTTACTATGGAGTTGTTCACTTGTCTCGTCATGCGGAAGTGCAATAATGTAACAAGGCTTGTTGAGCTTGCTTTCTTAAAACCAAGGTCGTGCCACTAGAAATATATAAACAAGACATTTATTTACATCCCTCTATTTGTTCTTCCTCCCGTTGCATGTATAATATCTCTCTATCTAATCAGGATTGCCATGGCTTGAAGCACGCCATGCACATTGTGTATGTGCGCAGGCCAAGCGGTAAGAAGCCAAAGACATAATTTTTAAAACTGCGGCATCCGCATTGTGCGGCGCAGTTGCAGCCAAGCTGAAGCCGGAGATCTCAATCCTGCCCACCTTCGAAGGCAAGTATGGGGCCAACGGTCACATCCCGAACCTGGACTACTTCTGCTTCGAAACTGTGGCCTCCCATGGCCTTGGACGACGTCACCAGTTTCAGAACGCAGTGGGCGGTGAGATCTGACCGTCCGATGGAGTTTCATTTTTCACCACAACTCCTCTTCTCGTTGGGTTTGTAAAGTGTCAATCTTAGAGGGCGTCATAGAGAAGGGGAGCTCCACGGGCATTGCCGAAAATAATCACACTTTCAATGTGGTCAAGAAATTCTTATTCACATTTTCCAATAATTATAGCTAAATTCATTTTAGTTTTTCCAACGATCGAAGCAAATAATAAAATAAACAAGATACGAGAAGACCCCCAAAGATGGTGGATGGATCAACCCAATTGGGCCTGGCCCCTAAGAATTCATAATGAAAATATGTCCTGTTACACAGAAGATGTATATGAACTTCCTAGGTCTAAGAATCTATGTACTAAATGAGCATGAACCAATCACCAACGTGAGTGCTCAGTAGACTAACAACTGCATTTCGTGAAATAATAGATACACGTCCCATATTTATGGTCTGAAATATAAATAAAGGGAACCTCAATCCCTTTACTTGTATACTTGGCTCTTGCATACTCCCTCACCAGCCTGTGTCTACGTAGATGCCCAAAACTCCATATAAACACAAGGCTAGAATAAAAAAAATGGTCTTAAAACATAACGATAAACATAGAGAATTTGAGGTTTTGAATCTCCACTAGGTGCTTGTACATAATATTTGTAATAAACCGTGTTCATAGTGGGTGATTGAAAGTGTTCAAATTACTTGAAATGAAACAAATTGTATGTAAGGAAAATAATTTTATTGAATGAAAGTTCTCTTTTCCTTTTTCATTGGCTTGTTTCTGCTGCATGTAAAAACTTCACGGATCTATGATGAAATTTTTTACTATTTAGAGAGTCTTGTGCCGAGGGTAAATTCCACATCTTTTTGTACTCTAACGGATCCGTGGTTCTTGTCTTATCTACATCGTGCTCTATCTTTTCCTAATAATAAAGATGAGGTCGATTATGCTTTGGAACGGTTGGTTGGGTCCTGAGCACAAGGCTTGAGTGCTCCGAACCTCCACCATCTCATCCCTTTCCAAATTCCTATACAATAACGGCTGACGTAATAAGAGTCAGTAATAACACGTCGGCTATTACCAGGGCACCCCGAACCTACAGAGTTGTAACTTTGGGATGCTGGACTTCAACCGTCAAGTCCTTGACTTGACTTCAAACTCAGGCTGGTCAAACAGATGGATAAGGCACCTGACCTGAGGAGTGTTAGGTGTGTTAGGAGTACCTCTGGTTAAGACAAAGCCTCTTTGGCCCTGGACCCCTCACGTCCAGGCTGATCACAGGTTCTGTTTCTTCCTCTCTGCCACTCTCATTTGTTGCACGTTCCTTGTTATGTGCACACTAGTAGTTGTCAGAGACCGAGTTTTTACCCTTAATTCTTACCGTCCGCTGCTTCTTTTCACTGCTTTCTGTTATTTTACTTTGTCCCTTATTTTAACCCTTCAGTCCTTGATCTGCAACTTCACCGGGTACCATGGCACCTTCCTCCCTACCGGGTTGTAGGCCCCCCTGCAGGGATTCCAGGAAGGTTGTCAGAGTAAAGTAGTGGGTCCCACATGTGGTCAAAACAGAGCGGGGATGGCTGAACTTTCGGAAAAGACGAACAAGGCCAAGGCCAAAATCTGGCCAAAGGCAGGGGAAGCCGTTTGCAAAGGGGGGCAGGAAGGTTACTAATAAAAGAATTTATCAAATAATGCTGCAAAAAGGATGCGATGACCCCATCAAGCAGTTTATGGATGACACCAAAGGGGAAGATGGGGGAAGACTTGGTGAGGACCAAAGGCCAGCTTGGAGAGAGGGTTGGAGAATTTTTTGTGAACCCACGTCTATATAATCTTCATTGCAACAAAACATTCACTTTAACATAGGTAGTGAGCCAACTCCAACTTACCAGAATAACCACGTGCAGACTAGGCCTAGGTTGTGCTCAACACCACTCAGGCCTAGTTCTTAATCTACACACTAGTGATTCTCTCGTATTCCCCAAGACGAGCAAGTTACTTTTTCTCTTAGTTTCATCTGCTCCATGTAGGTTTAGGTGTTGCTTGCAGGGTAAAATAAATCTTTGGTATAATCAACAGCTTTTAGCTCCTCTACTGCTTGACTGTGTGTTGATCAAAAGGCTCATGAAGTCTTTTGGGTCAAAGTTTGGGCTCAATTACCAACCTAGTCATTGTGCCATGCCCCAAGGTTAGCCCCACTGCAACTTTGTATATGAGGAGATTGTTTGACTTTTTTGCTTCCTCATAAGAATACTTTCCCGTATATACTTGTAAGGTTTGCTTGAATCATCCTCCTCCTGGGTCCTTACAAATCTATAGAATTGGAATAAGGAACTGGAGTTTCCACTCTTCCAAGAAACTTCTACCACACCAGATTACGTTTTCGAGTTAAGACCTCATGCTGCATTCGAGCCCCGGGGTCCTCGATTCATATTTACTTCGGAATTGATCTCATTTTGTATTGTCGGATTGACGAAACGTGAGGTTGAAATTGAAACTCCCGCTGAATTTCGAGATAATCTCAGTTTGTGAGCGTTGTTGATCTCCACAAGGCTGTCCAGGTGATGTAATTCGGGAAAACGCATCATATAGTGATCCAGTAAAAATATTCATCGATTTGGTGTACTCAAGGATTGATGGGGATGAGTTTTCATCCAAGAAGGGATGGGTTCTAGCCTCTAAGATCAATAACCTTCTTGACAGGCCTGAGAATATATACTGAACATTGGCCAGTGTTTGTAGTGAAGGACTTCTGCAATGGTTTTCTGGCTTTCTAAGTAGACGCAAGGAGGTTTCAACAAAATAAGAAAAGTCAACCCTTAGGCACAGAGCTGCAGTTATCCTTTCTCACTCAGAGCCTAGATAAAGGTTGGCTCTCTTTTTAAGATAGGCTAGGAAACTAGAAGACACGCCTTCTTCTTAAGATGGCATGGATGTTCCTTCATGATTACAAGCAATTAAGAAGACGTAAGAGCATCAAGGTCGAAAACGTGTACAGACATTTGAGATATATCCAGTACTAACTGATGATGCTTACGATGTTTCACATGTTTGAGGTGCTGACAGTAGAATAGAGTTCGACCCAAGGCGTCGTCACTTTTGTAGAACAAGGCTACAATGCTATTCCCAGTCAGTTACTGATGAAAGAGACCAGACTGGCATTGGTCTCAATATTTGCTCAGCTTTAATAAATTACAGCACCTGTGCCGCACAATTCAGTGGGCTGCGACACATAAATTTGTCTAGGCTTCACCAGTGTGAGCAATCCTACGACCTTCATGGGTCTTCTACACCTACACGACTCAACCAGGGAACATGGCTTCCGCTGTGCATGACCGACAAGGCCACACACAAGACGTGATCTATCAAATTAAGAAGGGGTTTTGCCTTATTGAGGACCCCACAACAACCATAAGGTTGCAGTGTCAAAAAATGAATGAGGACCTAATCTCAGAATGTTCTAACTCGTGACTAGTTGACCCCTGCTAATGAACAGCAAAGAATGTGCTACTCAGATATTGTAACAATATACATTCGGGGCGCCTATCCTGTTACGAGGACATTTTCGCCCGGGCAAAAAGAACTCCAGCAAAGAGACCTGCGAAGAAGACGAAGAAAAAAATGCAATACAATTATTTCGACCGGTCCACGCAAACATGCAAAACAAACTGTATTACGACTTCAAACAGGAGTTTACTTCTGTTTTGTGCAAAAACAGAAGTAAACACAGCGAAACGAAATATTTTGGGGGGTTTATTTCGCTTATGAATTCTTCAAGATAGATTCATCATTTAAAAAAGTAGAGATTATGTTTAGAGATGTAGAGATTGAAATTTACCAAAGAAGATGCTGATAAGGTTTGCAAAGCTGGTTGGAACTCTGAAGAGAACGATACCCGCAAGAGAAAGTGGAATCTTATTTAAAGAACCCACTAAGCTGCAGCGGAAACAGTCAAATTGTCACTTCTTGTAGCCATTGCACATCCTTGTCAAACAGATACTCTATTAATCTATATAGTTGAATATACACTGACTAAATTCCCACATTCAACAAGCAAGAAACGCGGTAGAAGGGAAAGAAAAATTGGGAGAAAGTAAAAAAATAACGGCTCTTCTTCGTCGAGAAATTATATGTCTGTGCACAGCAAATGCCAATGAATCATGGGTATAATAACCATGAGGTATCAACAAAGCTTTCCCTTGTTTTGTAAACTTGACGACAAATTGGATACATCATCTGACTTGATCTTCGGCACCTAAACCTCAAAGTGGGGTTCCTATGCGAAGTGAAAAACGTAAGAAGGTACCTGTGAGTAGTAGGTGAAGTCTGATGCATGAACCACATGGATGTGAAGCTGATGGCGAGTCCAAGGAGCCCACTTAATGTCATCACAACCCAGAACATTGGAATCTTGAGGGCAGGTCTGCACAGAAAGGAAAGACCCTCACCATAAATAAGAAGTTGAAGACAATATCGTCGTATCCATGCATCATCCATTCTGACTCAGATACTGATGATAATCCAACATCATGACAGTAAAGCTGAGTAGTTAAAAGTGAAGGAAACTCCGAACGTAACCGGAAGAACTTACGAGTTGAACAGAGTTTGAGTTTCAAAAGCGCAAATGAGGATAAGGCCCAATGGGAGAGAGAGCAGATTGTTTAGCAACACCATCGAAAACTCATTAAGTGTTCCCGAGTTTGTTTTCTTCTTTGCCAGATCCATCACCTTCCTTAGCCTCAACTGCAAGGGCAGATTCAAACAATTAAAGACCTATGGATAGTGCCAGACTAGGATTTCCTGACCGCATAGTCAATGACGTCAATGTTCTCCACGGAATCTTGACAACCAAGAGGACTACAACGAAAACTTGCCGCAGACGAAGTGGTCAGTCATATTGTCAACCGTCACATGACAGTTCTGACATATTCTAGCAGTCCATGTGAGACTTCTCACGCGCCATATGAGCGTATGAAAAACCAAGGAGGGTGACAAGTAGCGAGATAAATACTCGAAATGAGCTATACCCAGATCAAGATATTCATAATGTCCTGTATGTGATCAAATTATCTTATACGACTGGTTCTGGGTAAAATGCCAACTGAACTTCCGATTAAAAAATTCACGTTTACACTCAGGAGAAATCTTTCATGACAAAAAGGAATAGCGTTAAGCTAGTACCGAGTAGGCTGCTGTACAAAAGCAGTTGATAATCTGGTAAGTATATCCCTTTCCATGGAAAGACAGATCAGTGACTCCTCCACTCACAGCGGAAAGGACCTGCAATTACGTAGGAGTTGGCCATATAAGGAACTCGTGCTCACGCAATCTTATCCTGTAATTTAATATTCTTGCACCTTTTAATATAGTGGCTATTCTCTAATTGTGATTCTTTTACTCTTAAAGCTTTATGCATTCTTTAAACAAAAAATCTTCAACTCATAATATTCTAGTCAACAAATAAGCAGCGTATGCACATTCTATGTGCTGATGATGATTCTCTTCAAAACAGGACAAGAAGCCAAAAAAAGGACGAAAGAGGAACAGTGACTTAAACATGCTGTTAATGTTCGAGAGGTAGTGAATTTTCCAACTTACCATCACAATAAGTGAAAGCCAAACCTTGCTGTTATGATGCTTGTTGAAAAAGTAAATTTCACCCACTGCAGTGATAAGGTTGGTAACGTTTTTCAAAATTGTCACCATCGCTACGTTCATGAGTCGCAAACTGCAAATGAAGTATTCTTTATCAATTTTCCGCTTCAAGGAGGGACAAGAATTTTAATTATGAGATGCATGCATATACATCCACTACTGCTTGAGTCACTATGCTAGGAACAGACGCTATTCTTCAATGAGAGTCATGAACAATGAATATAGGTAAGATAGGCATCCAAACCTGAAGATACTTGACACAAGCATACCAACGAAGAGAAAATTCACTGGGAGCCAGACTTTCACTAGTCTCCAGGTGATTGGCTCAGTGACTATTAGCCCCAACCCATTGAGAAGATATACTACCAAAACACTGATCAGATTCTGCGCAACCAATTCGGAGAACCTTAAGTCAGGAGAAGTATAAAGTGTAGCACTATATTTAGTACAATGGCACATACTGCGGAACGTAGATTTCCAGTACTGTGTTACGCTAGATGAGAAGCTGAGCCCAAGTAATTTGATCTTCTTCTGCAGTTTAGTAAATGACTCTTTCATTTGAATGATTTGCTCTCATTCATATTCGATCTGTGCCCAATAAGCGACTTCATTTTAAGTTCTTATTTCATAACATAATATTGAAGATAATACAGTCGCGTTAAGGTCACATGTGGGATTGGATGGCATAGTTAGGAATACATACCTGATAAAACATCAAGGAAATTCCTGCATTGAGGTTGTATCCCGATAAAACAACCTTGTTGAGCAAGATCATGCTGCACGATGAGAGGCAGTAGGCGACGCCTGATATGAGTGACTGGTTGCGAGATTTCAACAACGGATGCTGTTCTCGGACGGAAGGTTTCTCTCGTGGTAGCAAGGTATCTCGTTCCCCTCCCAATTCCACATCGTCATCGCTCAAGTTTCCTGGACGACCTAACGTCCTGTAGCAACCCCAAAATAACAACACAGACGAAATCTTCAACAAATGCTCACCAACACGAAACGAACCACAGGGTGTTATCAGACTGAACGCAGCGTGTCATTAGCATCCAATTAGGCCTTCCTGAAACCAAGGTAGAAAATAGATAAGACTTGATCCCAATCCGCAGGAACACGGCTTCAGACAACACTTTGCCTACCTTAGCAAAGTACCATCTCGCAGGTAGACTTCCATTCACCCAGCGTTATCCTTGAGTCACTATACTAGCAGTTATATTCTGTATAGAAACTAGTAGTGATATAAACACCAAAAATGCCCCAAGAGAACTTTTTTTTATCCAGAAATATACTTTTGACCAAGGTGCACACAACAAGCTCAAGAGACGCTGATAAGGCATCTAGCTTTGAAGAGATACCTATTGCTGTGAGCTCGACGGATACCACCGTTGACTGGAGACGTCTGTGAAATTGGTCCATTGATGGTGCCGTTCATGGTCCCATTAATCGTTCCGTTCAAGCCCTTGGTCCCGTCGTCTACTGTCAGCTTAGCTTCATCTTGACTCTCGGAACCTGAGAGTGGGTTCCAACTTACACTCCTGTTCGCAAAATAGGATTTATTGTTAGTGTCCAGCTCGCAATTGAAGAAAGATCAAATCTGCACCCTACGACGGGGACCAGATAATGAAAATATTGTGGAACATCCACACCTCATCACAGATAATCTTACATGGCTTTCGTAATATCTACTTCTAAGTCATGAAAACCAAGAAGGCGAAGAATCGGTCTAATGTGAGGATATTTTCTGACATTCTGAAATTCAGTAAAAAATGTTGCTGCTTTCAACCGTCATCCTTCTGAACTTAGCAGACGATGGAAGGGAGCTTGGCGAATTGGTATAATCAGAAATGCTCTACAGGCTCGAAATATACAACAAGTCATTTCATATGACAGAACAGACCTAGGGGCCATTGTCATCTTAGAGTGACAAAGGTTCTGCTCCGATGGTGGGCAAATTCTCCAAGATAATTGCTCGACTTTGAGGTGAAGTCAATGTACGCCGCAACCGGCCAAGATTGACGGCCCGAATAAAACCCGTTCGTAGATGACTGACTTCAAACACAAGAATACGTGTTTAGCTCTGTCCCATCATCTGTTGGATTTTGCTCCACCAAATGGCCTCAATCGATGTCCGGAGAACGATGGCACTCGTAAAATCGCTGAGTACATGAAGAACGTCACACAGATCACTGCCCTGCTTTTGCACTGCAGAATGTACAGCCAGAATCTATCCAGATCGTCAGTCACCGCTGTCTGGTACTCAGAGTGGACTGGGCGTCGCAGATATCACCTGCTTGAAATCTAGACAGCTCCCATCCTCAATCAGGTCTTGATGCTTAACCCTGCTCTCATCCCTGGATTACCGGGTCTCCCATTCCCCTGCATTCGTTTGCTCAAGACATATTGAATCCTTCCATTGAGTGAAACAAGGGATCTTCGTCTTCCGCGTCAGTCCATAGAGCCAGTTTTCTTAAAGATATCATTCGCTTCGGTGAGCGATCAAAGGACGAAGGCGGCAGCATCCATCGGCTGCACGACCAGAGGAGCAGGTTAACTTAGCCTCCACATACAACATTGTGAAAGTACAAGAAAATTCACCAGGGCAGCTCAATTTCTGCACTCCAAAGAAGGACACGGTAAAGACAGGAGCTCGTCGAAATTGGCGAAAATGGAAGACTGAGAGGTTTGTCAAAACGGAAAGTATTGAATCGGTACCAATAGTGATTGCCAGTCACAGGGAATGCCTATCGTACAACGAATGAGCTCATCAGAGTAGTGCAGCAGATGTTAATGACTTGCGTGGCAGAGAGCAAGACCCCGGAAGCCAGCCAAATTGCTGACGAGTCGGGGGATCCAGTACCACCGCGACTCTGCAAACACTGTCCAAGCACACAATCCCGACCCGCCGTCTGTCTCTCAGAGCTCGCTCGAACTGTAGATCGATGATCTGCAACTGTCTCCCAGACAAATTGCCATTGCTTCCACTCAGGCACGGACTCCTTATATAAATGTCTTCGGCACCAACCGAACTCAGCTCCCAAAACTGACGCCGCACGAGAACAGAAAAATTGCAGGACCGATTTCCGGGCGGACAGAATAATCAAGAAACAGGAAAGACAATTGTAACCAGAAGGGACGGGGCCGTGGGGCTACAACAAAAGGCAACTTACGCACTAATCCAAAGATCGGACCAGCCGACCAAGATCGATTATACAATGCCCACTCCTCCCTCGAAGCTTTTCTTCCTTTCTTTCTGTCAAGATCTCCCCCGGCGGCACAAATGGCGAACATTAACTCCGGCCCTCCTCATCGACTGCTCCCACATTCCTCTCCTCCACCTCTCGCTCCTCCTCGCTCCCCTCCACGCTGCTCTGGTCCCGACCCCGACCCCACCGGTTAATCGTCCCCGGGACCGTGTAGCGTAATTAGTCCCCCCTGCTCCTGGTGGACACCGGGCCACCCCGGCGGTCGTTCTGCGGGGGAGGGAGCTGGCTGACCACCGGTCACGCCGAGGTTCCGACCGGACGTAAGACTGCAGTTAAGGTGCAGGTTCCGGCCACAGAGAACGAAGACAGAGGGCGAGATCGCCTCGTGGTAATTCCCTTGCTCTAACCCGGTCCAGGAGCCGGAGCCGAGATGCATGGCATGTTCGGTCCGACGGGCACGGCGAGGGGCGAGCACCGTCCGATGGAGCGGGGGCGACCCGGTGCAGCCGCGCGTCGTCGATGGGGAAGATTCCCTGAAAGATTCGAACGTGTGGAGCGTAGAAGAGCGTCGAGACGGCATGTGGATTCTGCGCGGCGTGTGAGAAGATCCGACCGTCCGTCGGCCTCGCGATCGTGCAACCTTCCTTTTCCGGTGTTATCCTGGAATTATCCGAGCTCTTCCGGAGGGCCGGACACGGAACGGAAGGTCAATGGTTCGCGCGCAGTCGGTCAAAACGCTCCCCGAAACGACAAAGTCTTGACGCGCAACTAACCTGTCAACCGGCCGTTGAAGGTCCAAGCGTCTCGTGCTGCCGAGTCGAACGTTGGCGCCGGGTCTCCCCGCGCCACTTGGGGCCCTCGAGGCCGCCTCCAGCCTCCGGCCTCCAGCCCCGGGCCCTCGGCGGGCCAGCGCGTGAACCCGCGGCCTCGTTCTTGGGTCTCGGCGCAGCTCATGATTGTCCTCGCGAGGGCCCGTTCAAAGCGTTGTGTGCGACTCCAGGTGCTGATGCCAGCGGCGGTGTAGCGTTCGGGGGCGGGGAGGAGTGAACGCCCGGCCTAGTCGATTCCGGCCTAGGCTCATTGAGCGCTACGTGGGCGTTGACAACAGTCAAGGCTGCAGCCCACGACGGGGGTAGATACCCCCACCCCTCGGCTGCATATTTAGGGTATATGCAGCGAGAGGAGGGTGCTCCATATCTTCCTTCGTTCTTCGTTCAAGCAAGGCGATGCGATTTGTTGGTCTTCGGAAAGCGGATCTCTAACTCGGATATTTATCGGGGCCACATGGTCTTGACAATCGTACTCTGAATCTGGAAGCTCGTCGATATTTTCGTTAGGACGACGGAGTTTGCTGATTGTACAGAGCGCATGGTATCCCGTCCCGCATCTGTACAGAAAGCGGGCTTCTTAAGAGCAGATTTCATGGGCGGTCGGTGTTGAGAGGACAATGGTTCTTGTACTCTAATCGTCTTAAAGTGTGTGCACACGCATTTGCTCATACGGACTGCATTATGGAAGTCTTCGATCCGGACCGGCGTGGTGTGTGTGAAAGCGGAGGAGAGATGGAAGTCGTTTGCATTCGTTCTTTCTTTCTGGCTTTTGAAGTTTGAGCACTGCTGTTGTGTCATGGTCCATGGCACAACATCCATGACTCATGGATGTGGAAAATTGCCATGTCTTTTTGAAACAAGCACAATTATAATCGCAATCACTCCGTATTGGAGGCTAGGGTCCCTCACGTAATTAATATTGATCTCAGCTCTTTCAGCTGCTGTCGTACGCCGGAAAAGAGTACGAAGAGAGAATGCGCTTCGACGTATATTTCGCCGGGCTTGGACAGGGGGAAAGTAGGAAAAGGCGGAATTGCCAAAAAGAGGGAAAAGGGCAGAAAAGCTCCTCTGCACTCTTCGTAGGTCGGATGAACTGAAGAAGAGCTAGAGAAAACGTCATGCAAGCATCAAAGACAAAAGTAATACAAATTGATGGCGTACTTTCCTTCCTGCTCTTTTAGGTTTCCACAACCCGGAGGACAAATTCGCCGAACTGTCCAAATTGGTATAGAGAAAACGAAAGCTGCGTTCAAACCCTGTTGACGAAGGAAACCACAATCTTCCCTGGAGGTGCATTACGGGTGACTGAAGTACCAAGTGTGAAGAAGAGCACGCTGAGAGATCAGTCTCCAAGCCTGTCACATATCTCGACTTGCTGTTTCCTTGTCCTCTCCCGTACGCCCACGGCCCTGAAATGAATGCCATCAGTTGAAAAAGGTCACTGACCGTGTGCAGGACATCTTCATTTCCCGGCAGCGAGAACAGAAAAGTGGTCTTCATAGAATAAGACTCATGTGAAGGAAGGCTTCACCATCAAGGTTTTGACTTTCACACGAATTAGAAATATAGAAGAAACTTGTATCCTATAATGTTAACCCGTCTGCAGTGGTAGTGACTGAAGAAAGTGATTGCCATCGTAGCTTCATTCACGAATATAGGGCCATCATTTAAAAACAAACAAACTTGCAATTAGTTTGTGCTTCTTTCACGTCTCAACACATTCTACTGATAGATTTAAAGTTTGCAGATACGGGTAATCAGCTTATGTTTCAATATGATTACATCATGAAACAATTAACCTATTAGCTTAGCTCGCAGGTCGTAGCCCTTATTCCTTATTGGACGGTCAATATGCAGGGTCAAGACATGATTAACGTGGTCACTATGTGAGGATACATTTCTACTTTACCGGCATGGTTCAGGTGTATAGTGAGGCTCATTCCCATGACGAAGTCTATTTTGAAGTGATCTATAGCACGTCCAAGATTGGAACTTGTTTCCATGTTTAGAAAGGGAATTTTCTAGTTGTAACTGCAAAGTGTACTTATGAGTACCATGGAAGATCTACTTTTTGACTCCCGAGATAGTCCAAGAGTCAAGAACGTGATGCATTTAGTGTACGGACAGAACATAAACACAGCAGCTTCGTTAGCGAGATTGTAATCGTAATATCAGAATAGCAGGCTGGCTAGTTTTTTTGGGCACAAAATAACAACACGGAGCTTACTATATTCCATGACTGAAACTTGGGAATGTGATGAAATATGTTTGAGTATGGAGTCTGAATCTCGTACTTGATAGGCAGAAACACCAAACGAGAATTCAAAAATGCTACACTTCTGTCGATTGCTATTGGAGATATTAGTACCAATTGATCAGTTTGTGTAATGAAGATGTAAGGGAGCTTAGCAAGCTTTGAAATCCTCAACAGATCTCTAGGTCGAAGAGAATCTTCACACCAAAGTCCATGAGTGATAGCAACTTCTGCAAAAGTACTTGCAATATGCATATACTCGACTTTATGATGGCAGATCGGCTTTTGCGTTGGGTTGTATCTTTGTCAGATACTGAAAAGTCACATGGATCGAACTGTCTGATCTGAGCCAAAACTTACAGAAACGTACGAGCCATGAAGGTCATGTTACTTTGGCAACTAACGCAATGAAGGACGAAAAAATCGAAAAGACTAAGAAAGTGGAGAGCGTATCACTGCCCTGCAAAAGAAAAGTACAAAGGGCGAACTTTTCCTGAACTCTTCCAACTGGCGCCCAAATTTGTCCTCAAACATGGGGTCCTCATTTCAGTCCACTTTCATCTGGTCTTTGAAATTTACGGAAGTTGGAAGTCCAAAGCGAATAGGCTGGGCGACCTAGGAGCATCACCAGAAGAGTTGGCCCCTTGAGCGCAGCAGTCAAATTTCGATGACTTTGCAGTGGCAGTGGCAAAGATCAACAATCGTGATCCTTCCGATTGTACTCCAAGTACTGTACTTGGCAAAGCACTTCATCCACGTAAAAGGAGATAATGTAAGACCTAGTCTAGCTCATCCGGCTGACGGGATGTGATGAAGTCCGGGACACATACAGTATGTGTCTTTGAGTATGTGACATACTCAAAGACCTTGTGAAGGATATACTTCCTGGGCACCAGCTGATCTAAACACATCGTCCATAGGCTGTCGGTTAAGAACGAGAATATTTCCTACTTTTGCGAATGCTTGCAGATTATGAGCAGGGTGAGTTGAAAACGTGGATAACTAACGCCAGTGGACAGATGTGAGGTCCATTTAAGAGCTGTGGTCCATAACGTCGAGATAAGCTTAAGCAACAGAGAGTAAGTGGAAGCCATAGGAGGTTTAGATCGAAACCCTAGAGCTTTGAGCAGAATATTGGCGAGACACTAAGATTGAAACTCAGAACTTGGAACATGTTCTGTCCTTTGTATGGAGAAGCGGAATGTCCTGACGGGAGGGAGTTATGCGTGTTGGGCGGACCTTCAAATACTGATCAGTGATCGATGTTGTTTCACAGTTCTGAGCAAGTCGCTCTAGAGCAAGGTGAAGCACATAATCTTCTTTCTGTATATTAGGTCAAGTGCCAATGGATGCAACACACAAACACATGAATCGGTCAAGAAATGTCAAGTATTGTCTTCATCCTAATACGTTATCCGTTTTACGGTGAAGACGATTCTGGCAGAAATGTCATTTTTGACTGGCCATGGCTCTGATAGGATTTGTTGTCTAGTCTTATTGCGATTCTTACGATATCAGCTTTCTTCATGGACACGCTGGCTGTTGATCTTTCTCATACAGTTGTGTCATTTGTAGTTCTGTACTTCAGAGTAGTGTTTCAATTGACTCGAGCTGTGCGCACAAAACGAGGGATCTTGAGCACCTCAGAGAATCATCAAACTTTTTGTGTCAATCAAAGGCTTCAGCGAATCAGATTCTCTTCCAAGAAATGAACCCATGGGTGCCTGAATTTGTCTTTTTAGTGGACACAGCGGACTTGTTGTCCCCAGCGGAGAAGGATATGAAGAGGGATGGCATCCAGAAGCCCTTTCTGCCCCTTGTAAAGCCACATTTGTAGGTGTACTGTTGAGAGATTTATTGCCCATTGAATGTTAAAGGAGCAGGGCAAGAACACTATAGAACGAGATCATGTCTGGCCGCTGTCACAGTGAATGGACAGGCGGCCACAAATTGATCAAGAAATGTGCGAAGAAAGTGTGGCTTTAATCTCCACGATATAGACCTTCCATGCCAGAAACTTGACTTTGTGTCTGCTCAATTATAATCCTGACGATGTTCACCGACAGCATATTGTCGAGTCGGATGTGTCAATGTTTAGGAAGCAGCATGGAGCACTTCCTGCTGCAAGGACAGAGATTTGCAATATCTGGCACGCCCAAGATGCTCTTTCCCAGTTGGAACTGAGAGCAAACTTAATTGGATAGAGGATCAAGGTGTAAAGTTTCTTTCGCATCAAAATTTGGCGTGAGAATCTTAGGTAACCTCCAAGGGGCGTCCATTTGCAGTCGAAAAGTTCAAATTTCACCTTTCTAAGAAGATCATGAAACTCCTCACTCGAGTTCATTGCCAAGCTTACTATCGTCTTCCCAAATCGTCGAGTACAGAAACCACTCCCGGAAATCGATCACTTCCATCGTATACGAAGAGGCATTTGCATGCGGTGAGAAAAGCTCTACGGAGTTTCAATCAAGTCTTCAGGCCATCGAATGCTCTGGATCGCAATGCCATCACGACGAAGATCATCTTCAAGCCGACAGTCGGAGTCGGAGTCTACGAGAAGATATAACCGATTCCGATGGTCAATGTTCGGGAGAGTAAGTACGTGAGCAGATTTAGGATCGCGCGTGATCAAGCAGTGGCAGAGAATCAATTTGACCGCACGAGGAAATGTTTTAATAGACACGCAGTGTCATCGACGGTTCCATTATCCTCGACAACCACTGTCTACGCTTGACGAATCTCATCGAGTACAGTACATGCATGAAAGATAGTGAATCTTGACTAGTGTGAAGAAAGTTGCAAGCTCGGATATTTGAGCATGGCCCTCACCACGACATTTAAGCAAATCAGTGCTATTGCCCTAATCAGGACTTCTCTACGTGTGCAGCAATTACATCTCCCATAGCGCGCACGTTCGGAAGGTGTATGGGCAGTCAATAGGCTGAAGATTTCGTATCCTCTTTCCAGTTATGGTGTCGTGTTAGGGTTCTGTCAAACACAAAGCAGTTGTACAAACGGACTAATACAGTGAGCTCCAACTCGTGCACCACTTTCCAACGCTATTTTTGATCTACATGGTCAGGCGCAGTAGCAGATATTTCCCCGTGCGATTAGGGGCCAAGTCTCACCGTACCCGGTTGGTCTCAACCCTGTACGACTCGATGGGATGGGGTCTTCATTGCTCATGGTCAATAATGACATGAGTTGGTGGCCGCCGCATTACACAATGCTGAACCGAGGAAAGAGGTCAAACTCGCGCATTAGCACCGTCTCCCCTGAAAGGGAGAATGCAGTTGAAGTCATCGCCCGTTGATGATCCCTTTTTTATGAAAGTCCACAGCTTTGGAATGTTTAAAACGTAATGGGTTTATAACATCCGCGTTACAAAAATTCGACCGGATTTTATTTTGTTCTAACGATCCTATTCAATCCTCGTGTACCTCGGGTTAAAGGCATCTATAATATTCCGCCGGTCCTCTTTTGCAACCATATAGCCTGATCGAGGGTATAAACATTTCAACCACACTAAATTTTTTTCTTTTTGAAACTGAGTTACTTCAAGTGCGTCCTCCCTGATGAAAGATCATTTCTTGAATCCATTTTCTAGACTAGAATTTTCACTCATCTAGAGAAGCTTTAAAAAGGAATGGCGATAGATTCAAAGCTAATAGAAGGAGGCTCAATAACTAACGTGGTTCCAAGACCACAAAACATTGAAAAGCTAAAGGACTCACATAGAAGAATAAATTTATAAAGTAAAACCTAAAGAAAAGAAAAAAAAACCTCATTGCGTTAGAGAGATATGATGACTTCAGCAATTCTTTGAAGTACGAATGCGGAGGACACAGGAACCAAGCTCAAGGAGACATTTCGAAAGATGGCGAAGGTCTGACAACGTTGAACTTTCATTGACATATGTTGACAATCTCGCCATGTTGAACTGGTATTGTCTGGGCTACTTGTAGATTCAAACCATCTAACTCGGTATAAATCTGATCAAAATGGTCAACAGTATGAGGGCATTTGTAGGAGACGCTCTGCATACATCGCCTCTATTTCTTGTGATATGATCATTGCTGCATATTTTCATACAAAGGTGCTCTCAATCTTTATCAAGTCTTGTTCCTTTAATGACATAAGTCAATATTAGTGTTGGTGGTAACTCTTATTGATACACATGATCAAGAAGCAAAATACAATTTTTTCTTCTACTCATGAAAGATAACGTAACTTCCATGAAAATTCAAATGAATAGAATTCAGAGCGAAGATATTTGTAGAGTAGAAATAGGTGATATATGTATTTTCAGAACTTAAGAATATAGAGTGGAGAACACATGCTGTAAGCACTCGATAACAATGTGACAGAGTGAACTTATGACAATTCAGACTTTAAACAAAGAGGCGGGAGGTATGGGAAAGACGTCTTATGTTTTCGATACAAGTTATCTTTAGTACTCCAGTTGTACCAAAGAATTGTTGAACATATATGTAATTGAAAAGTTGAACATATATGTAAGAAAATACAAATGAGCAATGAGCTGCCATGAGTGAAAGGGATTGTTGTGGATGTAGTTGATGGATGGATAAGATAGATTTAGTACTAAATTTCCATTCCAGCATTTTTTCTTATCATACCAACATGCATTTAGAGGTCAAAGTCTTAATAATGGTAATGTCATGAACAAGTGATGAATTATTTAGATCTGATAATCTTGTAAATACTCACATGCATTTTAATTCTACCTTGCAATATCTATTGTGGTTCGCAATTGGCATCATATCATAATTGGCATCATCTTTTAACGCATATCAAAGTTTCAACACTTGAGAACTTTTGGGTCATCTTAATGACTAGTAATGTATTATATCTCTACATCTTTTGGTTATGTTTTTTATAGCACTTTTTAAATTGGTCTTCTTTAGGATTGGAATTTAGCACAACTGACTGACCGTTTATACCACTAAAATAAAATATTTAATATTAGAGGTCAATAATTGCAAAACACTGTTGTTTGCTGATGTCATACAATCACTTTTTCATATAGAGATGAGAAAGATTGCTCATAAAAGAGTATGTTGCACACTTGACGACTGGTCTATAAGATGATGTTCGATGATGAGGACTGACTATAAGTATACTGTAGTCTATATGACTCACAATGAGTGTATTATTCGCTATACTTGCTTTAATTTGTGTGAGATCAGTGATATTTGTAGGAGACGAAAGAGCTTTAGAATAAACTATGGCATTAAAAAACCCTCCACAAAATTGTGATTCTTCTACTGAATACCACTAGAAGACCATGATGTTCAATGAAAACCCATGTTAATAAAAGTCAGAAAGATATTGTCTGTGATAGTATTTACAGATCAAGATGTAAGTGCTATAACACACATGCTACAGTTAGTTCATTTTCTAACAATTGAATGCATGATACTGTAGTGAATTTTAAATATCTTCATGAAACAATCCATCTCCTCAATAGCTACAGGTTACTTTATGCGGAAGTGAAACTTGGAAATTCCTATTCAATAGAAAAATAAAATACCCAAAGTCGTTCCGCTCATTTTCCAGGATGGGACTCCTACTGATCGTACCATAAACATTGTACAGGATTAGAGAATAAATGTGGCTCCAGTACTCGTGAACGCGCCATGAAGAGAATCTTCACTCGCCCCGTTATCCATCGCCGTATAAGAATCGCACCGTACCGCAATGTACAGAATGAACTGCGTAAGACAAGTAATAAACTGCGTGGACTAAATCAAAAGCATAACTACTTCCCTTCACGAGAAAGGAAGTAGTTATACCCGCTGCCGGAGAAGGAGAAGAGTCAGAAGGCAACTCACGGCTCTCCGTGAAGACTGCGGCAGGAGAAAGAGATGCGTGGCAAAAGCGTACAAGGACGAGAGGTTACACAGTACGGTACAGTATTCATCGTACTGTATGCGAAGCGAGAACGAGAGCGACAAACCTCCGGGTGAAGACGACATCCCGGCGCCATTACACGTATCACGTACGTGACGTGACCGAATCGACGACGGCACACGACTTTCACTCACCGACTGCCGTCCGTCCGTCCATCCATCCATCCACCCGTCCGTCCGTCCGTCCTCGTGGTGATCGATCTTCGGACTTTTGAAAACCGCACGCGGCGCGGCCCTTTCAAATTGAAGCGTCCGCGGGACTTGCTTTCCGCGGACGCTCCAGGGGAGGCTTGTTCGCTTCATGGTCCCGGGAGGAGGACGATTGGATGTTCGAGTCCCAAGGCCCGAATCTCCTCCAGAGATCCTCGTCTCCGGACAGACGCGAGTCTCGTGATGAACATCGTCCGTTTGTTTGGGATTTCTCTTGTTCCAAAAGAGGCGACCAGCTTTCTACTTGTCGGATGAGAAGATCAAAGCTTTCTAAAATGTATGTAAGTATCTTTGATTTTTTGGGCTTTTTTTCTAGTCTTTTTCTAGTTTTTTTTTTTTTATTAAGATGATGAATTCCCATCGTTTGCTGCCAGCCATGGTGTTGGTTTGACGTCAGATTTGTGCAAACCTCTTTAGATTCAAGAATTAACAAGGACAGAGATTAGTGCACATTACGAATCATTCTGGAGTTCCGACTCCGCTATACTTTTTAATCTGGTGTGGACTAGTTCCAAAAGTGAGTCACTAGATTTTTCAAAATTGAGAAATACGCGATCAGATTCCTTCCGTTTAGATTAGAGGCATCAAAGTATCTTGTAGAAGTGTATTTTCGACAACCACTCTTTGGAGCAGCTATGGTGTTGTATTGAGTTCAGAGCGGGCTGCATATTTGATCTATCAAGTAGCACCAATCCTTTTGTACTACACATCCTAACAAATGTCGAGAAGAGGACATAGCACGAATCAATCGAGGGTTCTGAGTCAGAAGTGCAAGAAGTGCTATGGTTCGAGGGCTAATTTCAATAAAATATTGAGAATATGCCAGTTTTTTATGAGATCTTTGAGCTTCTACGACAACTTTTAGACGAGCATACTCGAAAGCCGATGTCATCTTCATATCAGACTCGGCTGTAAAGTGCAACCTCTTTAAATTGTGCAATGCTCCTGTTTAACAGAGTACAAAAGGGTTGAGTGTAAGGCATCCTCAGTTACTCGAGAGTTCAGACTAGGTTGTGCCTGGAATGCATGTCTTGCGAAGCTTACTCGCTCCGAAGCCTCTAATGTGAGAGTAAAGGGAAGATGTTTAAATATGTCGACGAGAGATGTCAAACGTCAATACGAGCGAGCAATACCAAAATCTTATGAATCTGAAGATGCACAAATGACAATTGCCAAGACACTTTCTTCGGCATTATCACATTTTTTTCTAGAAAAGGTAAAAATTTTTATAAGATTCAATACTCAAGTCCTAATTAATGGACGACTGAGATTATTTCATTGGATTTATCTGAGATAGGCTTTTACTGATGAGTCTTTAGATAGTTGATTCAAAGAAAAGGTGTTATTTCTGAGATACAGCGCAGGTTGCAGAAGAGTGAGCTAACCTTGTCAGAGTCAGATATATGTTAAAAGGACCACATAATACGACGACAGACGACATGACCTGTAAAAATCAATTTTTTTCGTACACAAGGCCAAGTATGAGCTGCGAGTGTGTTTTTGGCTTCCCCCTCCTTCCTGTGCAAAAAACACCGACAGAGGTGATATAATTCCATGGACCCAGCCTTTGCGCTGCAAAAACAACAGCGAAAAGTCAATTTTGACAGAAGACTCCTCTGTGGTCGTTTTAACATTCCCCTATATATATAAGTCGTTACCTCGAAGGTTTTGCCATTTTGAATTTTCCTCCAGACTCCTGGTAAATTTGTGTATCCGACCAAAGAGATACAAAATTTTAGCTTCACTCCATGTTGAAAGTGTTTCATGAGAGGCGAGAAACACTTCCAATAATAACAGCAGCTTTCTTTTTCATAAAGCCTGATTAGGATTAACTTCTAACAGGTGTCGCCCTTTGAAATCATCAATATAGCAGTGCAAAAAACATGGGCTAAGGATACTACAACCGTGTTTGAGAAACCCTGCCGGGAACCATGTATAGTCGGACACTGTATTTACACTATGCAAAACACCTTTCCTCCACGAGTTATGTAACCCGATGATTACTTCGCGATTGGGAGAAACAGGTTACGGTGTATTCGGAATTACTGATTCCAAGGAGTAAAATTCTCTCGTTTTGGTTTCATAATCAGTAGCTGATCTTCAAAAATCTACGTCACTATAGGCATGGTGTATGTCATATAGAAATGCTTATACATCAAACAATTTGGTAAGATCTCAGTCCACCTTACAGTACTGAGCAGGTGGAAATATCGTCGATAAAGTTACCCTCCTCCATGTGTGCATGCAACCAGTTCTGTGAGTACGGTTGTTGTGTGATTTGCTTGCTTTTAAGAATATTTCACACTGACCTGGTTAGTGAGCTATCACGCAGGTTTAAACCAGCTGACATATGAACCCCATATACCTCACCCATATATCAACAGTATCTTTGGATTTGAGTTAAACTGCGTACTCCATATGGTGAGATTAGGACAACATTCAGTGACGAACTTGGAACTGACCGTCAAACGTGTCAATAAGCTCTATAATCGCAGCTGCTGTGTAATGTTCCTACCTTGTCGCTCCATACTGTGTTCAATACTCGAAGGTTGTTAAATTAGGAAGGATCGTTTCAACTCTCTGTTCGTTAATTGACTCTGTTGTTGCAAATGGTCAATCTGAAAGTTCAGCAACAAATAATGCAATCAGCTTACATACGGATCAAGATAATTCCTCTTGTAAGATAAAAACATAGGAAAGATTCCAATACTAGGTGCTAATTGGTTGAAGCCTATTCACAGGTTGAAATTAACAGTGGGCGAAGATAGATAGGACACCTTTGTTGCCAAAGCTTCTTTCAGCACCAAGTATTTCTATTGAGAGCATCGGACAAAGTTTCGGTAGGTTTTATATAGTGGATCAATCACCATATGCATCGTGATCTCGTCGTGAGTTGGTCTTTTGGTCGATTTAATCACCTGACCGATTCTTTAGGAGATAATATGAGTACTTCGGAGGTAGACGTTTGATTTGCAACTTTAGCTAATTGTAGCAAGTGAAAGGTGTTCTTTCCGTTCTCTGAAGGAGTTTTAAACTAAGTTTCAACTTCCAGTATCTCTTCCAAAAATTGAGTGTTGTATATTCCTGTCATTATCGATTTAAAATTGCACGTGAGATTAAAATTAAGGAGTTTCTTTCTGCTGAGTTCTGAACATTCAGGTTTATGTGATGATGAGAATTTCAGGCCAAAACGTTTGCAACTTTGGGCATAAGACGAAGCAAGTAAACGGTGGTCAGTAAGTTGGCTGAAACAATTGACTCCAAAGATTATGCTTTCATTAATTGTTCAGGACGATCCATCTCTTGTTATTGTCTAAAGGATACAAATGCGATCTCATTTGAATTGCTTTCACGAGCAAGACATTTCAGAGAGCGATTTTTGTATATCATCATATGATAAATCCCTTTCGTATCTAAGCCAATCATTCTTAACTGTGCAACAGCTAAGGCAGACCCACAATTTCATGATCAGGAACTGATGAGGTTGATCAATGCCTAGAAATGAATAATCTATAAATTACTTCAAGATGGACTGATAGTTGTTGCAAAAATGTTACACATATTCTGTTCGAAATAGACCTGATCAACTTCAGATTCTGTAAATTTTTCTGTTATTGTAATCTTTTCACCGGTTTCAGACTGGTTTATTTTCGATTTTACAATATGTATAGATGTACCGCTTATTGCTCCCGTATTAGTAGACTACAACCACTTTCATTGTCTTAACCCTGCCAAATAGAGTGCATCCATTTGCAGTCGTTTTCCTGGTCCCTAAAGCAGCTAACCAAGTCTTTGTCAGTACTAAACATATTTTGTACAGGCATGTACACTGCAAGCTCTTTCGAGCTGCTATGGGACTTCAAACTACAAAGCAGTGCATATTTACAGGATACGCCTCGTCACTGGGAGGTGAAGAACTGGCACATCTCAGATGGAGACGCTGTACGGAACTCCTCTGCCGGTCAAGCCGGACGTGGAAGAAGGGAAAAGGAGAGTGTATGGTACTTGAGCCTTTCCAATCCTGTTGCTTAAGCTGGGGTCGGTGTTCCTGGCGTTGATCTTCTCCTCCAAGGCCTTCATCGCTGCAGAAAACTCTGAAAATGCTGACTGAAGAAGCGGGTCGCAGGTCCAGTTACTGAAGAGACGTTGACCTTGGTATTCTTCGTCAGTGGAGTGAGTGGACAGAAGCTCGAATAATGCCATAGCGATGACAGCCCTCGTTTCGGAAATGGCAGAAGATAGCATAAATCTTTCCGGGTCGGCAATGAGCTCGAAGTATTGTACTGAATTCATTTCGGGTATCAATCTACGGGTAATGGGAGGCCTGTTGGGAGTGAAGGCAGCGTATGCGTACTGCCCGAAGTTGACTGCGGCGTGGTGAGGTCCTGCTATCCAGGATATTGTGGTCAGGATATCCACCAAGCTGCTTCTTGAGTCGGCCTTGGGCCACCATGGCGCATCTTTCAAGTCTGCATGTCCTACGTTTACAATTTCGTTCCACCAACTTTGCAACTCTACGTCCTGCTGCACTGCTTCGTCCGATGCGTACGCTAGATTCACGCTCTTGGACACCCAACTGTATACCGCTTCCCAGAAGTCGAGACCGTCCTTAGCAAAAGGGTAGTCGTCTACGACTAATTTGACCCCTCCAGGTTGCGTTGAATCCGGGACAGCCATCCCTCTGCGATGACATGAATTCATTCATCGGATGTAAGTATCCCACTAATGTCAGGCCACTTGCAGTCAAACATTAAGCCAGGAGGACTGCATTGCAACACCCACTACTATAGAAGAGATTCATGCTGCAACCCTTTACAAAAAATATTCCGTCCAAGTTTACAGCAAAGTGCTCTCCGTCCACAACAATAGTAAAAGTTTCTGCAGCATTTTTTGAGAAACATTGAGAGTTGGATTCCGGCCAATGAGAATAAGACTAAGTATCCTTTCCAGTCTTCCCAGATTGAGAGTTGGATTCCGGCCAATAAGAATAAGACTAAGTATCCTTTCCAGTCTTCCCAGATTGTGGCAATTCACATTCATGTAGCAGAATCCGAACACTGCCATAAACGACGTACAGAAGTACATTCAAAACTTGACAAAATCATTTAAAATATCGTAACTTCTTGAGAGCGTCTCTTTCTCTAACCAGCCGTAGGTAGTACGAGGTCGTACCTCGCGATGAGATCTTGTGGAAGGCCTTGTCTGTCAAACCTCCAAGAAGTACCATACAACACAGAGGTCATCTCCATGGCGTACATTCCTGGAGTAACAATGTTCTCTAGAATGCCAGTTGCATTAATGAGACTCCCACGAGCAGCTGAGTTGATGTTCATCGTGTTTTTGCAGACTGGGTAGAGGAGAGCATTGATAGGGTGCATTGCGCTTAGCTGGCGATTAGTTGCAATGACTATTGGCTCCATGACCGCATGAGTCCTCAACCTGAATCGAAGCAATCAAGGTATGGAGCTAAGTTTTTGGAACCATTTCTGCAACCGAGTATTTGTCAAGGGCGATTCTCATGCTGTTCTCTAAGAATATTAAGTATCGATTAAGTGAGAACATTTATAAATAAAAAAGCACGTAACCCATCAGCGAGCTAACACAAGAAGGAAGTTGGTATCAAGATAACATTGTTAGAATTGCCCATCTTCCAGGAGAATCAAGATATCTATAAGATGCACACATCCCTCTTTTGACGTACACATCGTCCGGAAGAAGGTGCAATATAGTTCAAACTTTAACTGTTTAAGGAGGAATCAAAGACAGAAGGACTTTGGTTACCAGTGAGAGCTGAGCTCGTGCATTCCAAAGTCGACAGACGCAGCGTGAAGCTTGGCCAATTCCCACAAGTAATCCTTCTGACCTCCCATTGCTCCTGAACCATTAGGTGCGGTGAATACCCTTCTGACGGCGGAGGTTTGTCCAGGTGGTGGAGGCAAAGAAAGTTCTATGGCAATAGGCATCATTTGCCCTTTGCTTGTGAAGAATAGAATAACACGTGGTGCGTAACACTTTCCCAAATCTAATGAATTGATCTTCTCCAAATAGACCATGTACGCATCGTGGTGATCTACAATGAAAAGTCTTTTCTTACTCAATGCCTGCATGTATCGCATTCCACCTTTGAGTTAGGTAACAAGGACATAAACAATCATGATACGAAACGCTAAGAGAGTATGTGAAAACATGTTATCCATATGAATCTGCATGCAGCACTTTTATGTCGCTCAAATTTCCAACATCTTTAAACATCGATGAGGGGGGATCCATCTTTTGGAACAATGTTGGTCAAGCTGGTTTTGGGCGAAAACACACATGATTGTATGACGAGCACAGACTTGCATGGATACTCACTTTCATGACTTCAACACAACGTTAGGATGTGATACCATATTGCTCCAGAATCTTCCAGAAGTCCATGATCTAAGCCACTAAAAATATTGATTCAATGAATGTCTAGACACTTCCTTACCTCTGGAATGGTCATGCCCTCAATATTTGGCAGGATGTGCTTCTTTTGGAGAGCACTCGCTGGTCCATACACCGCGGGGTCTAGAGAACTGGTGGGAGGAAATTCCTGAACAAAGCATTGCAAGTTGATGTCGTAAATACACTACCTGTCTCCTCGACGTCGTGCATGTATGTTTGCACGTTACCTTCCGTTTAAACCAAATCATCAAATACTGGGACGTTTGTAAACTTCAGCTAGAAGTAACAATTCTGCGAAATTGAGTATGTGGGCTCTTCACAAATTTGGTCGATGCTCATTTCAGGTCGACCATTGTACCGTTCAAGTCAGCTCAGTCTTACTGTTGAAAAGCTGAAGAAAACAATTTACACTTACGGTCATTAATTGGATCGCTAAGGGATTCATCCCAGCCAACGTTTGACGTCCGAACTCCTCGTCGAGCAACCAGGCTTTGTCGTCAGCTGCACTCAAACAGGAAAATTCAAGTCACGATTTTGTGTATCAAAATGTTGGTTCCAATTCATGGCAGTCTAGCAGCCATGTATGTTTGAATTTTCTCACAGCATTTTGATTGAATTGAATTCGTGTACGAGTTTCGAAACTTACATGCAATGATCTCTGGGGACGGGAAATGCATAATGCTCTTATCGGAGCCATCTGCATCAAAGATCGTGTCTAAGAGAATAAACGGGTTGTCAGCGGGGGTCTTGCTCTTGCTTTTAATGTCAGAGCCTGTCAGATGGCCTTTCAGGTTGATTCCAATGTTATATATGGACTTAATCTCGTCGAAAGAACCGAATTCGTTGGGAGTGGTGTCGAAATAACTTGTCATGGCAGGCACAATGAAATGTGCTATGCTCTTGATAGCGCTCGCCAAAAAGCCCGAATTTTTCACTCTCGTGAACCTCTCATCGCGGGGAAGGTAAATAGCTGAAACCCCGGCTTCTGAGAGTGTGGCTTCCGAGTTGGGATCTGCACAAAATGGGCATAATAAGCATAAAACTAGTCCGAGAGACCTCTGGAACCTTGTCGAAAAAAATCAGAGTTGTAAGGATTCATCGATGCCTGTCTTCTAAGCTGTGATGTTGGAGCTACTGAAATGAAACTCTCGATTCGGCATACTCACCATACGTTGCTTTTGGTCTACCGGTTCGGCATCGACGAGGGTAAGGGAACTGCGTTGAGCCCCCCAAAACTGGTCGACGTGCAGATTCAAGCTGCAAGTCATTGTACACGTCGTAGTCATATATGCGTTCTCCTTCTTTTCTCATTCCAGTACCATCTCCTTGCAACTCTTGCAGCTCCCGACTTCTCAGCGCTTTCAAGCCTGCTGGCGTGGCATCCGGCAGGTACATCTGTCACAAGAAACCGCATGTTAACCATAACTTCTTATGCGTCATCTCTTCTCTTATCTCAACGAGATGAAAGTATGGATCCAGTAAAATATATCTGAAACGCTTGTCATAATTGATCACAGAAAGTACATTGAGCCTGAACTCAAACAAGCAGAGTCGGTCACAATCAAAGTAAGCTGTTTATGACTTTGAAGATAATAACATTCATGAAACAACAGTGGATTTGACTTTTACATTGTTATATTGGGACACGGTAAGGGAACGCATTTTTGTCCGTTCGAACACTTTTTGTGCTCCACCGCGAACACAGATCAGATGAAAAAATTATGTTTTTGCTCTACTCGCTTCTTCCTTTAATTACGCAAAGAGAACCCAATTAAGTGGACTCGAATCAATTTTCAAATAAATTTGACCCTGAAAGATGAGTAGTTTGTTTACCTTGTTGCTGAAGAAGACACGATCATTCTTGTAGTATGATGTGTTGTAAACCCAGGAGTTGCAAGGGAACTCAATAGTGCTCTTGTCAGGATTTTCTAGAGTCAAACTAAGAAGATAAAACTCGTTTCTGTGATTGTTTCTAATAAAGAAGGCGCCGATCTCCCCAAAGTCGTGCGGAACCCTGAAAGTAACCACGTACATATAGTTGTCCACAGCAAATACTGAATCACCAGGCTTGATGTCATCTGTCAGCGCCCAGTGTCTGATGTGATATTTTGTACTGACTTTTGGAGCATTTGTCTCTGTTGAAGTTGCCACAAAGCACGTTATTTGTCAACAAAGGGCTGCGATGGGCTCAAAAGCATTCACTCCACTCATTTTCTGTCGACTTTGCGACCTGGCACATAGTTTCTGACGTCACTGACAACTCTAGCGCACCGAGATTAGTTTTCTAAGACTAAATTGATTGGCGGTAATGCCCGCTGTCTTGGAACCCGAAAGGAGAACCTCGGGTAGAAGGCAGTTTGAATTGAAGAGAGACCGAAGGGAAGGCCTTTTGTGAATGCAGCTGCAAGGTCATTCACCTATACGTCACAGGAGACGGCCGTATAACAACTGGGATTGGGTTCGTGTCTGATTAATGAGAATACTCGACTGTCCGATAGTAAGAGTATAATAAAAAACCTGATTAATTCCACAAGTATTATGCTGCTAACAGTTGTTAAATACCGAGCTTGATAGGAAGCTCATGGAGGAAGGCCAGGAGGTGAAATGACTATGGCAGAAAACGACAAAGACTATGGAATATTTAGTCAATTTTGTGGCCTAGAATCCTTTGGTGGAATAAGCTGCTAGCAAGTGATGGCAATTTCAGTGCGAGCAGGATCAAGGAAAAGTTGAAGTCAAGTCAGCTCATGTTGTGATACATACAGGAAAGATAAATCCGTTGGATAATCTCAATCGTCGAAGCTTAGATAGGTGAAATGGCAGCAAATGATGAGACTTGGGATGTGATGATTGAGACTAAATTAGTCAGTGTCGAGTGAGATCCTGATCAAGTGTCTACCGAACATCTACGTAGGTATTTGAAGGGAGAAAAAGTCATAAAAAAAGAAGGAGTTTAGTATTGTACTCACGGGGATCGAGGTCCACACTGACGAGCTGAAATGTCACCTTCCTACCCATAAGATCCAGCGCATTGTCTACGAAATTAGAGCTCAAGTCTGCGAAGTCGATCAAGTATTTTTTCGACAACAGGACCGTTCCCTTGATCACTACATCACCTCCGAGTAGCTCCTCTGGTGTTTCTACATCTTGTGCCTCAAAGCATCGAATGCATTTTCCGATACTTTCTCCAATGCTTGCAGAGCTCTGTCCACTCGACATTTTTCGACCTTTCGACTGTCTTGCCTCAACCAACTGCTGACGATGATCACCCGAATTCTCGTGCAAGTTCAAGTCCTCGGTCCCTTCAACGCTCTAATTCTGCAAGCTTCCTCCGGCCATTCCTGTCCTGGCTACGGACTTGACGTTTATCGTAATAATGCCCACGTACCAAAGGTGGTGACGATCCACAAGCTGCAGATGCAGTGATAGGAGGTGATCTTCTCAGTACAAGGAGCGCACCTTTTGTAGTGAATCTGAACTTCAGACTCTGCTTTCTGCTGATGGGTGCAGCTGATCACGTGTTTCTGCTGTATCCTAAGGTCATGGTTACTCAAGTCCTTAGATCACGACGGAAAACCAGTTACTGAAGAATGAAGTCCAGATAGAGGGCCACAGCGCTGACTTCATCGCCATTTCTGGATCAGACGGGCAGCTCAAGCATCAATTTACTAATGCAGGACACGGATGCTCCAGGACTTAGTCCACCTCTGGCAACTGCAAGCAACGTACGTGCTACTTCAGCCCGAAGACACTTGATCGAACATGTTGGGTTTGTCACCTGAGCGGAGTGATAGTTAGTCGGAGTACTACCAACCTTCAGAGTGGTGATGTACATCTGATTCACTGATCGTGAATTCGAACAAGAAAGAATGAGAAAGGTTTGGAAAATTCACGCTTTTCATCCATTTTCCGTAGTATTCAAATGATCGACAAAGGCTTACTTCGTTGCATCTATACTCAGTATGGCTTTGTGGGCGACATCTATCTTGCACTACACTAGCAATATAAAGATTTGTGTCTTAATGGGGCCCACATGCGCACTTGCCTTCTGCAGATATCCTTCAGCCTGCAGTGTGATTCAAGCTCAAGGTTGGAACTTCAGTTCATCATCACGGTCTCAGCTACTATACTTTGAACACTGAGGTGAATTCCAATGGTTACGGTGTTGCCGGAAGTCGTTTCAGGTATATCAACCATGTTATAAATAATACGGAACTAGGTATAGCTGATCATGAAGCTGCATGACCAAAATTCACAACATGGGCCAGGATTCTCAGTAGAGTCACAATCTTTGTCTCACTTTTGGATTCTAGTGAAAGTCAACAGACCTTAAGAAAGCTCTATCTCGTTACTATAAGCCTCCAACTTGGGCCAGGTTTGAATGAACTTATTTCATGAACTGGACTGGCTGAATATAAGGGGTTGATATTCATACGTAATTTATTGTCTGTCTTCTCTAAGCTTATGTAAGTGCTGTCAAGATATGCGGAATCCCTTTTATTGTTCTTTACAGGAATGGAGGGAAATCGCGGTTTCAATGTGAGCATAAGAATTATCGTAATATATAACACAACATATTATAACAACAGGTTATGACAATATGGAAGTTCTCACAGCATCAGCACCATTCCTGAGTTGTCTTCGGAACATGCATGTCATGCATGTAGCTTCGAAGCTACATGCATGACATGCCTGGACGAAGGGTTTCCTGTCCATGGACTCTTCATCCAGTCCCTGTGTGACCTGTACACACGCATGGTCGCCGACCATACAGCTTCAGATGTGGCACAGTCCAGGAATCTCAACCTTTGAGGGCAAAACGAATAGCTTGTGAGTTCCAAACGAAAGTCGGAAATCAAGCAAATCAAAGTCCGGCTACTATTCGTGGTTTGTAATAGATCAAGGGCATGACTTTGTTCGGTGTGTCTGATGAGCATCAGGAGCAATCGTTAAGCTGCAGCAATGGAGCTTTCTAAGGTTCAATTAATGCACCAGACCCTCCATTATTTCCAGCTTCGATCTGTTAGATCTGGAGAGAACTATTTTACCAACTGTTGCCTGGAGTCCTGGATTCTCAAGGCGCTGGCGGCGAGCTCAGTCCTCTTTTTTTTTATCATTGCAAGGATTTGTCTGCGATGTACCGAGAGGTGGCAAATGCATAATTCACGGTGCTGACTGACAATGCACATGATCTCAATCATCGACCGGCGACACTCACTGAGACTAATTCCACAGGGATCGCCAAACGCTGGATGCTGGATTCGTCTACGGTAACCATGAATCTCCATCTCCTCCACCACAGTCAAGTCAACGATAACCTTTTGCAACAAGTCAGCGTCCAACTGCTGCGATGCGGGATTCTAACCCTTCTATGCTCAATGTGAAGACGGCTCCGTGTGTAAGAATTGTGGTACATGCAGTAAACTGATGTTGTGCTCTCGAGTGACTCGTCTAATCTCCAGTGAGGGACTTGACCTCCACTCCAGAACTGCTTCTATATTTGAAACTCGTCTTAGTTTCGTTTTTCGTTCATTGCAGTTCCTTCCGTCCATCTAGTATGAAGATTAATAGTAGAATAAACTGCAAGACATTAGAGATCAAATTTTCGTTTAGTTAAATTCCATGAATCATCGGCGATAAGTCATGACGGTATATGAATAATTTTGAATGCAGATATAAGTTATTCAAATTTATTATCAAGCTCTCGCTAAAGTCAAATTTTCCCGTATCATATATGTCATTTTAGTGAATTTTAAGCTGTTGTGACCATTTAAATTTTAAGTAAATGATTGAGATTTTATCTAGTTTATTTGGTGTATAATTTATTCAAGCAAGCTTTTGTTGTCGAGAGAAGAATTCCCGGCCTTTCATGTCACTTAAAATAAAAACCTTCCAAGTTTTAATGAAATGATTTAGAGGTTGTAGGGGATAATTTACGTAGTTTTCATCTTCATGACAATATTTTATATACTGTTCTGTAGTGAGTACTTCTTTGTAATAGAAGTTGAGCTGATTTTGATTTTTGAATTTAAATATATGTCAACATTCACTCATGTACAAGTTTCATGCATGCTTATTCATTCTCCGTTACTCGATTGAATGATCCAGTTCAATAAGGCTCAATATTATGTAATTTAGGTTCACTTAGCCCGAATTCTCGTTAACCACCCTAAATCTTCATTCGTACATGTACGGAAAATGTTTATCCAATCCGATCCATAAGGCATTCTGTGATTATAACATGTTGTAGGTAACAACTAACATATATTTTAAGATAATAATCATGTATGCCATGTAAGAATCTCTTGCATGATGCATCCAGTGCTGAGAGACCACTAAGAATAACTTTTAGCACCCACGGTGTTTTCTGTCTTGTACTTGGGACCAAGTTACTAAATACACGTAAGTTGTGCATGAAGATGAATCTAATTCATGTAGAGATGTGAAAGTTGAAGTTGGATAAGTAGGAAAAGTGAAATTGAAACCATCATCGGACTACCTGTAGGCATCGTTGTCTAAGATATTGGAAATCAGTCGAAAGACAGAGCTGCAATATTCAAGTAGAAGAAACATATATCGTAGAAATATCTATCTTTCTATTTTATGGAAGATAGATTTGGAGGTTTGACTTAATTGGTTGTTCGACATGTCCACCGCTTTCAGTTCAGAGCATCTCGCCTATGTCGTCAACTTGTCATTGACTGGAGTTAAATTCAGCATTTTTCATTAACTTGTTGATTCCTTTATTTTGTCCTTTTCATCCATTCGTGAACCATAATTCTAAAGTTGTAATCTATAGGATCGTAGAATGGTCTAATTTTAAATTATTCGCTCCAAATCATTAAACATCGGCAGAGTATCCGACTGAGGGAAGGTCAAATTGTCTGAAGAGGATTAACCTGCTATAGATTGAAGACAATTAAATGATCAGGTCGTAGTATAGAGATCCTTATTGTATGTATCCTATACTAATATGATTTAAGTGATTTGGTTACTGAGGAAAAAATCGATTCCTTGCTGCAGAGTATGCAATACAACCAACGATACCGATATATCTACATCATTGTCTTTCTTTTGACTACATTTTGTACAGCAATAGTTGATGTGCAAATAAAATTTCAATGTTATGGTGTACTGTTTATACAAGTTGAAGACAGCATGTAGTTTAACAAAATATATTGCGTTGATGAAGTTTACACTTGCAAATACGTTTATTGTTCTAGGTTAGGCGGGTAAAGATTGATATATTACATTATTAGATATAAAGCATGTTATTTCATCATTTATCTCTTCAATGTAGATATGAATTTACTAGAATACATGCATGTGCTATGGAATGTATTTTTATCGGAATTCAAGACTTGCCAGGATGTGCATAACGCAGCTCGCTATGGGTTATTTTACTTTTGATTTGATATGTATTTTGTGCATACTATTTTCAGTATGTTTGGTTTACAACGTTGATAATTCAAAACCCGTCCTCAAACTAGTCAGTAGGTAATTTACAGCGAAGATTTCCAAGATATAGCGTTTGCAGTTTAGTCAGTATATTACATCATATTTCCTCATTTATCTTCTTCTGGTGGTAAGAAAATACGGCATGCAGGTTTACTCTCAAATAACTCGAGTCTGGGACAAATTTTCGGTGCTATTTTTCTTTTTCAACGATTCGCACTGTTCTTTTTTCTACTATCTATCGTGGAGAAGGTTGTAAATTTTTTTCCTCATAGTTGTACGACGATTTTCTTCTTAATTCATCTTCGTTATATTTATCCTTTTCTCCCTTCGATTCAGTACAATCGTTGTTTTTGATTGTGGAATTAATTCATGCTATATTTTAAAACATGATTATTTTCTTTATCGATATTTCATTTACATGTACAATAATTGTAGATTAAGCATATATATTGTTTTTGTTCTTTGACTTAACTATCCATCGTCAGATTACTCTATCGTTAGATTACTTCATTTGAAAACATTGATCGTAAGACTACTTTATTCGATTCATTGAAAAGTTTTCCCTGACAAAGTCGTCTATTATACCTTGTTAGAATGCTTCATTAAAAAAGATTAGATCGTTAGGTTACTTTATTGGATTAATTAGAGAAGTTTCACTGATAACTTGTCTATTCTGCCTCAGTTCACACTTCCTTCCTCACTCGACTCTTTACACGACGATAAGATTTTTTATCACATCAGATTCGTGATCACTTGCGGGATAATCACGTTCTACTCAATTCAGCTTCTATAAGTTTCTATAGGACAATACATTTAAATATCAACCATGGAAGCATGTAAGAATCGAACGACATTCAGACACTTTGCACGAGATATAGCGAGATAGCAATCCACGTGACTAAAACATAGCTATACGCGCACTTAGTCTGTAGGAGAAGCAAGAGCAGGCCGATTGCCCCATTTCATTCAACTCTGGAGCAAGCGACAAGTGGAATGTTGGTTGTCGTCAAGTCCAAGGACCACATACATCCTCGAAGGAGAGATGAGAGACAGATAGCAAAACCTCTCATACATCAAGACACCGACGTTGACACCGACACCGTGATGGTTGAATAATTTTCAAAGAATATTTATAACCAAAACCGCAAGGGATCCTTTTGCAGCCCTCTTCACTTCACATAATTCGTTTAGGAAAAAAAAGATTCCTCTAATTTCTGCATCACACAAACATCAAATGTCAGATTCCTTTGCAGTGCATCCATGAAATCAGATTTCTTTAGAGAGCAACAGCAATATTAAATTTACTAATGAGCTGTTTGTGAGATGTAGAAGATATGAATGTATGCGTTAGATTGCAGGTAACTTACAAATCTTGTTGAATGCAACGATGTCGCAACTCTGGATGAATTCGTTACAGGGCTCGGCGGTCAAGTAGTCCTCGATCAGGTTGTCCGGGGAGACAAGATCATCTTCGATGGTCATCATGATCTGCAACTTCTTGATACCGTAACCAACGGGCACCAGTTTCGCTGCAAAACCAGAGGCGAGGCGTCAGTGCCACGACATTCCCCACATTTTGCTACTACAGGCAACGAGTACTGACGAGAAACGAATTCCACCACGTGAGGACAATGAGAGGCGAGTATTTCGGGGCAGAAATTGACAGCATGCACGGAGTAGTGACGAGAACGAAGAATGGAAATTGCGTAAGATACTCACAAGCTCCCCAGAAAAGACCCTCCGCAGTTACGCTTCGGACGGCCTCCTCAAGCTTCTTCATGTCGGTCTCGTCGTCCCAGGGCTTGACATCTAGAAGCACCGAAGACTTTCCGCCTGCCATGCGCAATCGAGGCCGAAAATCGTTAGGAGGCCGAGTATGCAGAAATCGCAGGTGAGGAGAAACGGAGAGAGGTGAGATAAAGACAAAGCATGAAGGAGCGAATTCCTGGAGTACTTACTCTCCTTCTTCTTGCCCGAGGCCTTCTTGGCGGCCTCCCTCTCAGCTGCGGCGGCGGCCTCTTCCTCCGTCTCCTCGCCGAAAAGGTCGACGTCGTCGTCATCGTCGTCTTCCTCGGCAGCGGGGGCCTCGGCAGAGTCGTCAGCGGCGGTCTCGGGGGTGGGAGGAGCAGCGGCGGGCGCAGCAACTTCCCTCGTGGTGGCGGTGGCGGCAGCCGATCCAGCGATCTTCACTCCGGCGGCAGCTCCTGGGAAGCTGGATTGAACCAACACATCACACCGGCTCGGGTCAGATTCAGGCCTCGGAAGAAAACTCCACCACGAGAATCCCAGTGCTTGGAATCGCTCAGAGATTATCCAAAATCTCAAGGTGGTCCAAAAGTTTCCGCCAGCTGAGGGAAGACATTGTCTGCCCTAGCCGTAGACAGAAGCTGCCATGGCTGGTGGCTGATGCATTCCAAGACTCAATCGGAAGAGATCAAAATCCCTAGGGCTACATTCATCGCAAGAGAAAATGGGTACAGAGACGAGACGGGCTCACGAAAGGGCCCAAAAGAGCTCAGATTTCGGACAGAGGAGCGGAAGGAAAAGTACCTTGATCCCAGAAGAGCCGAGATGTGGTCGTACCATCTGGCCAGGTTCACGAACTTGGCGCTGGGAGTCTTGCTGATGGCCAAGTACACGGACAAATCATCTCTCGAGGCCTGGTACCTGATTCCAGACGACACGAACAATCAATCAATCCATCAGCACAAGCATCGGGACATTTGCACCAAGTTCACACACCTGAGCGGCAGCACGTAGAACCTGATTCCCGACGACCTACCCTGAGATGTAGCTGCGCGAGAGCAGGTAGTCGTCGAGCTGCTTGAGGCCAGGCTCGCCAGACAGATCCTCGAGCTGGAGGGCCATGGCTGCAATCGCAGCAGCAGAAACCGATGAGCGAGCTGCGTGCGGCGATGGAGAAGAAGGTCGAAGAAGAGTTTAGGTCTGGTGCGCGTGCGTGCAAAGTTCTCCGACGTCGAGACGAACGAGGAGGAAGTCGCACAGGCCAAGAGAGGGAGAGACGACCGCTAGTTACACTCTTAAGGACTCTAAAGCTTCACTTGCTGCGCCAACAACAGGCAACCTGCTGCCTTCGAGCTCGCCCGCGGGGAAGAAGGGCCGGAACGGGCTGGGCTGGGCTGGGCTGGCCTGCGAACGTACACTCTAGGGCTTCCAGTCCGGCCCCGTCTTTTCCTTCCCCCACCATCCGCTCCCCGCATCGTGGCCCTCTCCGATGCGAATATTCTCTAACCCCGGACCGACGGCCCGCGACGCCTCCGCGCCGCCCTCGTCTCATCCCGTCCGTCCATCTTAACCGCTCCGCTCTCCTCGGGTTGGGTTCACCCGACCCGGGGTTTAGGGTTTTCTTGGTTTTCTTGGTTTAATTCGTACTTTTGATGGCATCATTTTCGGGGGTTTTATTCCATTTTCTGCTCGATCGGGTCGTGAGAAATCGGAGGCAGCGCTTTTGACATTTATCGTTCGTGTTCGTGTTCGTCGGTCGGGGATATGGAGGGAATCGAGGGACGAGAGTTGTGGGTTTTGTAGCTTGCAGGGAAACTGTGTGTTTTCGTGGACAAGTGGACGGGGGGTTTTGAGATGCTTGTGGCAGGGTCTGGTGTTGGTTTGATGGAGGAGTCGTCGACGGGGTTCAGGGGAGTGATCGGGGACTGGAGCAGCAGGTTCTGAGCCCGGCGGGGGTCGAGAGGTTTAAGAATTGTGGGGCATCATGGGGTTCGAGGCGAGCGTCGAGGGCGGGGAGATGGAGGGTGGGCTGGGCAGCGTGCAGGTGGAGAGTGCGTTCATTGGCCTCGGGTGCAATAGGGTCGTGGGGGCAGTGGACTGGGGTCCTTGCGATTTGGTCGCCTTTGGTGCGCACAATTCTGTGGCAATTTTTTCTCCTAAAGTAAGTGGTTTTGATTTCTCTCCTGTCATCTCTAATCGCCCTTCTGCCGAGTGCTTATTAGAATCGAGTGCTTCTGTTGAGCCGGACCTGAAGAACGAAACTCACTCAGGCAGTGTTGTGACTTTTGGAAATTAAAATAACGGACTTTTGACTGTAATTTCGAACTTGCAGCGAGCTGAAATTCTGATCACCCTTCCGGGCCACAAAGATTATGTGAATTGTGTTCTGTGGCTCCCGACAAGTGCACAAATTGATGCAGGTGCGCATCGTCACTCCCCGTTCTGCAATATACTTGTTAGTGCACGCCTCAATTGCGAGCTTTTGTATTAGCGTGAGGTGGAATTTATCGTATGTCTGACGTCCTCTGGGTTCCGTGTTGATGGTGGCCAGCGCAGGCAGATCATCATGTGAAGAGCTTTTTTTGCTCTCTGGAAGTGCAGATGGAACTCTCATCTTGTGGGGATTCCAGGCCGTCGAGAACAAGGTGGGAGACAGTGCTCAGTTTTTCGAGTTCTCTGTCATGAAGTTTGTCAGGCAGAAAAAAAAACACGAAATGGAGTTTGTTTCAGTTGTTGAAACGATGGCATCTTTGTTTCATATGCATATTCGATATTCTAAAGTATCCGAAATAATGAAAATGTTTGATTTGGCGATGATGTGGATTCCCAATTTCTTATGTGCGCTTCCCCGAGACGTTAGTTGTTTCAGAACTCCTTTAGAGTCAACACGTTGCATTCATTTACACCTCAAATGTGCTGACCATGATGGTCGCCTCCTGTTTGCAGTGGCGAAAAGCAGTGGAAATTCCGAAAGCGCATGGCAAGGCAGTCACAAGTATCGCAACCGTGATCCTGTCACCGTCATCGGCTTTAATGTCAACCAGCTCCTCTGACTCTTCTGTCCGGATATGGAACGTTGGCCTTCCCCAGGGATCAAGTCGTAAGTTACCATTCATTTTAGAATTTCCGACCTGAGGAGAAATAAAGTCTTTCACGGAAATTGTTGGTTGCCGCCTAATGTGCGGAATGTGGGGGTATTTAGCAAGTACGTTTTGATCATCAAGGCGAAGCAGTGACAAGGAGAAATGGGAGAATGGAAAGTGAGGAGTGAAGTGCTTGGAATCACTTCTCGGATACTTCGATTGTCTGCTGTTCTTCCCGAGTTGGCTCTCATGGCAGAGATTTTGAACATAGCTGTTTTTGCATGTGCTGTGCTGGGTAGTAATTCGTGTTGGTGGATATCAGGTGACTGTCAAATCTCCCCTCTACAATTAATCTCTGTGGGCTCGAAAACCATGGTAGCGACCTCTCTAACTGCGCTCCCGGACAGCCAGGACGCTTTCCTTCTAGCCATGGGAGGTCTTGACAACCAGGTCCATTTTTACGCTGGTACATCGAAGGGACAGGTAAGAAACTGCGTGCTTCACATCGTGGTATTACTTGAGAATGAACTTTCTTACTTCATTGCACTCCTTGCCACTGCTTTTACCGACATGCATACCAGTCTGTAAACATGCTCACTTTCAGTATTGGCATCATTCACACAGACATTCAATTGAGAGACTACTGTTTGTGAAAAGGACCAAAGAAAGACCGTGATGTCGGATTAGCAAACACGGTTCCCGCACTTTTGTAAGTGAAGGACGGAGGATGTCTACATATCAGAGGTACTCAAGTGGCAGGCCTAGCTCATGCTCAAAGTTCTGAAATGAAGTGACGCTGTTCTGCAGTTTATCCTCGTATGCAAGGTGAAGGCCCACCTTGACTGGGTTCGCTCACTCGACTTCAGGGTTCCTGCCCGGGGTTCTTCCAAAGCCGTGGTGTACCTGGCCAGCTCTTCACAGGACAAGACGATAAAGATATGGAAAATTGCTCGGCGTGAGAGTGATGTCGCCGACTCGAGTAGTGGGGCAACATCTCTGAAACTAGAGTTGAGTCTGAGGACATTCATTGATGGACCTATTTTTAAGGTCCGAGACGTCGTTTGGCAGGTTTCACTAGAGTCTTTACTGCTCGGTCATGAAGATTGGGTTTACTCAGTCAGGTGGCAGCCTCCTATTGCGGGACATCTGGGCATAGACAGTGGTACTGTGAGTAGTGAAGAACAGGTTGCTGAGGAGGCGATGTGCGTTTTGTCAGCATCAATGGACAGAACGATGATGATCTGGAAACCAAGCACTGAATCAGGAATATGGATGAATGAGGTCACGGTGGGGGAACTCAGTCATTCAGCCCTTGGGTTTTACGGAGGAGTTTGGGGACCTCTGGGTGATGCCATTCTTGCTCATGGCTACGGTGGTTCTCTCCACTTTTGGAAAGAGGTGGAAACTCAGGAATGGGAGCCACAGTTGGCTCCATCAGGACATTTTGCACCCGTTGTGGATCTGGCGTGGTCGAAGACCAGCCAATTTTTACTCTCTGTTAGTAATGACCAGGTATACAACTCAATCTGGAGAGAGTTCTGTCCTACGAATTGCTATATCAGCATAAGATGAATCCTGATCGCTCATCAAACACTTGTTGAAATACATCTTCGGCATTCAAAGAATTTTCTGGTTTGTCTGAATCTTTTGATCATCCACCAGAGACGCGCAGTGGACCCACTTGACTTCCTGTTGTTTCGCTTGTTGTAGACAGCTAGAGTGTTCGCGTGTTGGAAACAAACATCAAAAGAGAGAGAGAAGGACAGCTTGTCGTGGCACGAAATTGGAAGACCTCAAGTGCATGGTCATGACTTGAATTGTCTGGCCATCGTGACGGGAACAGGAAACCATCGCTATGTCTCTGGAGCTGATGAGAAGGTTGCGAGGGTTTTCGAGGCACCAGGAGCGTTCCTGGATACGCTGGCTTTCACGGTAGGGGGCAAAGTGACATCGGAAGACGGACTTATCCGGGAAGATGTGAAAATCTTGGGAGCCAATATGTCTGCTCTAGGGCTCTCGCAAAAACCGATCTATTCTCAAGGTGCGCCTTTCTTGGAGCTTTCATGGTGTCCTAAACTGTACATCTGTGAAGAATATATGGTCGTTGCCACTGATGGTTGTGTTGAACGTTTTCGTCTATTCTAGTGATAATAAGGACTGCGATATCCATGTAGGTAAGGGGAATGAAGCAGCAGCTTTGAATGATTCTGATGAGGCTGGTTTAAATACTATGGATGCCCTTCCTGAGGCCGTACCATCAGCTTTGACAAAGCCTCCGTTCGAGGAACATCTGTCTCAAAATACTCTGTGGCCCGAGACCCACAAGCTCTATGGCCATGGAAATGAGCTTTTTGCGATGTGCTGTGACCATTCTGGGAAACTGCTGGCTACTGCTTGCAAGGTAAACCCGTTCGTAGTTTGGAAGTATGTTCTGCGATAATATAAACTTGTAATTGTGCTAGTGGATAAGGTGTAGTTCTCTTGAATTCCTGGGTTTCTCCCTGCCTATTTGTTCTTTCGTCGACTGAGGTGATCAACATTGAGTAGGACCTGCCGTGAAAAGATTTTGATAGCTTCTGGTTAGGAAGCAGTCTGAGCATGTTCTTCGAGCGTTGTAAACCTAAGTCTGATTTCGTGTGTACCTGCTTCAACCAGGCGCTATCAGCCAATTTTGCTCAGATATGGTTGTGGCAAGTTAACTCTTGGAGACCCATCGATCAACTGAAGTCACATGTCCTAACGGTGACACAAATGGAGTTCTCGCACAGCGATAGATTTTTGCTGTCTGTTTCAAGAGATCGGCATCTTTCTGTGTTCGAGAGAGTATGTACAGGTGTGTAAATTTTCCAATGCTGCCAATGAAATTGCTGATGAGTCAATTTTAGTGACTGAAGTGATTGTGTACCACTAGAAAATTTTCTATACACGTTAAACGAGATTATATTTTATCCACATAGTATGTTTTGAAGGAATAACCACAACACTGTACGTACCTTATTGACAGATGTCGTAACATAGAGCTTGAAAATTCTAAAATTTTACAATCCAATTTCCGGAAGTTTGGAAACCTGCAAAGTATTTCAAATTGCAATAGAAAGAAAATGTTGAGATCAGTCACCGCTTGCTAAGGTCTATAGCTGCATAAAAGACACAAGTACATTCTTCATGAAAGTATTATCACCTCCTTGCTTTATTTTTCATCAGAACGAGTCGAAGTTGTAGTACCGGTATTGCCGTTCCAATTATACAGTCACGGATGATGTCATTCCTAGTCGAGTTGTTTACAGTTCGAAGCCATTCACTTATCCTAGGTTTTCTATTTTATCTTACTCAATCGAGTGCGTTTGTCACAGATGATAATGAATATACTTCGTCCCCGTATAAGCTGGTCACGCGGATTGATGGTCACAAGAGGATCATTTGGGCCTGCTCTTGGAGCCATTGTGACAGTTTTTTTGCTACAGGATCACGAGACAAAATTGTAAAAATATGGTCAGTTCAAGACACCGAGACAGGGGTGCAAGTTCAAAATATCATAACCCTTCCCCCTTTCAAGAGTAGTGTCACTGCGTTGGCATGGGGTCCCAAATTACCACAACAAAAGGCTTATCTTCTTGCTGTTGGAATGGAAGATGGGTCTGTGGAACTTTGGCAAGGTTCCCTGAGACAAGCATCAGAGAGTGATTTCAACATTGTGGCTGGTGATGGAACTACATCATTGTGGAAACTCGAGATGTCGATCTTAGAAAAGTTTGATAAGTTTTTGTGTCATGTTGCCACAGTACACCGGTTAACATGGAGGGCCCATCTTTCAGGGCATGAAAGAAGCACGTCACCTGAAATTAAGTCAACCCTTGGGGATTCCAGTAGATCTGAACAGCGTGTAGACGAGGTCCTACAGCTGGCGTCCTGTGGAGCCGACCATTCAATTCGGTTGTACAATGTAATCTTAGGTTAAACGTTTTTGCAAAGAGTTTTGACAGATCAATGTGAAAGTAAATTCAGTGTGAATATTTCCACATATTATCTCTCCCTTACTGAAGAGATGTACCATGGTGGAATTGGGAGCGATTTGAGATCTCGCGCACATGTGCAAAGCCAACCGTCTTTGAGCCCTTGGGATGTAAATTGCAGCAAAGAATCGAAATGATCAAGACCTGATTTATGGCACGTGTTGGGGAACTGGTAAGTAGAGATGTCCCTCAATCCTAAGCAGTTTCACGACTTGTTGAATAAACGTGATCTCCCGCAGAGCAACATATAGTGAAACACATGGATATTAGTTGAAGGTAGTGGAAGTGCAATTTGACGAAACTAGACAAAATGATGAAAACTCAGACTCCAGATTTACGTTACAGTCAAACTAAGCTGAAAGAGTTCTTTACGTATTTCAATGCAATCGAAACTGAAATGTTCCACGATAAGAATTACATGTTCTTTCTGTTGGAAGAAAAGAGAATTATTATTCTGGCGAAGTCCCTCCCTCTGAGTATCAATTGATACATGGTACACAGGATCTCAGTGTCACGCTTTCGGGGAGTGGCCAAGTTTGGAAGAAAGCTCTCAATTGCCTGGCATTAGTTCAAACTGAAGTCTTGACGTCCAAAGCTGGTGGACTCAATTTGTTCCTTGCGCACGAGTAAATGTGTGGGAAGACATTTGCAATGACCGGAGTTGGTAACACGAATATCAGGATGTGAATGAAGTTTGACCCCAAAACATAACCATGCTTGCGCTATCCTCAAAGTCTGCGATGAACAAGGACTAGAAAACGTGTGAAAGGACTTCGGGTTTGACGTAACCATATCTCCCACCTGTCGAAAGTGCTTTCAGCCAGCTCAGGTACATCACAGCACATCTCTCCCAACTCTTCCCCTGTCTATTATGTGTTCAAGTTTTTGCATGGAGTACTAGGTTTCCTGTAGACGAGATTACACCAGTAGTATATTTTACTAATCGGCGTTCTCACAATGTTTGTTCTCTATACCCTGTTTAGAAAGTTGTACAGCTTTGGAACGCTTTGGATTGAAAGGTAATGTATCGCATGTTGGTGAAATTTTTACTTGAAGATATTTATGTCATTAAGATTGGGAATACTCTCCAGCATTGTTGAACAAGTGTGTGAAAGAGGATTCCGGGACCAAGCGATTTTTGTAACTGTGGCTGTAGCCTGTTGGTTGTAGCTGTTACTCGAGCTCGAACAGGAAACCGCAGAATGAGGTAGAACTTGCATGGTGGATTTCCGAAGGACGTAGTGAGGGCGAGTGTGTCGGTCTCACACCAAGCGAGCAATCGAGCAAGCAGCGACTCGCTCCCGTCTGTCTTTGATATGTCTTGTCTCTGCAGATGTGAGTTCGAATTTATTCAAATCTACATGCGCACCTTCTTCAGGTGGTTGGTTTGGGCTAGGAGCAGCAAGTTTGAAGCAGAGGAGAAGAAGTCTACCATTAGTTTTAGAGAGAGTGTGAAGAAAAGGTTTGTAAAAGGAAATCTCCTCTTGAAAGTAATAGAGGATGAGTGTTTATCAAGAGAACAATCTCAAAGTAAGATTTTATTAGCAGATAAAATTGTAGAATTGCATTGATTTTTAGAAACTTGATAATGTAACAATAATATTTACTAGATATTTTTATCATTGTAACTTTTCATATTTGAAATATAGATATAAGATTTTGCACTTGAATTTGAGACCTCAGAATCAGATAAGTAGTCCTTCCACGAGTTTTTCAATCTAATATCTGATCGAGTTAGAAATTACCAGATCTGGAAACCAAGGACTCTGCATATCAATGGAAACCTTGATATCTGCAGAGTCGTTTTATTGCGTATAAGATGTTTGTGCCGTCAGTAGAAACCAACTTCTCAAAAATCTTGTGTCATCTATCCGTGTAATTTTCCCAAGATTTTAATGTCAATGGAAAAAAGTTCACGCTTGGAAGCATAGAATTTCATTTGTGCAATGGGGACTTGGCCATTATTTGTTGTTTTGTTAGTAGGTCATGATAAAATTCTAGTCGTTTTTGTAGTAATAACCTCAACCTTTTTCCCCCTAAATTTCTCTCTATCCATTGCAAGTGTGTTATCACAGTTGTATTTATATCTATTTACAGATATATCAGATATCCATAAATTTGTTTATAATTTCTGATTATTAACTGTAGAAAAGAAAATCTCTTTTCGAAGGAAATTTTACCAGCGAAAATCTGTTGTTATATATCATTTAATAGATTTATTTACTGGTTGATACTACATTTATAAGCCAACATAAATAATTGAATGTGTTTGGAAATTATCATGTATTTCACATGACTTAAAGTCAGGGCGGAGCTAAAGGGGGGCAGGGGGGTCTACAGATTGTGAGCTAAAGATTGAAAACACGGTGGGGAAAAAATTTTCGCCTGCGGCACTACAGGAGCCCCTTCCTTCAACAGAAAAATCCTGGCTCCGCCCCTGCTTAAAGTATGGATTCATAATTTTTCTATAACATATTTACTTTCCGTGTAATCTACAAAACCTAACACTTCGTTATTCCCACCTCTGAGTGATACCTTTTCACTGTAATTTCAAGATTGCATTCAGAATTAATCCAAAAAACTTTTCCACTTCAAATGCTTGTGCCAACAAGATTATAACTCATACTCATTTGGTTGATGTCATGATAATCAAATACACATACTATAATCACTCCATACACTTGATTTACAATTAGAGGATTTGATATGACAGTTTTTCAAAAATCATCAACTATGAGTCAGATTAAGAACAACACACACAACACTACTAATATGACCATGTAACGAATTTTGATGCTGCAATAAAATTAATAATCTTTAACACCATTAACATTCAAAACTTACGTCTAAAGAAATTTTTTCACATGATTCTATCATTCTTTAAAAAAATTTATATTGTTGCTGAAATATCGAGAACTTAGTCATGACTTACTCATTCCTTCCAGAAAATCAAACTGATACTGGTTTTATAAGCAACTTTTTTATTTCTTTTAAATTTATGAACAAGTTTGGCAGCAATTTATAAGATCCATTTGTTTGATCTCTGCATTATTTTCTGAAGTCTTTAGCAGACAGGGGAAATAAACTAGTATCAAAAGATAGAACTACTAAAAAGCTTTCAAATGATAACAAACATTCAGGAATCACATAAATGTCACAATATAGTTAATATATCAAAATATGATTTTTATATTCATCAATAAACGAATCAACTATGATTCAAGTTGAAATTATATCTATCATTTTGAAAAAAAATCTAAAATGTATATAAATCTAAAAATTTTAGCATTTTTTGATCTACCTTAATCACCTATCAATCAAAAAATAAACTATGCAGCTTTTTTAAAAAATAAATGTCATACGTGGCTGTATTTTTCATAGGGAGAATTTTATTTCTACAACATAAAATACTAAAATGATGAAAATTAATTATTCAATTTTTATCAATTTATTATATATATAAATTTCTATCAATATTATTTTCAATAATCATAATTATAACTATTTATTAAACAGATCATAATTGAAGATTGGTTCCTCAAATCGGTCCTTGTAGATTTTGAACAGTCATGTTTAGTAAGTTACTTACGCGAAGACCGTGGAATAGATATTCAAAAGATTATATTGCCATGTTATTCAAATTTTGACCTCTTTTTTGAATCTTGTTTGTTATTTAATTTTTAATTTAATTATTTTACTTATTTAATTTTAATCATATCAACCAGTGCATGGATAAGAGATCTATGTGAAATATTAAATCAATTAGTTTATACGCATCAGTGAACATTCAATTAAAATCAGAAACGCTCTATATTATTTTAACACTTTGAGAAACTGATGTTTCATAAATTTATAAAAAATTTTACTTCTCTTTCAAGAGATGGAAACAACAATCCGACAGGATGGCTGAGAGACATCACCCCAACGCAAGGGTCTAGTAAATATTATACAGTCGCAATTTTGTATAAACAAATACTTTGAGAACAAAATGGGTAAAACTTGCTGTTAAAATATATTAGCAGCATGTTTATGTATTCTAACATTATATCAAGATTTGAGGTCTAGAGTGTGCAACAAAAATTTGATTTGAGAAAGGAACTCAATAAGAAATGGAGATAAGATCACACTTGTAAAGACTGCTATCAGTCTCAGATGATTGGCATGAATTATCAACTCAAACAAGAATCATTCAGCAGTTCACTTTTCTCTTTTTCTCCGAAGTATATTGCATTATGCGAAAATGAATAATCAAATGTTTTTTGCTATATGTAAATTATACAAGGAAAAGTTTTACTCGCTCACAAAAGGTCTTCAAGAGTATTATTAAAACATGTTTAATAATCCACTTGAATTATTATACTTGAAATTTTTTAATAACTGAATTATTCAATCAATTGAAAACAAACTGATATTCTTAATCACTATCTCTCATTTAAAATGAATCAACATTCAAAATCTTGTGAAAATGATTTGTTTAATATTGCATCAAATGGTGAAAATAGGAGTCATAATAATATTAAACAAGTCCCTTGAATTAAAATTACCATAGTAAGGAATAACATGTAAATGAGGATGAAACAATATGAGGTTAAGGTATGCTGCAACTGGCTTGGATGCACACAACTTCAAAACCAGGATGCATTGTAGATAAGAGCAGAATTAATTTATCTCAACGCGGATTCAGACTCAGATAAAATCTATTGCGTCTTTCCAGTTTTGATCTACACAAAGAAGACGCATCCACATCAAGTTAAACCAAATCGAAATTACGTTGTTTTCTCCGTAAATTACCATCCCTGTGGAACGGTCCTAAAACAGGAGGCAAGCAACGGTATTGCCCCGAAGATTTACCGATTATTGAGAGAAGCAGCCTGTCTCTCTATGAGGTTATAACCATCGGAGTTCTATTGTTCATCATCTACAGTTCTTTAAGTGAATAATTAAGCTGAGGCATATCAATCCAAACTGATTTTCTTAATCATCATCTCTCACATACAATGAATGAACATTCAAAATTTTGTAACCGAGATTTGTCTAACTTTGGGTCAAAATTATTATCGTACTTGCGAAAAAAGAACTTTAAGTGTTCAAAGAAGTTCCTTCTACTACATTACTGTACTAAAAATTATATGAAAGTAAGGATGATATAGTTTCAGGTTAAGTTATGCTACAACTGGTTTAGGTGCATACAACTTTAAAACCAGGTTTTATTTATTCATCTCAACGCGGTTTCAGATAAAAAGGTACTAACTTTTCAGTCTGGATTTACACAAAGATGAAGCATCTACATCAGATTAAACTGCATCAAACTTACATTATTTTCTCCATTTTCGAAAGTACAATGGCCATCCCTGTGGAACCTTCCCAAGAGAGGAGGCAAGCCACGTTTTTGCCACAAATATTTACCGATTATCGACAGAATCAGGCCGTCTCTCTATGAGGTTATAATCATCAGGCTTGGCCAATGTCCGGTTAACGGTTAACCGGTTCAGAAAAAAAGTGGACCGGTTAACCGGTCCCAGAGTAAATTTGGGACCGATTAAACGAGACCACGGTTAACCGCCGGTCCGGACCGGATCGTGGCCAAGAAATGAACTACATTACATTAGGGTGACGAACTTTCTCTGGGACCGGTTAACCGGGACCGACGGTCAACCGGTGAACCGCCAGTCCCGACCGGACCGTGGCCAAGCCTAATAATCATCGTCTGAGAAGTTGGGCTTTTTACTCGAGTTCTTAATCCTCTGTCACCACGCGTACTGCCTACAGGCATGCAGTAGACATTATACGTGCACCGTGGTCCAGCGATCTATCTCGAAAAGAGAAGAAAGTGAGCCCAATGGATAGAAACAAACGAGGGAAAGATCGTGCATTTATTTCGACCCTGGGTTGGGTCTTTTTAACCCTGGTTGGGCTTATCCAGTCGGTCGATGGTTTGCATCTCAGCCTGCGCCTCCCTTTGCTGACTGTACGCATTCAAGGAAGACCCGCGCCCGCAATTCGCGGAAACCGTACTCGACTCCGCGACCTCGCCAAGTCAGCGGTGGAACGTTCTGAAGTCCAAGGATCTCATCCGCCACGTGACAGCCGAGGACTCCGCTCTCTGCCCTCGAAGCCCGGAGCTCCGTACAGCTGTCGGTCGAGGCGATCGCGGATGGCATGCGCAAATGACAGGAGTTTGAATTACAGTACTGTACTCGAATCCTTTGCCTTGCTTTTGAATTGGCGCGCCGGCACCGCGCACGCAGTTGGTTTAGGCGCTTCTCGTTCAACGGTTCAGGTCCAAGACTAGGGCTTCGTTGGCAAGACTCCGGCCTTCGAAGACTCCTCGTCGTCTCGATTCTGTCGTCAATTCTGTCAATTCTGTCATCGATGTTGCCCCTTCTCGTCGTTCTCGCTCGATTGAGCGGAAATTGTACAGATTTCGTGTCGTGCAAATGTGAGGCGACCACTTTAAAAGAGAGCTCTTTATTCGACACGGGACTTCAGCCGAACGATGCATTGATAAGTGGACGTGCGGACGGACTATCTTCTGTCGGATCACCTGTACTCCATTGCCGGACGATCTACGTGTCTCGACTTGTCAACGATTTGCTGTGCGGTTGACATTGCGTAGTCATGGATCGGCATTGTCTCATCAGCGCGATATCGAACGGGGAGGTGTCCAAGCGTCTGGACATTTTACCCAGTTGACCTCGACGCTCCAGAATTGTTGTGACATGCACCGTCCTCTCGTTGGCACAAACCCGAAACATGCCTCACTTAGAGAAGGTTCGTAGTCCAGAACATGGCCCGTTCACCCAGCTCTGCATTCCGAAGAGTTCGGGCTTCACTCGAATGTCGCAGTCTGCGAGAATTCTCGACGTTTGGCGGATCAGATGTTGTAGAGTTTAGCTCTGAAGCATCTGCCGGTCTTCTTCCTTGACCATTGCCCACGATGCAGTCTTGCAGTAGCTATTCAAAGACGTGAGCATTACTTTGAAGCTTGTTACAGGAAACGACTCTCCGTCTAACGTGGTACGTAGACAGAACGGGGATGGTAGAAACATGGCGAATCGATTCTTCGTCAATCCGAGCGCGCTTGGCTACAATGCGGAAACGTCGCAGAATGTGCTAGACAAAAGTGAATAATAAGTTTTGAGAGGAGTGCAAGAGAACGTACCGCCTGAGCGCAACTGAACGTGTATCGGTGACGTACCTGAAAACTTGACTACGATCCGAGTGCATGTGGTGACGGGGAGGATGCACACTGAGCCGAGGTTTCGGCATGGGCCTCATCCACTCCCATTTGTTTCGCACGAGGTAGGTCTTCCACCTTTGGAAAGTCTCGATATTTAATAGTTTCTCCGCTGCACGATACAATTCCTAGGATACACCGGACGCCAAACAGATCGGAGACTGTGCAGAATCCAGGCGTGAAAATAGGACACACACAGCGCAGGGAATTCAGGCACGGGAAAAGTGGCATGCACCAGCTTCGGGTTCTGTGCTCATAACTGCTGCGAAGCATCTTCGACGATCCGAAGTGAACCAAATGGATCGGATTAAGAAATCACCACGCATCCCGAGACACCAGGTGCAGGTTACGTTCTGACAACTGATTCGTTCGAGAGCTCGGTGTCAAGGATTCCGTGGCGGCAGTGTGCAACTTTGGGATCGTCAAAAATTGTCACAACCTGATGAAAGGTCACTTGTCACCAGTGGCTTCTTTTGATGTTGAGAAACTCATTTGAGTCTCTCCCCTGGGCAAGGAAATGAACTCGTGGTGATGGTTTCGAAAATATTTCGTAGGTAATGTTCGCATTTCATTCGAATGTGTGTCGCGTCTCAGTTGTTTTGCCTTCATTTACCATTTACTGTGAATATGTGAAGCATGAAGCTTCACAGTAAATGGGAAAACAAGGCAAAACAACTGCGGCGCGAAGCATGAAGCTTCCTGAAAGTGGAGGTTGAAGTGAATAGAGTCCCCGTCAACGAAGGAAACGGAAACCAATTGTGTGCCCCTATTTCATCACTCATGTACGTTAGACATTTATACCAAAGTTTGAAAAATATTTAATCTTCAACTAATAGACAGGTGAAACATTAAATGGTAAAGTCACATTCTATAACTACCTCACCCTTTGAAAATTTGATGTTCAAGCTTAAAAGGTGAAGCTCCACAGTAAATTATAAAAGTAATTAGGTAATTAGTATCCATGATGCTTTTTATTAAAGTCACAACATATTATGGCCAAAGTAGTAGACAAGAGAAATTTATTTAATGAGACATGATAAATGAAAATTTCTCGAAGAGTTGTGTCAACGGATTGTAGATATTATACACTCTTGTGAAAAGCCACGGTGGTAAACGCGAAGAAGAATGTGAGCTATAAGAAACTTTCAATAAAATTGAGGCTAAATAAAGCTTCACGAACATTCTTGACTTCTCTGAAGATTGATGCACTTGCGACATTAAAAAGAAATTTAAACATTACTCACTAGAGAATTCAATCCTTACAATAGATATACATAGTTTATTTTGTGCAAAGTAAACAAGTCTCGATTGAGTCATTTGACTTGAATAAATTAACAAAACCATCGAATTGTTAATCTGCTCAACTTGTCCAAATAGATATGAATGTTGACAATTGAATATATAAAATGCCCCAATACCCAATGACCTTCTATAGACTATAAAATATTTCTATTACATGATTTACAAAGAAATCATTGCTAGATTTTGATCCACACTTGGATTGCACCTAAATCTAGTCATGAAACTACTATCCATACGGATGAAACATAGTAGGAAAAAAATATCCCAGAATTTTACCATGTCGCCTTCGGAAGAGTGACCTTGAGCGAGAAGAGCAATGACCTAGTCTACATGGTCTTTACAGACCTCACATAATCAACCATGAAAGTCTACTTGTCTATCTTGTACTGCCTCCTAGTTGCCTTTTATGGACAATTGGAGTTTGCATATCTGCAGTTTCTTAGTCAAACTAAGATTATGGACAGTGCGCAAGATATTACAATATGTCATTTCAAATATATTTACTGAGGTTTTATTGCTATTCATCAAAAGAACTAAAATTGCACGAGTTGACTACAGTAAGTCGTAAAATTCCCAGGGTCTATGGAGAGCAAAAGAGTAACATTTTAGAACTTTGCGTGTTTTGAAATAGAGCATTTGGGAGTGATCATTTTGGAATATTGACCTTCGAACTGCAAGTAGTCTATATCAAAAGTTTTAAGCCCCACCAAGATGTCACCTGCATATCCTAAAATGACCGGATGAAATTAGCTCTGGTACAATGAGGTGGTTAATAACTTACCCAGAAGCCTCTACGGAAGTCTCGTAGCATGTTGTTTGATAACGCAAGGACCTGTTTTTGTAATCCCGCAAAGTCACCCCGTAAATTTTTTGTAAATACGGCTATGTGATTAATTTTTGCCACTGGACACATTTTCAGGTTTGAAACATCGTAAGGATATTATTTATACTATTATATTATAGAAGCAATCAGGATCCTGCTTTATTTCCCGTTAAGATATTTATGGAAGGAGGGAGTGGATTCCAATTCACGAACAACAATTTATTGACCTACGTTGAAACCCGTACTTGGTTTAAAAAAAGACATGGTTGGAAGTATATGGGTCTAATGCAACAGAATGCTGGATTATGGTCAACTCAGACAAAGTATTTGGCAAACAAGCAAACAAATTGGGTAATCCTATTCGGTTTTCGAAATTATCTTATCAGAAAGTAAAGATTAAAATGGAAGAGGAAGCGACAAGGTACCTTGTTTTCATGTACGCCTAGATGGTCAATATGAGCAAATCCAGAATGACACAACAAAATATGTGGATCTTTAAGTTTCATACAAAGCAAAAGACGATTTATGGTTTATTTTATGGCAATGCCACGTGCCGAAAGAAAATTCCAATTCTGACCTGCAGATGAAACTTTTGACTCAAACTTTTGACCTCTATGTTTCTTGCTCGAATGGTGAAACTCTCGGCTTCAATCTTATGCTTGCGTGAGTAGGAGGAAATGTGGACTTAACCTGCGTCCAATGAACAAATGACCTTTCAAAAATGAAAAACTGATACAACTAGTGAAGCGGATTTTGCATAGACGTGAAGGAAGGCCCGTACGTTTGTTCAGCAAGCGAAAACAGTATACATCCTGGACTGAGGTGCTGAAATATGGAATAATTCGATTTTGTGAACATATTTCAGGATCCTTTCGTGTAGGATTGGATATTCAAAATCAATGTCAATATCAATGTGTAATTTTGCACTCCAAAGTACAAATCAGAACGTTCAAAGAAAGCATCTATAAGCACATGTGTTCATGTTTAATACGGAGGAACTCAAACGGTGGTTGTGCCGAGGTCTGTTGTATGACTTAGAGCACTTCGGGATGGGGGCTAAATTCGACAAATCTGTGTCAACATCAGTTTGCATGTAACTACTACGAGCTTTGACCTCTTCTACGACATCTGACATCCCGGTGCCATCTTCTCAAGTACAACCGAATATAGTCTAAATTTGTTCCTTTGTGCATGCAGTTCTTTTTCACCCCAGTTCGTCAAATATTATATTACAAGTTATGAATGAAAGTGTACACCCATGAAAAGCTATGAAGCCTGCATGCTACACCTGTCAAACAACAGCGAGTACAAAACGAAAAGCATCGAGAGTAGTGACTGAACCATAAAGCCAACTGTCATTGGTTCATTTCTTCCTTGCCCTTGACAAAGAGACCGAAACTTTACTGGGAAGCAAAGAGGCATTCACCCGATGAAGAAAAGGGAAGACCTAGCCGGAAGTAGATCAATAGCTATCCGAGCACAACAAGAGGACAATAAAATCAACATTACGATGCACGCACACGATTGGAGCTGCGAGAATTTAATGATACCAAATGAGACGAAACGAAGAAGAAGTTTACTGACCCGTAAAATGCGCAATCGTCGACATGCTCAACCTTTTTGGTGACGCGGGAAATTAAACCCAGACCATGCTATTGCCAATAGCCTATTGCCAAATGCTTGAACCCAATAGCCTATTGGGTACAAGCAAGCGGTTCCTCAGTCCACCTTCCTTCTCCTTTATGAGGAGGCGGAGCGGTGGTTTCCACGAGAAAATGTGCTCGTCAGCAGCGCGGTAGTAGGTTTGCTGCTCTTCCTGTGAGCGAATTGTTTAGTCCGCCGTTTATGATAATGCAGTGACTGCCTTCAAGTCTGTAAGCTGACTGCGACGACTATTTCCTTCCGCAGCCGAAGGTTAGAAGCAGAGAAAGCAGCGATTTCTACTCCGAGGACCATGGCCAACAGTGGATCGCGAAGACTTCCCATGTCTGTCGTTCCTTCTCCTGACACTGGTGAGAATACTTCGAATGCCCTAAATTGATACGGAGCGGTAGATCTTGCGGACTACCGATTTCGTGCACTGCGCTATTGGACAGAGACGACAGGAGGTGGAGCCGGTGGGAAGCAAGGGCATCGGCTGTGGTACAGTAATCGAAAGGAGTACCAAGTACTAAAGCCAGCCGAATAAAAAGACTCAATTTCACACCCTCAAGGAAAGTATGTACTATTGCTTCCTATTTTCAGATATGGTTTACAAACAACGTAATATCCAAATAATTAATGTACCAAATGATTTCGCAACTATAGATATCACAATTTACATAATAAGTAAAAGATGATCACTTCCATCAGTATGTTTTCTCGCAGAAATCAGTGCATATTTTTATGTAGCTCAAAGGCTTAAAAGAAAAATGTTACATTTTTCTTACTCTTGTAATGACATAGGTGGGCCCATTCCACTTGCTTCCACTCCACGAAAATGGACCATTATCCCTTTCTAGAATTATACCAATCTCAAGCCCTATCATTTGGGTACACTTGGGGTACTTACAGGAATACCTGACTTCTAGGCGCCCCAAGTACGAGACAAGGTTACTGTTTTTGATTTGTTAATCTGACATGGATCGATGACACAAACTCTACAGTAGGAGTGATTGTGGAAGCAGATAAGGTTAATGAGTTCTCATAATGTTCTTTTTATTTCACAAACTAGAGATCTATAACAATGAGCACTAGAAGAAACGGCAAGCAAATGTTTCTTACATTTTCCATCACTCAAAAATTCACTAAGTCACACTATGAATTATCGAACAAATAAGTTCACTCCCAGCCCCAGGGCTCGACGTCAATGGTACATACAAACAAAACACATCTCGAATACTTTTCAGCCTTTAAAAATACTTGGGGAGTCATATCTTATCGCAGTAAGTTTTATATATCGTGGAGATCTAGCCTGGGATAAAAAGCCTTAGTAGCCTTATGCATCATCAGAAAACATAAGGAAATTTACCGTCTTAACTCTAATTCTACAGACATAGTAAGCTTTCTTCCAAAAATGCTTTGCACATTTGATATGTGATGGCTGGTTCATGGCTGAAAGTTTCTGGCCTAGCTGTTGTTACCCATTTGATTTCATCCATGTAACAAGTATGGGGGTATACTCGTTTTTGTATTTTTCTGTGTATGTCTTTAGTTAGTTCGAATCATACCTGTATATCTGAAGAATTTTGCAGATTGAATGAAACCTCTCTGATCTAGCCTTGTGCGAAGTCTCACATGATGTCACTTGTGATATGCTGCTGACCTCGAAGGCTGGCAACAACGGTAGCTCTGAACACCGGCCGGCCGGCTGGGATGAGGAGAACTGACAATTCCATAGGAGCAAAGCAAAACAAAGCAGAAGCTGTATCAGGGGCCGACACCGAGCCCAAGCCCCGTCACAATGTCGTGGGCCCACCCTCGAGAGACGCCAGCCTCGAGAGGGCCTCATGTCAAGCAATCCATCCTCGCAAGGGTCTACTGCAGCTCCAGCTCTTGGCCTGATCCCGCCAGGCGACTCGCCCCGTCACATTGTTTACAACTGGGAAGACAGGAACAGACAGAACTCAGGCTCAAAGTATGATGCCACTTCCAGGACCTCTCCAAACTTGCACAGCCTTTCTTTTCGACAAGGATAGCGGGGTGTTCACATATTGAGGCCGTCATTTGAAAGCTGGACAATTTGGGATCAAATAAGAATTTTGGTTCCTTTAAAAATGAGTAGAACGATGGCAGAGCCATCTGAGAATATCAAGCACTTGGGGAAGGGGAACTAGAATATGCTTTTCTATAACTAGCATGTTACAGTTACCCGGATGTCGTAAAGATTTAGTGGTGATGGCGATCGGGTTCTCCGACAATCGTCATGTCAAATACAAAGCTTCCTATCTACAGCCAGAAGTGCAAGACCATGAGAATAAAGAAGCATTATGCGATATAGAATAATGCTGAACGTCGGTGAAGCTATGTAAGTATTATAAATAATACAACTTGTTTCGGGTCGTCGGCAACTGAGATAAATGCATGCAGCCGCATAGAGAGAAACTTCATATTATGGTACTGCAGGTGAGGAAGTTGTTATTCGTTCGTTTCTCCCGTCAGATGAAGCGTCTGTGGCTTTACGTGATTGCTCGAATGATTGCTGGGCACAGTACCATACATCTAATATCGGGAAATAATGGAGGATGTCGAGATAGAGTAACGGGAAGCCAAGTTTTATAGCCAAAAGGATGGGAAGACCTTATCAAGATGGGGCTAGGCCCCAATAGGATCACAATGGGAAATACGTATTACTGCACCTAAAAAACGAACACAAGAGAGAGAGAGAGTATGTTATAGGCCAGCAAATGCAGGAAACATAGTAACTATTTCCACCGAGGGGCATCCTCAAAATAAACGGACCCTTCAGAGTGAGAATTAGAGATCACTCTACAACTAGTTGGTAAGCTGGCTGGCAAGTCCAGAGATGAGCCATCAGAGGCTTTATGTCGAAGTAATCAAAACGGGGTTATACCATCATGACGGAAGCAGGAGAAAGCTGAACTTAGCTCAATTCCTTGTAAAGCTTTCCCTTCAGACTTCAGCTTCAACATTCAGCAGCTAGTACTTTTTGGGGGGTGGGGGGGTTGTGTGTGTGTTATTATCTGCTCATCCTATTTTCATCTCCCCCAATGCTCCATCTTATATCATACTCTGCTTCTCTGCCGAGATCGATTAATATGAAAAGGGAAACGATGCGGAATTTAAAGGAATTTAAGGAAGATTTTTATGCAGCACTGTCGATTACTTAAATTAAATGGCGGGAGTTTCAAGGAGCTAGCTCGCTTTGGAGAGGGTCGCCGCTCCAGGCTCAGAACGAATTGACTTGATCCGCATCTTCACTCTGGTAGGATGCCATGTCTAGTGTGGTCACGGTCTCTAAAAACGTGGCGAGGAGTGATGAACTCGTTTTCAATATGGAATTTCTCCTAGGATGCCATGTCCTGTGTGGTCACGGTCTCTAAAAGCGTGGCGAGGAGTGATGAACTCGTTTTCAATATGGGATTTCTCCCATATTATTATAGTCATGACAGTCCCACTGGAGGTCGCACGAAGAAGAACGAGGGACACCGCAAAATGCATCTAAAATTCGATAACCTGCAATGGCTCGAAATCTACACTTACTTTCAGTTGCTTCAACTGGCTGCTCCAAAGACTCGCAATTGATTGAGTACTATCGTTCACAATCCGTAGCTCGAAGGAAGAAATGAGTGAACCAATCGTCCATCAGGACAACCGTGAGACGAAGTTGTTACATGCTCCACGTCGATGGTCATGTATACAACAACACTTCATAGTTCGTGGGAATGAATCAGATTGACTCCATGGCCAAGGTGCAACTCATTGGTGGCAGTGCCTCCCCCACTCACTGGGTTCTCATAAGGAACGGGCTCTACAAGTCCAGCCCCCACGTCCTGTGGGCTGATCGAGCAAGTGGAAGATTGGGTAAGACGGGCTGATCCGGTAAAAATTCCTGGACCGGCGAGCGGGAGTAAAGGCCCCCGGGAGTCAGGGCCCGGGACCCAGGACCCAGAGGCCGCAGCAGCAGCAGCAGCAGCAGTAGTAGGCCAAGGGGGCACAGAGGGACGGTGGGGGGGGGGGGGGGGGGGGGGGGGGGGAGGGAGGGGAATGAGTGCAGCGATGGCGATGCTGGACTTGGGGCACTGGATTTTCTCGAGCAGCGGAGCGCAATGCGTGTCGCGGGTGGACCTGCGAACCGACGACGAGCTGAGGACTTTCCGGTCCAGTCTCGAGCTGACCACACGCCGCCCACGAGCCCCGAAACGCTGACCCCACTCGAAGGCTCGAAGGCTTTTAAGTTGTGCAGCGGGGCGAGAACCGTCACAGCTCGTGATCGAGTCGAGACGAGGATCAGATCAGCAGCGCCGGCTCCCGACGTTGAGTGTGACACTTGTAAACTTCGCCAGCTGCTGCTGCTGCTGCTGCTGCTCAGAATGGGGCGAGTCGCTGCATTGGTGTCGGTGTTCGTGGCCCTGGCGCTGTGCGAGGCCGGGCTCTCGGTGGCGTTCGGGGGCGACCTGCAGTATGCGCCGAACTATGGAGTCGAGCTCTCGGCGCTCGAGAGGCAAGTGCCCGTGCGCGACGGCCTGGCCTGGGGCTACTACGCCAAGTCGTGCCCCAAGGCCGAGGACATCGTCGCCCAGCGCGTCGCTGTCTTCCTCAAGAAGGACGTCGGCGTCTCGCCCGGCCTGCTGCGCCTCATCTTCCATGACTGCTTCGTTCAGGTTCCACCCGAAGTTGTTGTTGTCTCGTGGGTCCGGATGCTGGGCAGCTGCTCGGAGTTTGTGCTTAATTTCGAGTGGGTGCGTGAGGGGCGTGATTCCGGGAGTGCTTCGAAGGCACTGATTGATTGATTGATTGATTGTTTGTTTGCCTGTTTACGTGCAGGGATGTGATGGCTCGATCCTGCTGAGGCTGGAGTCCGGCACCGAGCTCGACGACCCTGCCAACAGGTCCATCCGCCAGGTGGCCCTGGACCTCGTCGACGATGCCAAGGCGGCCCTCGAGAAGGTGTGCCCGGGCGTCGTCACGTGCGCCGACATCGTCGTCATGGCCGGACGCGAGAGCGTCAAGCAGGTGAGAACGACTGAGTTCGTCCGCTCAATCCCTCAGATTCATACACTCGATCCGATCCACCCAGCTCACACTCCTCGGCCCTGTGCTGTTCGTGCAGGTCGGAGGCCCCGCTTTCAATGTGCCCCTGGGACGTCGCGACTCCTTCACCTTCAGCAACGATACGAGCGACCTGCCTCCTCCCACCGCCACCTTCCAGGCCCAGCTCGACCTCTACGCCACTAAGAACTTGGACCTCGCCGACCTCGTCGCCCTCTCAGGTAACAAAAACACGACCCCTCCTGTCAAAACTCGCCCTCAAAATTGGCCAATTTCGTCGTAGAAATGTCGATCGACCGACCTCACGGCAGCGCAGCTCCTCCCTCATAGATTGCACCCGAACGGTCGACTGGATCCCTGAAGAATGGATTGGGGGTCACGTGCAGGGGCGCACACGCTCGGGGACGCCGGGTGCGGGGCGTTCCAGAACCGGCTGCGCCCGACGGTGGACCCGAAGCTGAACAAGGTCTACGCCAAGTACCTGACGAACCTGTGCCCGACGAACGGCGCGACGGCGCGGACGGGGCTCGACTTCTTCAGCCCGACCAAGTTCGACAACGTCTACTACAAGAACTTCGCGACGGGCGGCGCGCTGCTGACGTCGGACCAGGAGCTGGACCAGAACAAGCAGGCGCTGGGCCTGGTGCGCCTCTACGCCTCGAACCAGAGCGCCTTCTTCAACCAGTTCCTCTGGTCCTACATCAAGATGAGCCAGATCGTCAGCAGCCCCCCCAACACCGGCGAGGTTCGCCGCAAGTGCAGCGTCAACAATGGCGGCAAATCCTCCGCCTCCTCCTCCATCGAGCCCGAAATCATCTCCATGGTCACCGACGGCCGCGTCGACATCTAATCTGATCTATCTAATCCGCCGCGCGAAGAATCGATCGACTTGTCGTCTCCGTCGCATCGATCGATTCTGCTCCTCCGCTCGAGGGACGAAGGACTGCCAATGCAGTGACACCCAAGAGTTTGGGTTTGTAGATATGTATCAACAAGGCGTAGCTAGCGAGGCGCCAGCTGTAGATCGATAGAGTTTTGCGCAGTCTTCTAGCGTTCGAAGGGGCGAGAGTAGAGTGTAGAGTGTAGCGCTGCGTAGAGCGTTGTGAGCTTGTTGGATTGGAGTGGAATGGAATGTGAAATACTGTCTTCTCTTTCAATGAATGATGACCGGCTGCGCCTTCAGCGCGTCCTGCCGATCCTCTTGTTTCGAATCAGAGAGTTATAGTCGCTGAATTTTCTCGTCTCTGATCCGAGCCAGAAGTGAGTCAATTCTTCACTCCTCGCTCGGAAGCAGGGAAGCATGTCTTCCACACAGTCTCAGATCTCTATCATTTCCCCCTGTGCAGTAGCACTTGCTTTTTCCACCACTGATGCAGTGTGCAATCATAATATTTTGTGGACAGCGGAGAAATAATGCGTTTTCGAGAAATGAATGCAAACCCGACTCTCTCATGAGCATGGCAGCTGACTGGAATCTATACCCACAGATTTATTGTTCCCCGGAGCTGTCGAATCTGTTGTGCCTGTTATTTACAGTACGTACGAACAGCACTGCAGACTGCCTTCACGGATCGAAAGCATCGAGGCGATCGGAAGCAAGAACGCAATTGACAACGATTCCAGAGCGAGGCTATTTCGTCTATCTGATCGCTAGGCAAAGGACGGTGGGTCCATGGACGTGTGCTTCGTGTGTCAAATCTTTTCTCGCTCAGTCCACTTCGACTTTCAGACGCTTTTACACTGACACGTGATTGCGTGCATGATTAGCACTGGGTCGGGGGATCCATTTAATAGCTATGCAGTCTAATGGCCCAGATATACCGAATTCACTATACGGTATATATACGTATCTACTCTGCGAGGCATCATTTGCAACATTGAAGTTAATACAGACATAATTTTCCAGCAGCGAATCTGACCGACACGAGGCTCGACCGGTGTCTGGAATATGAAGGTAGGAAATGACAGAAACGGGACAGGTAAACTTTGTTTTTTATAACTGATCACAGCAGAATGTGATTCTCGTGTACGATATGTCCTGAGGAAATCTCTGCTGCGCCGGACATATGACAGTGGTCTGTCGTCGCATCAGCTGCTGAGACGACACTGGACGAATTGCCGTTAGGCTATGGTCTCATTGCGTTGTCCCCGAGCGGACAGCTAGTGAGTGCGTGAGCGCAGCAACCCTTCGTACTAGGACGAGGTCGATCAGCAGGCCTCGCTCAATCAGAAGAGCGAACAGCTTTCCTATTTGATGAGGTGAGACGACGAGATGTGACTAGAAATGGACGAGCAGTGGGATGGGATGGGATGGGACGGAATGAACAGACTCACCACATGGCTCTGCGTCCTCGTTCTGGGACCGGCTACATACTTTTAATGAACTTCTCTCGTAAGAAGAGCAACGAGAATGTAGTAGCTGGGTGGGCACATGGCATCAGGCAGATCAGATCGGATCGGAATCCCCGAGGTACATACTGGATCCGACCGACCCTAGGGATTTCGGTGGGCAGAGTGAGGCCCTGCACTCTCACTCGGAAAATCAGTTCATGCTAATCGACGTAGCACGTCTTGACAAGACAAATTTCGTTGCTGAGAATCATTACAGCATCAGGCTTACATCAAAGACGACGGCAACACGTACATGGATTCCAATCAGGAACGATGAGGCAGTTTTCTTCTTTGTACCACTCTTGCAGTCAACTGTCGTTCTGAGCATGATACGCACAGCTCCAAAGGACGGGCATGAAGCTGAGCTTGACGACCGGTGCCGAACCAGACATGAGGTTGGCCTGACATCCTTCTGTTCTCCGCTGTCCGACCAAGATTTGCCGGTTAGAAGGACGGGCATTTCTGTGGAGCCTTTTCGTCAGTAGCTCACGGAAAGCTCGTGCCACCCACGAACATGACCCGTCAGATTGATATTGCGGTTGGCGTGTGCTCTCCACGATCGTTATCCACAATTCGTTCGTCTCAAAACTAGCCGTCTACATCTGGATCTGCAGAAGTTTAATTGTCTGCCTACTATAGCGATGCATGTCGTCTGTCTCTGGCAGTTCGGTCCCATGTGCACAACACAACACAACGGCGTGCTGTCTGAGAGCATAGGACCCCTCACACCAAAACAACTTCGCTTATGATGTTCCTCGTGCTCTTGTTTGAGGCTGATGCCAATGTAGTCTATATATTCATATGAGCTGATGCAAGGTGGTTATTCAGTTAGAAACTTGCCCCCTCCACTCATTATATTATATTAAATTCAGTGAGAAGTATTCTGAGACAGGAAGTTTTCAGGTCTACAAGTGGACAGTGTGACTCCCGATCACCGGGGCTTTGAGAGCTGTCAGGCTGAACTGGGACAATCGATCAGGATCAGCAACATCCGAAAGGGTTAGGAATTCGATTGTTGGAACCGGATGGAATATCCGTGTGTTCTACGTTGCTCTGAAGAGATCAGCGCAACTGTGCCACACTGCTGAGCTGCATGACATGACACGGACCAAAGTCGCACCGACTGGAGTACATTGAACTATTAGACCAGTTGCTGGGCACAGTCGAAGGAATTTACAGTCCGGTACTGTCGTTCTTACTGACGCCGCTGACTTAACGTGGAACCTAGAAAACGTGGTCACTCATCCTTATCGACAGTGCGAGAGGTTTTTTCCTTGATGAGTGGAAATCTAGCGAAGAGGAGGAAACAGCGGAGGGTCGACTTCAGTCTCATGTTGCAAGTGTCGTAATCTGACATGAGCTGCGAGGGTAGTAATTATGGCCCTCACTGCATGTTTCACGGTACTGTGACCATGAAATGAATCACGATCCCAGGGATCTGTACGTTTGTGCCTTCAATTTGTGCACTGTGCCTCGCCAAGTGTATTAAATATAGAGGAAGGCTGAACGAGCTCTTGACTCTGAGTCTCGGTTCCAGACTACAGGATGATTCCGATGCCGCACGTTGATGCTGCGTTCTCGCACATTTGGCCATGATCATGGAGTGAGGCACTCTGAGAAGCGTCTGAGAGCGAGAAATGGGCCATGGCGTTTGTCCTCACGTGACGACTTTTGACATGCGCGTCCGCAGGTAAGCCAATGAACACTGATCCTTTCTTTATCGGACCGAGGTTGTCATGGGAACCCAATGATTTGGACGTAGAAGAAGTCCATGTGGATAGATAGAGTCATAGCCGTGAGCTGCAACACTGTGCAGTCATGGATGGAGTCTGAGGCGGTGACCTCAAGCTTCTGCCTCCTCCTTCTGTAACGTCGAGTGCTTTGCATTGGACATGCGGCCAGGCCAATCTGAATCCTGTCTCAGATTGCCTTTTTCTCCACGCTGCCCGCGGACTCGAGCACCGAGGCACAACTAGTGCACCTGCTCCTGCTTCTCATGCAGCTTTTGATGACCGGAAACGTTCTCTAGTAGCTGTGAGTTTCAACCGAGCACCAGGGGTTGAAGTTGGATGGTCATTCTTCTGTACGCTTCCTCTAAATAGAATGCCTTCTGACGACTCCCAATGGAAGTGACCAGAGGATGTAGCCTTAACACGTTGCACCGCTACTCATATTCTGCTTTGATCCCGACATTTGTTCCTCGATGGCCTTCGAGGGCCCAAATTCGATGGGGCCATCAATGACGCTACGATCGATACTTTCCCAGAAAAAAGAATGCAACTCTGAATTTGGAATTTGCTGTGGCTGTTGGAGCTTCGTAGAAAGAGCTGAGATCGAAAAACAAGATCTGATATCTAGATGAGTTCTTTGATCGATTTCTGTGAACTCAATATCTTTGCACAATCGGTCGGAGCTGAAATCTGTACTCTGTCGAAACTGGTGGTTCCGCCGGCTAATTCAACCGAGGTCGAAAACTCTCGAGTAGTCTTCGTGGATCTGTCTGCGATGGAAGCGGTCACAGTTTTGGATGCTTGTTAGGTGATTGTCTCAATTCTCAGAGCTAAGAGTCGACATTAGTGTTAAGCAATGTAGAGGTAGGTTCCGCACCTTCTCTCGGGAAGCTCTGGCGATCTTCGCGCTTTACAACGCTGCAAGCTCAGGAACGTGAAAATGAGTGCTCTGGTTGCATTTAAGCACTGAAATGTAACAATCACTTTCTCCTGATCCAAGAGGTCAAGCGGCCTCCCCCAATATGGATCTAAATTCCTGTGTTCTCAAGCACATAAGAGTGAAGTGCACTTCTTCCATCAAGTTCTTAGCCCAGTTCACGAGGGCTAAGAACTTGTTTCCATGAAAATGGACGCGGCTATAAATGCATCATCGTTGTGTTTCAGAGTGCCGTCGCTCAGCATTGCACCATGGTTTCCAATCGTAATGGCCCTGGTGTCCCTTATGATCCTAGACCATAAGGGACACCAGGATTTTGAAGTCAAACACCCTCCTCCAGCAAATCTCTCGCAGTTTAATGCGAATTCAGCAACACGCGAGAGCTCGTGGTTTACTGAATCGGTTCTCGTATTCATTCCAGCATATGTCTCGTTTCACTGAAATTTGATCTTTTGGGTGTAAAGCAGAAAAGAATGTGCGATGGTTGTCGCCAACTTGGTTCTCCCCATCGGACGTTGGTATGGTAAACCAAAATATTGTTGACATTTCAGAGCCTCGTGTCGGCCATGTCGCAGCTTCATCTTCGTCATGTTTTGCAGCTCCGAAGGACGGGCTAGATCATTGGACTCAGACTTATTTAACCACTAGACAGAAAATATCCTTCTAACATCAGACTGCTGTGCGGCTCTCGCTCGATGGTGTTACAGGGTACGCACACTGGCTCATACTCGATTCTTGGCTTCTTCCTCGTCAGAAGCAAAACTCTTGCACACTGCAAGAGAATTCCATAAAAAATGGAAGGGAAGAAGGCGAGATGAGCGGTGATGGGTTGAGACTCAGGTTCTTAGCCGACGAGAAGATCCCTCCTCTCCTGTAATGCTCACCAGTGTCGTTGTTTTACGGTGAAATTGAGAGACTGTTAAAAGAGATCGGCTGCGGCAAGTTCCACGAGAAATTCGTCGAAATCGAGAGATCTGCAGAGCAAACTGGAAAGTTCCTAGTGCGGACGGAGATCCTAGAACCGTGCAGTGCCACTTGCCCACGTTTGGTGGCAGGAGCAGGAGCATCGATGCCACGCGACAATAACCGCGGAAGAATTCCTTTTCTGATAGTTTGTGGGATTCCTCTCTGTCTCTGGAGAATTCCGGAGCTCCACGTCTTCTTGCTCGCTGTGCAGTACCACGGAGGTCAGATATTCGTCGTGCTCCGATTCCCTTGTGCTCGTTTTGGAGCTTCAGAGTACGACCCCACGATTGCAAAATGAAATTCACAAAGGCTTTAAAACTGGACAGTGAGAGCTTCAGGACGAGATTGATCCATGTTCTTTACAGACTGCGCACCCGCCTACGAGCTCTCAGACACCCATCCTCGGTTTGTGTTAGACTGTAATAAATAAGGAGCTTCCTTCGTGCTAAACTCAACCTTTAGCGCCATAACCGCAACTTGCAATTGCTCAAGAATCGCATCTCCGTGAATAAAATCTTTCAGATTTAAGCCCCGATACCCAGCTTGACAACATGTGATCTGTCGCCATCGCTGTCTCGATGATCCGATAGGCGGTTCTTTTCCAGCCCTCTCTCAAAATAAACTGCGAAGCTTCCGGATGTGTAATCAATTTATGAACACTCGACTGAGGCTTTGAGTTGTCACAGATAGTATCCTTGGCCTGCGCAGATAACATTCACATCATTGTAGGCCAAGCCTCAGAATTCATTCTAGCCCCCTCCAAGCTCAGTACTTGTTATGTTTCCTTTAATCAATCAATGCCATTAACCGCATTCAAAGCAATTCGTGTAGGTAGCCAAGCGAATTAGGCTTTGATCGAGAAGCACAGGTCGTACAAGATCTGAACGAAGTCGTGGGATGTCCAGCGAGCTTTGTCAGAACGAACGTCGAACAAGGAAGCTCTTGCTGACGAGGAGAGAGGAGAGAAATCTGGGCCTGCAGTGATTTGACATCGAGGATTTCACAGTCAGAATCTCGTTCAAGAATCCATGTAGAACGAACGCCCCCGGTGTGGTCCGAACCTTTCCATCCGAGAGCAGTCAGATCCGGAATGCATGGGGGAGGGGAGTCTGTATGACCAGAGTGGATTCCACGAGCATGCTAAATATTAAATGCCGTCCATTCACGGGCAGGCCAGAAACTGCGGTGCTGAACATGCGGCGGCCCCGGTGCAGCAGCTGGCTCGCTGGTTGGGTTGGGGCCATGATCATGGCCCCCTCGATCGCTTACAAATATCGGGTATCATGCCTCCACTTCTCAGGGTCGAATGGTTCTTCGTCGCCTGATCGACTCACGTATTCGATTTTGAACTACCAAATAACAGCAAGTCCGAGGAGCTGCTGAGAAAGATGGCCACGATGGGAAGACTGGTGGTGGTGGTGGTGGTGGTGGCGGCGGCATTGTCACTGGCGACTTCGGTTGCAGGTGCCAGAGTTGAGCTGCAGCAGTTTGCACCGAGTGTCAATTTGGGGGCCAATCTCTCGAGCTTGGAACAGCAGCTTCCTCTCGAGGCAGGCCTCGTATGGGGATACTACTCCAAGAGCTGCCCCAGGGCCGAGTCCATCGTAACACAGAAGGTCTCCGAGGCGATCAGGAACGATCCCGGCATTGCTCCAGGTTTGCTGCGTATCTTCTTCCACGACTGCTTCGTCAAGGTGAGCTCCTCTTACCCAAAATCTTCAAAGCGCAAAGATGAACTGCCTCGAGCTCGAAAAATGAGCTTGGATGCTGGCAAGGACTGATCAGTAAGCCAAGGCCAACCAAGCACAGCGACGAACATTTCTGTTCCAGATCTCAGGACATCCATGATTAGTAGGGCGACCAGTTGATCACCAATCTCGAGATCTTGCTACATTCGGAGTCTAGGACAGCCTGTAAGGGAAGAGTGTATAGATTCGTGGGTAGAAGAAGTTGGAAGTATGATCTGTTCTGATTGCCTGCTTTATGAATAATGCTTTGGTGTTTTCAGTGAAGGATTGATTACGGAGGTAATTTGGAGATCCTGAGAGGTGAATCGTTCTGTAACGATGTTTCAGGGATGCGATGCGTCGATCCTTCTGAGGAACTCGAGGGGCTCTGAGCTGAACGACGTTCCGAACAGAACCATCCGACAAAGTGCTCTGAATTTGATCGACCAGATCAAGGCAGCTCTCGAGCAGGCGTGCAAAGGAGTCGTCTCCTGCGCAGACATCGTCGTCCTGGCCGGTCGTGACAGCGTGAAGCTGGTAACAAGCACTTGCATTCCCTTGTCCATTTCTTTGAATGCCATGAGTTCTTCCTCGTCGATCTGCAGCTCACCGCCGATTTCCGTCTCCTGGATCCTGCAGGCCGGAGGACCTTCATTCAATGTTCCCCTCGGGCGTCTCGACTCGTTCACCATCTTCCCTACCAACGCCCTGCCAACTCCATTCGCCAGCTTCAACGACCAGCTCAATGGCTTCAAGGCTGTCGGCTTGAACACTCAGGATCTCGTCGCTCTGGCATGTATGTGCAGCAAATCTCACCTCTAGCGATCAGAATGTCGGAAGCGCATTGCAAATCTCAAGTCCTACGTCTGCCAGCATTCATGGCAGCATTCAACAGCTGGACTCGGCAGCAATTCCAGCTCTGAGCTGTGGAAACTGACTCTGTCATGAAAATGTGTTGGCTGTGAATGCAGCTGGAGGACACACGATCGGAATTTCTCAGTGCGCATCGTTCCAGGGACGCATCTTCCCCAACTTGGACCCCAAGCTGAACAAGGACTTCGGCAACGCCCTGAGGCAGATGTGCGGGAACAGCGGCAACACCGTGGGCATCGACTTCTTCACCCCCAACAAGTTCGACAACCAGATCTACAAGAACTTCCTGACCGGAGGAGCGCTGCTGCTGTCGGATCAGAACATGGACTCGGACTCCACGGCCTGGAATCTGGTGAAGACGTGGGCCAACAACCAGGGTGCGTTCTTCAACCAGTTCCTTTCCTCCTACATCAAGATGAGCCAAATCAACACTCTCTCCGGGCGTGCGGGGGAGGTCCGCAGAGTGTGCGCGAAGCCCAACAACATGGCCGACGAATTCGAGCCTGAGATCAAGCTGGTTACCGATAATTAGGCGACGAGTATGAATTACAATATGACGACTTTACTGGTCCATAAGAATATGACTGGATCTACGCTAAGGTTCGAGTCTTCATAGATGCAACCTTCACCACGGTAAATTTCTACGCTATCTCCTCGAGGACTTTAGGCTGGGGTCAGGAGATATGTCAGCATCGTAGTTGCTACCGTAGTTTGTATGTTTTTAATAGAGACGTGTGTGACTACACACCTAATCCGAATTTTGCACCGCTTAATCCAGTTAATTCTCCAAGGCTGAGGCCCTTGCACAAGCAAATTTCCTTTCACTGCAGGAAATCCTATCTCCAGGATTCGACGATAGCTTCAAGCTCGAATTGACATTCGACGGCTGGTAGTTGAGCACTTATATACATCTAGTATCTCGAGCGTTGTCCTCGAGTAATTAGGGCTATTAGATTCCATTGAGTAAGAAAAAGGAAAAATAAACTTCCCACTATGTGGCAACGAAAGACTGACCTCGAAGGGCAAAAGGACAACATGACCCTTGCCTCCATCCGAACTGTGTGAATGAAAAATACCTGCTCTTCATAAAGTTGTACAACTTTCGAAAGTACAATTCACGTGCATGCTCTTCGAGTTACGTCCCGATAGAGGCTCCTGAATGCCTGGGGTGGGTGTGAAGATTGGGCATTTTCACATAATCCCCGTGTCGAAGACCCCTTGACGTGAATGTGGTGCATGGTGTCAAGAACATCCTGTACAGCTCTTTGCATCGAGCCATATGCTCCAGCGAAATATGAGAAGCATTCCGACCATACTGACTAGCTCTCCACGAAACAAGTGACAACTACGGGCTGACAAACTGTCGACACTTCTCGAAAATGGTCCACTCCCACTGCTCACTCTCATGCGCTGGGCAATCTGGGTAGGTCACCAGCACTACAGAGGAAGTGACATCACTGTACACTAGTAACTCTTGAAAACTAGACCCAACATAGTGCAACCTATCTGACGGCTGAATATCATGACAAGACATCTACTCTACTTCTTGCACTAGTGTTGAGATCCCTTGTCTTGACATTCCCATGTAAAATCAGCAAGTTTCAAGTGTTGTGGGCCACGAGAGGAGATTCAAAAGATGCCATGTGACTGTTGTCACATCTCTTTCAGTCTAGAACATGCATAAGTTACAGGTAATAATGGCGCACAAAGCCAGGCCAATGTGCGAGAACCAGTGCACGAGACACATTCAAACACTTGTGATCGTTAGCAAAATGAAAAAACTGATTCCGCAGCTAGCTAGCAAACAACAGTCACGCGCGAACTGGAGCAGACGGGATTCATCGACAATCTGCACGGACAGCCACAACCAGAAGAGGTCTGCCTGCGGAGGGCATCATAAGAAACATAACAGGGACAAGTTCACGTGGTCTTGGACTGAGTTTTGACGTCCATCATGAACGTCTCGAGTGTAAACGAATAGTGTAACAATTGTCCCCATGACAAAGCAGTCATCCAGGACCTTTACAATTATCAGAATCCGACGATTAATATGATATCCAGCTTCCAGAGATCTCCGACAAATAATGGGAGGACCGTAGATGTGCCAGAGCCAGCGACAAATTTCAGCTGGACTGTCACACGACACTAGTCACTAATATGCTACAACATTTGCTGAACGAACCCGAGGTTCAGAGTGTCCCGCACCATGAGAACCACTCCCAACATGAGCAGAAGTAAAACCCCCGACGACATGATGCCCTGCTCCACTCCTTCAGGAAGCTTTTTGCCACCCCTGATAGCTTCCAGAGCGACGAAGGCCAAGTACCCGCCATCCAGCGCAGGAAGCGGGAGAAGATTGACGATGGCCAAATTGATGTTCACAATTGCAGCAAACTGGAACAGACCTGCGATGTCGTTCCTCGCAACCTCCGCCCCTACGGCGACGATCGCCACGGGGCCCGACACATTGTCGACCGTTTTCTCAAAATTGAAGACGATCTGCTTCAAGCCGTCGACGACGGTGGCGGTGAGCCTGGAGAACTCTCGCGAGGACAAGGCCAGGGCTTCCGGCAGCCCCTTGGCCTTGACTCTGTGCGGCTTGGCGTTGGGCGAGAGCTGGACCCCGATTCTCCCCGACCCGTCCACGTTCTTATCAGGAGTCACATCCACCGTCACGAGCTCGGGACCTCGCTGAAGGTTGAGCGAGAGCTTCTTGCCCCCGCTCTTCTTGATGGTGTCGACGAGCTCGAACACGGCGGCCTCTTTGGCCGTGAATTGGTAGCCGTCCACTCCGAGCACGACGTCCCCTGCCTTCATGCCAGCTTTGAACGCCGCGGAATTGCCGATCACCTCGGGCACCATCACCCCGGGGAACATCTCCTGCTCCAGAAGACCCACGCTCAGCGTCTGCGTGAATAGCACGGTGTAGGCGAAAATTAGGTTTGCTATGACCCCGGCGGAGATGACGATGGCGCGGTCCTTGATGGGCCGGTTCTTCAAGAGATTTGGGTCCTCGGGATCGAAGTCGCTGTTGGGATCGTCGTCGGGGAATGCCACAAACCCTCCAAACGGGAACGTCCTCAGAGAATACTCGACGCCTTTCCTGTTGAATTTGGCCAGCGTCGGGCCGAACCCCACGGCGAACTTGGTCACGTGGATGTTCTGCAGGCGCGCGGCCATGAAATGCCCTGTTTCGTGCACCGTGATGATGGCTGCCAAAACTCCCAGCGCTTGGAGCACGGACTGCGGGCCTTCCAGGTTCAAGCCAGCCATGCCGGGGATGGCAGCAAGCAGTACCCCCTTCGCGGCCAATTCGTGCGGAATCCATCGCCGCTCATTCCTCGGCGCAAAGCCCCTGTCCCAAATCGCCCGCAGCTCCTCCAGCCACGGCCTCGGCTCTCGACCGCCCTGCGCATTATGCTCCCTGAGTTCCAACGATTCGAGCCCCAAATTTGCCAATCGTTCACGCGATAGCTCCTGCTCCTGCTCCGAGGTTTCGAGAACGAAAGGGGCCTCGCTTCCGCCCCGTCCATTGCTGGTCTGTAAGCTCTCCGCAGCCCGCACGGAGGGGCCAAATTCCCCGCTTAATTTGGCAGAGCATAATGCAGCGCGACCTTTCGAGGGGATAGCTATCCGTCGCCTTCTAGACAATTTGAATCCAGCAATGGCGAGGGCACCCAGCTGCCCATCGAGAGAAACGAGTCGATTCCTATCTACGAGTGTGAGGGGCCGAAAGCCACAACGTGAGCACGAGGCAGCAGCGATTCCGCTGCCGAAATTCGCAGAGCACGAGGCAGTGACGAAGCTCGACGAGTACCTGGAGAAAGAAGAAGTCGAGGGCGCGGTCGCAGACGCAGCGCAAGGAGGCGGGATCAGCAGCTGCCCGGAGAAATTGGTGGCAGTGGCCATGGCCACCAGCCCATAACCAGCCCTCGCAAGCCTCCTCCTCCTTCTCCTTCTTCTCGTACTCCTCCTGCTCCTCCTCGTCGAAACCACGTAACGGCTTCTACTCCCTGCCTGCGCCTCTTTCCTCTCCTGGCCTCGTCCTCGCGTGGGCTTTGTCCGAGGCTGACAAAGCTCCTCGAGAGCAGCAGCAGCAGCGGCTCGACAGTCGACGGAAGAACGACACTGCCGGTCCGTCCGGCGTCAGCCGATCGACCGTATCCGTGAGCCATCCATCCCTTCCCGCTGCGGCGGCCCCGCTCTTCTCTCGTCCGCGATTTGCATTCCTGCCAATCTCCATCCGGATGCCTCGAATCCGGAGGGACGTACGTGACGCTCCCGCGCTCACGTGACGACGCGCCTCCTGGCCGTGCCTTGCAATTTGCATTCCGCTGCCTTCGCAGTTCGAACTTCGGCGCTTAAGTTGGCGGTCTTTTCACCGTGATCGTGATTCTGCATCGGCTCCGCCAACAAATGCCCCACGAATCTCATTTTGCATTTCGGAGAACTCTTTCAGCATTTTGTGGCACGATATCAGGGCACTGAGGATCCCCTAATTTTATGTCGTGAAAGACGACGAAACTCGGTTTGCTCATTGCACTGCGTACCGAGTTTTCCATGCAATGTTTGACGTGGTTGTGAAGATTTACTGACTGTGTTCCTGGTTTTGAACCCAACTGTGCAGTTAGTCAGCCACAGTAGAGCCATCCTGAGCCGTGAAGGAACTATTTAAAGAGTTTTGAATTTGTTCTAACTTTATTGAATAAAATTAAAAATTGGGCTCCGCGGCCAAAAGGACGATAACTAGTTGCACATATACCGTCTATGTGATTTTAGAAAGGTGTCTCGGAGGAACATGTGGTCGTCTTTTAGGATGATAATCCTACATTTGATCTCTTGTACGGAGATGATATAGCTGATAGTCGTGTACTGTACGTTTCCATCTGAGATCACAGTAAGGGCCATGAAGCATGACATGTGTTCCTTACTGCGTTTTTAAATCTCGTCGACCTTTCCGTCAATATGCAGTTTAAATGATAACTGCGTTACTGCGCTTCAACGTAGTAATTGTGATAATGAAGTAAAATTCTACTTATAATTATAGCCTATGCAGGAATAAATAAATTCGCTTTTGTAGACACTTTTAACGCTTTTCCTATTTCTTTGATCACTTTTTATATTCTTTTACAGAAGATGATGATCAAAAAGTACGTCCAGCGAGGTTAGTCTCACATCTGCAACCTGTCACTCTAACTTGATGTAAAATCTGGCGATCGAAAAGCTTACACATAATGCTGACAAGGCATTTACTTATATTTATTATAGTTTCCGACCACTGGGTTTGGAATTCTTTTATCAGATGTACACATATATGTATAATATTTTATCATATGATAAATATTTTTATCAATGCAGGCTAAAACATTCAATGGTCTGTTATAGTACATTCAGATGACAGAATATGTGCAAAATACTCTGCTAAAGTATCCGAATAATATATTACATTGGATTTAGGCTTTTGCTATACGCAGGAAATGAATCATATTTGTAGATATAGTATTTGTCAAATAAAAATGAAAGTGGTAGGAACTAAGTTTGTTGACAAAGGACCATGACGCCACTTGCTGGTAACTACAGCTCTTTCCCTTCAATTATTATGGTTATGAAGATCAAAACGTGTATCACGCCAAATTGATCGTTATTGTTAACTAGATAGTCGATCCACCTCTATTTGTCTAGTGAAATCTTCATCAAGACACAAGCCCTTCGGCGGCTACACACACATTTTCGTAAGGATTCAGACGATCGCTGATAAGGAGATAGCAGTATGCTTTTTATATGGCGAAAGTTGGGGACCAAAACCTGAACTCAAAATAGAAGAGAACAAATATGCTCCTACTAAAATATTGATGTTTGTAAGAAAACACCGTCTCACATTCAAATGTTCGTTGATCCTTGTTGGCGTGGGCTCAAAGGAAGAAAGAGGGGGCGGAGACGTGGCCGAAGCGGAGCTACAATTTCGGCTGCTCTTCCAGCACGCGACTTATTTCGAACGAACGAGACTCGGACATGTGTACTCAAGATCTTTTCGGGCGTTGTCCACTTCAGCAGATTCTGTGGGCACGTCACTCTCCTGAGTCCAGCCATCTCCCGATCCCCCACCCGAGAGACGATCAGCAGCATCCTCCTTTCCGTCATCGCTGACGCTACGTCGTAGACCGTGGACGAACCACGAACGTGGTCGGGTCACAGTTCCAAAACTGCGAGTCTTGACCCCATCCTTCTGCCGCTCTACTCAACGACGACGTCAGCCGGTCAGAGTTGTGGTTACGGTAGTCCAGGCATTCCGACCGTCCGATGGGAATCTTCGCCGGCGATTTTTCCTGCCTTTGTCACTTGTCGAGCAGCCGATTCTCAGGATCTTGTCCAGTTGTCTGAGCGCGCATCCCGATTCCTGAACGTTGTGGATTACGGTTAGACCCCACGAGGGAACTTCAAAGCAGCAGCTGTAGCCGCCACAAGCACTTCTTGCTCGCCCGGTTTGTTCTAACCGCTCAAGAGTTTCGGTGGTACGAGTGCACGGGCTCCAGTTACGCGAAGGCCGTCTCTTTTCGATGATCGAAGAGCGCAGTGCTTCTCAGAGTGAGCTTCGACGATCTTGGAGCGGTTCATGGGCACCTTTTCAGCCAGGCGGACTTCTTGTAGTGTTGATGTCGGTGTCTTATTTCTGCAGGAACCTAATCTCGAGTGGAGCGTTTGTTTAGGCTCTTGGATTGCAATGCTCTGCGTATTATCTTGCATTGGGGTTCACGGCTTCTGTCTGACGTGATATCTAGTAGTTTCTTTGCAAGACTTTAACGATGTGGCTGTTCGGTCGGTGGAAGTGTTGTGTCCTTGCTGTGAAGTTGGGCCCATGGAGTTTTAACCTCGTCAATTGTTGAGCTGCTGCTGCCGGCGACTCGAGCGAAGGGCCTTGTAAGCTAGGGAAAGGTACGGGTCCTGTTTCTTTTATTGGTTCTGCGCTTGAGGCATGACGTTATCTCGAGCGCAAGAACCTAACGTTTCACTTCCATTTTGTTACGCGTGCGATACCGACGAACAGCAAGAAGCCCTTGCGTTCTTATTTTGGCTCTTCGCAGTGGCCTTTTTGAGCACCCTGTCATTCTTGACTTTGGGTTCCAAAATCGAAGATGAGGTTGGGTTTCGATTGTCCAGGTTGCCCACCTTCTGTCTTCTGCTGCAGCCAGGCCGCACTGTCAGATACTCGTAGTGTCTGTGACTAGCCGTCTATAATTGTGTCAGTTCTTCTAACTGGTCCCTTGATGTCGCTTGCCTCCTCACATGTAGGTCCTGTTTTTGCGAAGAGAGCTTTTCAGGTCCAGATATTGAAAACGCCACTCCTGTGATGGGGTTTTCGCATCACAAGAGTGCCGGTTGCGAGGTATTGTCATATTCTGTCTCAAGCGACGAAGACGAGTCATCCTCTTGTTATCGTGGTTGTCATGTGTTTATGTTTTACCTCCCAAGCACAATCTTCGTTCGTTACACTTTAGCATCGTTGGACCTTTTGGAGAAGATGGTGGTAGTAGGGAAGGAGTGAAGGCCTGATAGACGTGACATCTCGTCAGTAATTACATTCGTGCTATCTCTTTCTCCTTGACTGGCATGGCCTTGATAGCGTGTCTGCGAAACCCTAGCCAATTAGAAGTGCCACTGTTTCGGAAGCTTTCTGTCTCTTGAATAAGATTCCCAAAGATGCTTGTGGATACCCTCGAACATTCCGGTCTAGCCTTTTACCATGCCAACAAGCTGTAATAGCTCAGTTGATTAGAGTGTGGCTGTTAACCATAAGGTTGGAGGTTTGACCCCTTCTACTAGTGTCTATTTGATGCGCCTGTCGCTGCAACTTGAGTTGATAATCAGCTTTGAAGGTAACAGATGCCTGTGGATTTCTTTGAACGTTTTGGTCTTGCTTTCCAATCATACCAACAAGCTGGAATAGCTCAGTTGGTTAGAGCGTGTGGCTGTTAACCACAAGGTCGGAGGTTCGACCCCTCCTTCTAGCGTTTCTTGCTGATGCGTCGGTCGCTGTTTTTTATGGTTGAATTCTCGCATCTTTTGGTTGTATTCTCGCATCTTGTCCCAAGCTCTACTAGCGCGTGAGGTCTCAAGAGTTTAAGCCTCATGCTGATGATGGGTTGATTGGTGAATCTTTATTTTGAATTTCACATCTGCCCCAGCCTTACCTTGGCGTCAAGTTTCTTGCTGATGCGTCGGTAGCTATTTTTTTGGTTGAATTCTCGCATCTTGTTCCAAGCTCTACTAGCGCGTGAGGTCTCAAGAGTTTAAGCCTCATGCTCCGATGGGTTGATTGGTGAATCTTTATTTTGAATTTAACATCTGCCCCAGCCTTACCTTGGCGTCAAGTCTCGAGTGCGAGAGCGCTTTCTTGGCGACTGTTTTAAAATCGGAAGTCCTGACGTTGTTTGGAAAATTTATTATGGAGACCAGAAACTCGCTCTCGTCGTCAAGCTGGAATAGCTCAGTTGGTTAGAGCGTGTGGCTGTTAACCACAAGGTCGGAGGTTCGACCCCTCCTTCTAGCGATCTTTTGGTTATTTCTAGATTTAAGCTCTGTATCCGGGTTCTAGCCCTACGCCGTAAAGTGTGAAACGTAAATGTATGAACTTGCGAGCAGATTGCATCTTACGCGAGTCATGCATTTGAGGTCGTTAAAGTCGATGGGATGTATCTACGTAAATGTATGAACTTGCGAGCAGATTGCATCTTACGCGAGTCATGCATTTGAGGTCGTTAAAGTCGATGGGATGTATCTATCTCGGAAGCTCTTCTGGAGTTCGAAACTGTGGGTTCCAGTTTTCCGTACAATGAAATCTACAGGTCTCTTAGTTGACGAAAAGACGCGGTAGAGTTGAACTCAAACTGACACGAGTGGTGCATCTGAAAACGTTTAAACTTGCGAGCAGATTGCATCTTACGCGAGTCATGCATTTGAGGTCGTTAAAGTCGATGGGATGTATCTATCTCGGAAGATCTTCTGGAGTTCGAAACTGTGGGTTCCAGTTTTCCGTAAAGTGTGTTCCTCGGGTTATCCGTACAATGAAATCTACAGGTCTCTTAGTTGACTAAAAGACGCGGTAGAGTTGAACTCAAACTGACACGAGTGGTGCATCTGAAAACGTTTAAGTTGCTTTACAGTATCTGTCCGGAATGCCGAAATCTGACGCTTGTGTTTCGCATAATTTTGTTCCACTTGTCAAATTTTGTGCAGTACTATATTCTCTTAGAGACGTGATTATGAAAAGAAGCTGGATTAGCTCAGTTGGTTAGAGCGTGTGGCTGTTAACCACAAGGTCGGAGGTTCGACCCCTCCATCTAGCGACTTTTTGCGGAGTTAGCGATGATCTTCAGTTGAGGAATTAAGCCATGCGCTCTGTTGCGGGTTTAGGTAAGCGATGATTTTCAGCTGAGAAATTAAGTGATGCGCTGTGTCGGGGGTTATGCGATGAAAAGTACGCCATGATTTTCAGCTGAGGAATTAAGCGATAGGCTCGGTTGTCAAGTTAGAAATCAAGTGATGGGCTCTGTTGGGGGTTTTGCGATGTAAAGCCCGCGATGAGTTCAGTCGACGAATTTAAGCGATGGGTTCTGTTAGGGGTTATGCGATGAAGTCCGTGATGATTTGCAGTTGAGGAATTAAGCGATGGGTTATGCGATGAAAAGTCCGCGATGATTTCCAGTTGAGGTAGTAAGCGATGGGTTATGCGATGAAAATTCCGCTATGATTTTCAGCTGAGGAATTAAGCGATGGGTTATGCGATGAAAAGTCTGCGATGATTTTCAGCTGAGGAATTAAGCGATGGGTTATGCGATGAAAAGTCCGCGATGATTTTCAGCTGAGGAATTAAGCGATGGGTTATGCGACGAAAAGTCTGCGGTGATTTTCAGTTGAGGAAGTAAGCGATGGGTTCTGTTGGAGATTATGCGATTAAAAGTACGCGATGAGGTCCGTCGCTGTGTAGTGAGCCGGAATAGTTCAGTGTCACTTGTAATGTAAAGGGATGAGAAATGGCGGAGAGAAAACGAAGATGGTTAATTATTGCAGATCACGCGAAGTTTGAGTTTAGACAGAACGCGATGGACGGTGTTGCCAACCAGCTGGAATAGCCCAGTTGGTTAGAGCGTGTGGCTGTTAACCACAAGGTCGGAGGTTCGACCCCTCCTTCTAGCGGAATCTCAGAATCTTTTGACCTGTCCTGCTCGGGTTACCCTAAGATAAGAATTTGAGGATTATGCGATGACGTTTACTGCACACATTCTGCAACGACCTATTTCGCCAGCGACTTGGAGGAGTCTTATTAAGTACAGCGTTTGGCTATCAACTAGAAGGTTGGAGGAAAAGTAGACCCCTCCTCCTAGCCGACTTCGCGGAAGTTTTGATGATTCCCAATCACATGTTGATATGTTATGCCATGGGTGGTCTAACCAGCCAGCTGGAATAGCTCAGTTGGTTAGAGCGTGTGGCTGTTAACCACAAGGTCGGAGGTTCGACCCCTCCTTCTAGCGGCCTTCTTCCAAACAGTTTGTGAATTCCTTTTTCCCATTCACGCGATGATATCTTTTGCGGTAACTGTGAATTCACGTTTTCTTGGGTCCCCGACATCCTCATAACCTTCCTAACTACATACGGTATATTCCACTTGCCCACTCACGCGATGAGATCTGTTGCGGCGAGCGTGTATTCCCGTTTCCTTGGGACCCCGATATACCCTAAGTTTTCAAAAGTAGATCCGGAATGTACTAAATCCTCCCGGAACTTTCCGTGTATGGTGTTGTCGCCGCATTAAAGTAGATATATATCTAGGAACAAATTTCTACCAATTAGTGCTGATAACCGTCAAGTTTCCATCCTCTCCTTGTTGTTTTCTCACTGACTACAATTCTTACTATTGAATGCCAATTCCAATTTTTCGTATTAGAAGGGCGAAGTAATATAGGAGGACGGGAAGACCCAGACAAGCCAGAAAAGTCAGAAGGAACTAGCTTTATTAGGACCTCCGTAGAAGAAACGTAGTGTCGTACGCGAAAGACAGACGAACTATATAGGTCGCAACGAAGTGATATCATATCTTGCCACATAGCTATCTCTACTGTAGTTCATATGAACTACAGTAATGGTAAAAGTTGGATCAACTTATTATTATTCATTGCAGTCAGGTATAATTTTGGTTCATAAGGTCAATTCGGATTGTTGGCGTTCTCATATTTTCTCCGATGGGATCTTGAAAACTTCTAATAAAACCATTTTCTGTAAAGTGAAATTGTGATGGGAGATAAACTGCAATAATCATGACAAACAATTTTAATCTCTTTTCAATTTTACTTCTTTCAACATCAATAATAAATCTACGTTCACCATCGACAGACATGTTAATGATGCATGTCATATCCAATATGATGTGAAATAATATCATGCAAAAGAAACTTTTTTTTCCAGTTTCCAATACTATCTTACTTTTGAGCTAAGGTACATATATCTTCCTACATTATTATTTTCTCATCCAAGCTAGAAATCTCTCCCGCTATTATATTCATGTAAGGAGATTATAGTTGAAATTTGGAATTAAAAACACTAATCTAGATTCATGAGTTAATGAGTTGAAATTTAATGAGTATAGGTTTTATCAAAGAAAATTAACACATGTTTAAATCTACTTGATATCAGTTTGTTGAGATAACATATTGTTATCACTAAAAGCTGCTATATAATTTCATGAATAAACTTCTTTGGACTGACAGTAGTCGGGTTAGGTTCTAATCAAACTGAGAGTAAAATTTCAATTTTAAAGTTAATATGTATCCTTACATACTAACATCTTTTGAAAAAAACCAAATATATTTTATTTTATTTTAATATATTTTTAAAATTTTTGATGACATTATCAACATCAAAATGCAACCTTTTTTTTAAATTAACGTGCTAAAGTGACCCAAAAAATTCATATTAATATGATATTAGATATTTTGATAATATTTATTATTTATCATACAAACAATGCAATTAAATCATCCATAAAAAAAGATCCAAATAAACACATATCTTAATCTAATGAGCACTAAATCATTCTAATTATATGGTAAAGAAATAATAGTATGATGAATAACATTATAATGCGTAATAAATTGTTTTCAAATACTCAAGCAGGCTCCACATCTTTAAGTAATAATACTCTTTCACATTTCGTACTTCTTTAATTATGTTAGGCTAATGTACTGATATCTTACAAAACATCAACATATGTTTTCATTAAATAAATTATGGGTTATCCATTTTTCTCTACAAACAAAGTATTTGGAGACAAATAAAAAACTAACAAACTAACTTTAAAATAAAGTATTGATATAAATTTTGATAAGAAATTTTTAATTTAGAGCATTAAATTTCATGAAATCAATTTTATTCATTTGGAAAATATGTAATATATATTATATATATGACCGTTATGTTTTACAAAAAGTTTGAATAATCTTTTGACTCTTATTACATGTTTCAACTTACATCAAGTTGCCAACCAACCGACCAAAATTTTCAAATTTTGATACTCATGCAATTCAAATTGATCATTTTCTGAAAAGTTTTGGAAGTTAAAGTATCTAATTATTCTTTCATTAATACTAGATATAAAATCTAACTTAGAAATATTTGTGTTATTTTTCGAATAATGATAAAAAAATTTCATGTACATTTTTAAATTTCATAATATTCATTTCAAAATTTATTATTTATATATTTAATTACAAATTATTATTTGAAAAATATGTTGTATAAGACTTGTCATTAAATGTATATGATTAAAGTTGCATGCATATGTTATATGATGAGATTATATGTATTGAATACTAAGATTTTTTTAACTCTTTCATAAAATATATGCTCTTTATATCAATATTTAAAACATTGTTACATCTGCAAAATTATATGAGCTCAATAAAATATAGTTAGATGTGGTATAGGATATCAATGATTTTTATGCTTAAAAATTGAGACAAAAGCTTATGTTTTCCAATAGAATATCAATAATTGCTATGGTTAAAAAAATGAGAGAAAAGATTTTGTTTTTTCAACACATTATGTAGTGTAATCCAATTAAATACTTATGATTATTTGATTACATTTGATTATCTTGATTTTGAATGCTTCAATGCATGACAGAAATTATTACTTTCACAATCAAATATATGTTTTACCTTTAAAAAAGGTAATTCTAGAGTTTCAAAAAAAAAATTTATATTGCAATTTTAAATATTTAAAATACCTATTCATTTCAAGATTAGTTTTAAAATCGATTTTTAACATTTTAATTGAATTTTATTGTGAAAAAATGTCTTATTAGAACTTAAAAGATTAATGCTAAAATTCAGATTTATACCTCGATTACATTTATTACCATCAAAATATGAAATTTTAAAAAAATGTCTTGAAAAAAATCAAAATAAAAAAACAACTCAGTGCATTAAATATTATTCAATATACTAAGAAACTGAATTGAAATCATGATGTCCAAGAAAATAAAATGTTTGATGAAATTGAAAACAATGTATTTCAATTGAGTTATATATTTGAGAAGATTAACTATTAGTTATTTTAATGCTTGTTTCATGTCTAACTTACAAATTTTTCTTGTTGCAAAAATCTTCAACATCATTCATAATTACAATTTATTTATTTTCAAACATTGACTTATCAATACATGTTAGCATGTTTACAGTTGATCAAATCTTACCAAAAAATTTTGGGTTTTATTTTTTAAAGATCGACTAAAATATAAATATTAAGGTGATTCTCTTAAGAAATAATAACTAATATTCAAAATTAGAAACGCAATTTTCCAATTATAAATTATATTATAGTGCAACATGCAAACACTACACTTAAAAAACCAACAAAAATTTTATATTCTCATTTTACATCTAAATCTAAAATTTTTAATTATCCAAAAATTATGGGTTTCAAATTTAATTATAATAATTTTTCCAATAAATAAAATTTTATGCTTAGTTCTAAGAGTCTGTTTATTTATGTTGTGATTTATAAACAAAATTTAAATCCTTACTACATATGATAAGCAATATGAAATCTGAAACCTAGTTTGATTTTGAATATTACTCTAACTTTTATTCAGGTTTGAATCCGTAAAGTTCTTGCAATATTTCTAAAAATTATCAAACATACGCCATAATCATGATTTACAGTTAAATTTACAGTTTTAATTCTATTAATAATATCTCACAGCTTAATATGTATTTTAAACTTTTTTTTATTTTAATTATTTAATCTTTATTAACATCTGTATACTTTTTTAGTTTCATCTACATATAATGATATGGAGTTGATTAAAGGAAAAAAGTACAGTCTCAAGTTTATAATGAATGTTAGCAAAAATTTTAATTTAGAAATTAAAATTAAGAGTATACTGCTAAAATTTGGCATCTTGTTTAAAAAAATTATATTAAAATAATAAAAACTTAAATTTACTACATATAATTTAAAAAGTATTATCAGTCCCAGTGCGGCGGATCGTCCTAACAGACCCGCTAAGCGTCGTTGGCTTGGTCAGCCTTTACCTAACCAAAAATGATTTAAAAAATTAAACAACATTAAATTCAAAATTGCATAATGGAAAAAAGTGGAATTGAATTAATCAAAATGCGAACTATCTTACATCATATCATGTGAACAAATAATCATGATATTTTTAATAAAACACAAGAAAATCCCTATCAATTAAAAGAAATTAGATTAATATAAATTTCAAATAAATTTCATTTTCATTGCAATCAAGAAGCATGTCAATTGATAAAAATATTTTATATTTTAATAATTATTTTGAAATTTTAGTTAAGTTTTTCAACTAAAATAAGATTATTGTCCAACATATCAATTGATCATCAATTATTCATAATTGATTCAAAATGAAGTTTTCATTTTGTCATCATTCATCTTTTTTGCTATTCATACCAAACTACACCTTAATGATCATTTGTATGTTAACATCAATCATTCATATTTTGCAATAATTCTTGTATTATAATTTAATTAAAATATTAATTTTTTATGATATATATGTTGTAATTATTTTCTGATTCAATTTTAGAATATGAATTATTTATATAATCACATTAAAAAATTTATTCAATCAAAATATAAAATGTATTATGTATTAATTTTTTTTCTAATAAAATATTTTAAAAACACTTATTAAAATACATCTCTTGAGTAAATTTTTACCATAATTTAAGTTTCATGTGAAATGTCGTGACATTATCAAAAGAATTCATGACACATGTTGAATCAAGAAACATGAAATTCACAAAACAAAGAATACACGTGCATATGCATCAACATATTAAGCTGACACATGTATATAATTTGCAACTACAAGAATTAGAAGATTTCATTGAAAACTATAAATGTTTAAGCACAGCTATGGATCGTCATTCTTTATAGTGAATATCAGATAAATCCTAAACATAGTACTAACCATGACTAAGATAATTGGAGTTTAGTTCGGATTTGAGTAAATATGAATCATCTTCATTTTGATTCATGTCATGAAGACTTTGATCTCCATAATTCATGTAATTAATTCTGTGAAAAAATCTAGAGGAACCCTAACATATGTCTCTCTTAAATTGGAGCTAATCAGACTTAATTCTAATTCAGAACATGATAAAATTAACAAAAATTGCTTGTAAACTCTACTTGTGTTACTTATTGCAAAACCTACAAAGTATTTCAATGTTTACTAAAAATCTCCATATTAATAACTTTGATCAATGCATCAACTAGATTAAATTCAAGGTTAATCTTAACTAGCTCAATGTATTTTATCAAACATTAAATTTCTAATGAAGTGATACAAGACTTCGATGTGTTTCACTCTATTATATATCACTTGATTTACTTCATATAACATATTCTGACTATCATAATAAATATTGACAATCTTCTACCTCAGGTTCATATTAATGATTAGTCAATCCAACTATGTACTTCACTTTGTTGTGTCTGGTGCCGCTTCATACTCAGGAGATCTTGAACTAATGCCCTTAACACAAAGTATAAACACATACCCAATTGTAAATTTTTTTCTTGTAAAAATCTTATACATATTGAACATTAACATAAATCAATAAATTATTTTTATTTTTAAATAAAACATCAAACAAATAATCATAA